CCGCGGGGGCATCAGTATGAAACAACGCTCCCGACACGTGCCACCCGTTGTGGGTGCTTCCCAGAACCCAACAACCTCGCTCCCCGCACCTGCCCCTGGGTTGCCTCGCCTCGCCTCGCCTCGTTCTGCCCGCCCTGCTCACGACCCCTGCCCGCCCTGGCCCGCGCCGCCAGCCTCGCACAGCGCCCGCCACCTGCGGCAGGCGTATGATCGATTCAGGCATGATGCAGATGGACAGATGGCTTCCGCCTTTGCATGATGATGATCGGGGCCCTGGCGAGCGCATCCGCGCCATCGCCCTGCCGTCCTCTACTCGCACGCACACCCCAGCCCACCCGATTGCGCCTTGCACGCTGTCTCTTCTCCTCAAATCTATACGTAAACCACCGCCAGCCGACACTCATTTTCGGATCTCCCCTGATGTGGCCTCACGAGCGTGCCAACCACCTCTCTCTAGCCGCCCATCTCGCGCTACGCCAGTGCGCTTGTCAGCTTTCACACAAAGGCCGCTCTTTTCCCAGCGTTGATCCGAGCTTATGCTAGCACCCACAATTGCCCCCAAATCCCGACCCGTTTGCATTGCCCAAATGCTGTCTGTAGCTGCGTCAGGATACAATGAATGTGGTTACATCGGATCTTCCAAGCCACTCCACCCACGAACGTGGCACGGCCGAACTATCCCAGCGCCATGTCACGTACATCTTGCTCGCCGCTAGCAGCAGGTACTTTGTCTTCGAGCCCCGACGATAATCGTCTTGCTCTGTGCAACACGATTAGTAAAAAAAATGCTGGAGCAAGGTCGGGAGGTCGGCGACATCCTATGCTCCCCGCCTCACTGTCCCGTATATGTGCAGAGCGCTATTCACTTCCGGCTCGGTCCTTCAAAGTCCCTAATCGAGTCGCATCTTGTTGAACCGGTATTACACAGCCGGTCTTAGATAATTATAACAGCAAATCTCCAGCTTAGCCGTCGCGCCGATCGACTCTATCTTGGAAGTTCAAACGGCTTAATATAAGTAGCAACATTTGAGTAGAATTGCTCATACAACACGTCGCCAGTTATAGCTGTGACATAAAATATACCGCGCCTTGAAAATAGTTCACAGTTCTAAAACCCATAGCATCTTGCACTACGTGAAGCACATGATGTTGGAGCATGTGTTAGTGCATGAAATACCGTGACAACGAAAACACCGCGCAAAAAAGAGAGCCCTTAGGTAACCGCTACCCCCGGCGGGACTCGAACCCGCAACCTCCAGATAAGGTACTCATGCCTTAGAAGTCTGACGTCATAGCCATTAGACAACGGGGGCTCCTATCCAAGGAGTGCCAGAACACTTCAAGACAAGGCGGTGCACAATTAAGTTCATCCAGATCAGTCATATAGTACCGTTCACCACCAACTTCGAACACCATGACAAAATTAGAACACCATACCCATTCCTGATGCAGACATTACAACATTAGTCTATCTGGTCCTTCCAAAAACACGATTTGTACTCATCAGCTGAATCAGTGACATACTTAAAAGCAACTAGCACACACCGCCATACCGCCACAGATCTAGCGTACAACACAAAATATCTTGACCAATTCGAACTGACAATCCGATATCTCGTATAATTAGATCCGCCCGGTCGATTACTCGCACAGGTTTATGACTCGGTAAGGAATTGAATTTTCATTGCACTTGGCACAACCCATTCCCAACTAAATGCCGTTACGAGTACAGAGTAAACTCGAAACACGAAAGAACAAAAGGAACGAGAGGAGACGCGATTAAGTGACATGCGACAACGACGTTATGAGGAAGATACAATACGATGGGAACAGAGCGACGAGGCATCAGGCACAGCAAGATAACCATTACTGTAGCAAGCGCGCCTCAACTAAAGCCAGACATGACACATCTACGATTCATCAGCGGCATCGGCGTCATCCTTGTCCACAGGTTTGTCTGAAACCAAACTCAGTATCACTATCATGCACATACAGAGAAACTACGCACCAGATTCTTGCATGTCTGATGTCCAGAGTGTCAAGTTGTCACGGAGCAATTGCATGATGAGGGTCGAGTCCTTGTAGCTCTCCTCTGACAACGTGTCAAGCTCGGCGATAGCATCATCGAAAGCCTGCTTTGCCAAATGACACGCCCGGTCTGGACTGTTGAGGATCTCGTAGTAGAATACGGAGAAGTTCAGCGCAAGACCAAGGCGGATGGGGTGTGTAGGTGGAAGCTCAGTGACAGCAACGTCGGACGCAGCTTTGTACGCCTCCAGCGACTTGTCCGCGCTATCCTTGCGCTTGTCACCGGTTGCGAACTCAGCAAGGTAACGGTGGTAGTCACCCATCCTGATAGCAGTGTCAGGAAACACTCAAGGCCAAAAAGAAAACAGGAAAGCTCACATCTTGTGATAAAAGACTTTAGATTCACCAGACGCTGCAGAAGGAATGAGGTGCTTGTCGAGAACATCGAGGATGTCTTCGCAAATCTTCGCAAGTTCGCTCTCGATCTTCTCCCGGTAGCCCTTGATCATCTGGACTTGGACCTCATTCCCCTTTGACTCCTCCTTCTGCTCGATGGAGGAGACGATCCGCCATGATGCACGTCGCGCACCAATGACATTCTTGTAGGCAACGGAAAGCAGGTTGCGCTCCTCGACGGTGAGCTCCTGGTCTGATGAGGCGACACGCTTCATGTTCTCGACCATCTCTGTTCATGTCGCGTCGCGTCACAACATGTCACAAAAGTGACGACGCGTGGCAACGCACCTTCGTAGCGCTCAGCCTGCTCAGCGAGCTTGGCGAGATAGACAGAATCCTCACGCGATTGAGACATCTGGAAAATGGAGGCTATGAGCAACGACACCTCTTGGAACGCGTCGAACACGTGAAATGCTTACTGTAGTAGGGTTGAGGAAAGGGGTGATGTGTTAAGGCGAACTAGGGAAGACCAAGGAAAGCTGGTGAGCAAGGCGTCACGGACAACGAGGACGGAGGGCGGAACTAACGTGGTATGAGAGTGGCGACGGGAGGTGGGCGATGGTAGTTGGAAAGCGAGACGATGGCGCAAATAAATGTGAAGGCGGTAGGGCAGAGGGTTGGGCAGAGGGGAGAGCACGTGACGCAGCCGCACGCGACCGGCTATAGCTACAATGGGATAGGCGCCGATGCCAGGATTGGTGGCACTGGAGCCGCAGCATCGCCAGCCACTTCCTCGCCCATCCTTTGTCTTTGCCCTTGCCCTTGTCCGCCTCCGGCCTCGCAACCGCTTCGTCCACCCTGCCCAGTCCTTCGTTCGGCCTCTTTGCATCTACTTTAGCCTTACACTTCGGGTAGCCTCGATCATGCGGTATCATTCTGTGGCCATGCATGATGGGCATTTGCAGTGTCAAACTCAGCTCAAAGAGCAAATCAATCCCATCATCTCACGCTCGCACGTTACAGCCAACTTTTATATCCACGGGTCACGGCCGTAACACAAAAATGCCTTCCAATGTATCAGAACGATCAGACTGCATCGGAAGAAACGTTTACTTATCTCGGCTCGACGGCGCCTTGCACGACTGGCTATCCTGCCACGACAGCGGTCAACTCCGAACAACATGGTGTATCACTACTACTACTATAGTGTACATTTCTCGTCCTGTCTACCGAGCAGCTATGGTTGCTGTAGTATTCATTCTACGACTTGTGAACGGTTCCTATCCTTCTAACCAGGCTGCCATTGCTGCCAGTCCGTCTGCTTGCACCGTTGCAATGGTTGAGTCCACTTCCGCGTTACCCGTCAATAGGTCTGAGCAGTGGAACCCGTCGCCTTCGACGATAGGCTGCCATGGTGTGCTGGAGCGGCCCAGTCCGTCGGCGGACACCGTAGCTTCGCGCCATGGATCCCCTGTTATGGAGCGAGGAGAGTTCAGTACAATCGAATACATCAGTGGCGCTCCATATCTCAGATGCGATGGGACACTTACGCAGGCCGTTCGCGAAAAACAAGCGGTCAACATTGACGTACCAGCCGTCATAGGCGGCGTTGGTCTCATTTACGTTCGGGGCAGTAGGCATACTGAACTGCTCGGGGAAGAAGTACGTGCATTGACGCTGGTGGTGGGTTGGCATTAGATACTAGGCGCCTTTAATCAAGACTGCCGCGACTCCTCACTCGCCTCATCGTAAATGGGCTGAATCAATCTGGTGACGATGGTAGGCTGATCCAAGGGAGCACCATCTTGTAGAAAGCCCATATAATTGCATCTGTCGAGAGGTATCAGTCTCTGGTATAGCTGCATAGCAAAGAAGGAATTGGCAAACATACACGATCCACTCCCACGAACGCGCAGCATTATTGATTGAGATGTCTGTGTAGTATGACTGAGTGGGATCGTAGGATCCCAGGCACTCTCTATCCAACGACCGTCAGTTGGTTACCTGGTAGTCGTCGCCGAGAGTTGTACATACTCGGCAGAATAGTCCCCACAAACTATACGGTTCATGAGGATTATCAATGATGGTGTCTAGTCAGATGAGTAATGACTCACTAAGGTAATAATATGTGTCGGCCCAGTACGTTCCCCATGCGTTGAGGGCGTAATCGAGTCCCCATCCTTCGATAGGCGCGCTGACACCGTCTTTGACTTCAAGCGCATCGCAAAACTGGAAGAACTGCATGTCGGGTCCACTATCTGGCTGCAGAGACTGCCAATCCCATAGATTGTTCCTTACTAGGAAGGAACTCCATCAGTTAGTGTTGTCCCGGTACCGAAGATATGACTCACGAGCACCGGCGAAGTCGTCTAGATGCGTCAAATTCATATTGAAGAGCGTCTTAATCGCATCTATTTCTTCTGTAGTCCCGCTTATGAATGTCTCATCAATGTATGCGATAACGGCCTGGACGTCATTTGAGCAATTCTGCGGCATGTACTCGCGTATGGGCTCGAAATATCCCCAGTAATCGCTGCATCACGTCTCGTATAAGAAAACAATATATACGGGGCAAAAAGCGCACATACACAATACTCTCAACCACAGCTGAAGACGCATACGCAGCGCGGAACACATCCGGTTGGCTGTCAATCGCAGACACTCACGTCAGTCTGGGACAGCACGACGCAAACAGACCGTGACAGACTTGACCACAGTGAAACTTGTCAAGGCGCCGGAATAGCTACCACCGATTAGGATCCAGGGCGCTTCTGCGGGCGTAACATGATTGCCTCCCGGCATAGGTAAGTCCACATTATATGCAAAGTATACCAAGTCATCGATCGCCTGCTGGATAGTATGCACCTGGAGACTGGCAACGGAGAGATTGTTGTAAGGATTCGAGTAGCCGTAGAAACGGTGTTCCAATACAATCGTAGCGCCGTTCTGCTGCTGTGCAATCCGTCCGTTGATCGTGCCGTTCGTGAGATATCCATCGTAGCCTATGTGAAAGTTCCGTTTCTCAGCAAGACGAGAACGGCTCGCGTCAGTGGGGCAACTGACCATCTGCGTTGACTTCCCCAGGCGTGAATAGAATAACAGGACCACCTGGGGACGCATGTCCGTGTCAGACCACACTTCGAAAATGGGAATGCCGCGGACATACCGGGCTCGTAGAACTCCCAAGTATGCCAGTACCGCTGCACAAATGTTCCGAGACTCGGATTATTGTGGTCAATCAGTTGATTGAAGTAATATGTGGTATTATATGGGGGGATCGTGGTACCGTTCCGACTCGTTACAGGACCCTCCGGCGATGTCGCCTGAGGGATCGTAAGCATGGGCGGCATGTTTGCGTGCAATCTTCCATCAGGAAGCCGCGCGCTGGTAAGGGACGCGAAGAGGAGAACAAGAGCACCGACAATCCATAGGGGTGTCATCATTCTAGAGGATAGCGGAGAGAACCGACAAACAATGGGGGTATATGGCCGGGGGACGCTACTTGCTGTGAATCATCTTATATCGGCAGAAAGGAAAACGCTAAGTTTGTACACCCTGAAGGCCACATGCAAACAGCCTGGACACAAGGTCACCAGGTTCCCGAAGAGAGTGAACGAAAGCCATGGGCTAATGCTTACGAGATGGCGCCCCATTGAGCCAGATACACATACAAGATGGAAGACGCAGATAGGTGTGACTCACTCTGGATTCATTCATTCGCGCCACCATGTGCTGCTAGGCACTTATCTGCTCGCTTCACAGTCAGCAAGCCCGAAGAAGACCCGCTGAGAAGCTGCGAGAGTTTGCATCTCTTCCTGAGAAACGCAGAGCGGGAGACGTCGCCCGACGGATCTATCTGCAATCCCACACTTTCTTCACACGTGGACGAGACCTTGCAGAATCTTGAAAAACCAGAATCAAATATTTTTGAGTCTAGAATTCTTCGAGCAAATGAGACAGCAGCTCTACAACGACTGTGAGCCTCATTTCGGGAACTCCTAATCGGCTTCGCGACAATATCTGCCATAGTGATTGAGTGAAGTAACCGCACAGCCAGGTTGAACGGCGATACGCCTAGCAGGCCATCGACATTAGTCCCCGTAGTTGGAAGAACGGCGTCACTACATACCTAACGAGCGCCAGCGTGAATCAGCGCCGGCAAAGAATTTTACGTTCCATTAATTTGGCGCCCAAGCCACTAATCCCGGAAATGCTCCGGCGTCGTACTGTATGTGGATCATCAACGCACGAATACCAATAGGCTGCCAGTCCTGCAAAAAATTGACATGGGATGTGCTATCACAGATCCTACCCCACCGACGCCAATATCTGAGATTATATATCCGAAGCTGCCAGAGCGTCTATCAAAGGCTAGAAGTATGGATATTCACAGTTCGTGGCTCCATGAGGCATCACAATAATTGTAACAGAAGGAAGCATCACACACACAAGGCGCAGGATACATAGCCCAAAGACCAAAAAAAATAATCGCCACCTGGAACCGATCCATAAGCACACGAAAAATGTCTATCGCCTCTTGAATACGAGAGGCGCTCTGACGGGACTATAGAAGAACAATATGGTCAACCACCCTTTCAACAAATAGAACACGAGGTCCACTCACTAGAGCGTAATTGCGGACATCGACTTCAGCAGCCGCTCCTTGCGCTGCTCGAACGTCTCCTTGGCAAATTGCGGCTCGTCCTTAACGTCGACCCGGAAACGCGCGATCATGTACGCAAGGATTGCTACAGCCTCGGTTTCAGAGAATCTAGCGAATATAATAAGCAAAGTCGCTTGTTATCGCAGCCGACTGGCTCACCTCCGTCCAAGACACGATCGCAGGCCACCGCTGAATGGCAGGAATGCGTCCCGGGGCCAGTCGCCCATGAAGCGTGCGGGCTTGAATGCGTACGGGTCTTCCCAGTACCGGGCTGATCAGCATGCGGGTCATATCAGGTGGGCCACATACAAACGAATCAGTGGTACGCACGGTTGTAGTGCAACGCAGGTGTGTGGATGGTGAGATATGTGCCTGCAGGGCACGGCACCGAGATCGACTCGCCAGCCATGTTGCGAGTGCGCAAGGTTGTGTCTTCCCCAGAGGATTTAGGGATACCGTTCACCTACATGATGTTAGTGAGCCAATGGACAACAAGCAGATTGTGGAGCGAGCAACACACCGGGGGGAACAATCGCAGTGTCTCGTAGAACACGCTGAATACTATGAGTAGATGAGATAACGCAAGTGCAATGAAGGCTTACGCCAGACAGTAGCTTAATTTTCCCATGTCTTCGTATGACTTTACGGCGAATAATTATCAGCCTCCGTGGACTTGATGCACGAATTCTGAACATACTGCAACGTGACCATCGGGTATAACATTCTTGATATGTTGATACAATGTTTCTTGTTCATCTTGATACAAAGCAAGCAAGATAAATGTATATGCAAGGGTATGCGCTGTTGTCTGCGACGAGCGTCAGTATAGCTGAACGATAAACCATCATCTAAAATGATTGACCTCATGTCCTGCGTGTCCGCAATGAGACAGCGATCAAATACGACTCAGTAATAGAATAGGAAAGACCAAAATACTAGCTCACCAGCAATGAGGAAAACGAAAATATTGCCTGCGCGCGTATCAGAAACAGTTTGAGGTATTTAATATGACCGCATACCTATAACCTCACTGTTGCTGAGTTTTGCAGTTCCGTCAGACTCGACGTCGTTCGCATCGAGCAAGCTGCTGAAAAGATCATATCGCTCTTCCTTCTTCTCAGCAATCTTGCGCTCCTGGACCATCTGGATCATGTATTGCTAGATCGAATGTAAGTATAAATATACATCGCACAGCCGAGTGAAGGTAAGGACACGACGCACCTCCAAATCAATATAAGCGGCATTGAACTTGCGCGCGATCTTGAAGGGAGCTATCTTGAGCAACCATGTGGGGAATACAACCTTGAGAGCTAGATTTCCTGACACAATGTGTAGCGCGTCCTGTCCACAATCTCTATTACCCAAACATGATAACAGCCGTACGCAACGAACCTTGAATGTCATCGAGCGTCCAGAAGGGATAGTTCCCTCTTCCTTCCAGGACATGCGACGTCCAAACCCAGCTACGCCGATGATGAAAAGAGCCATCTTTGCATGCAGAACTTCAGAAAAGTCGTCACTGTGAGATGAAATTAGATGCCCCACCGGTACTGTAAGGTCCACAATGTTGTCAAGCTCAATCACGTCCTTTCCACTCCAGACGTCATGGCAAAGTTCTTCGACGACACGGACGCTCTCATCCCAAACCAGCCTGTTGTTTCGCTGAAGGTAAAATTGCATACAAATTAAACCATAGAACTGCGAAACTGGCCAAGAATCCAACCTCAGAGAAGGATGGCGCGCTAATTTTCCTGTGGCGCTTCCATTCGTCGGCTTCGGTTACGACAATGTTACTACCATAGAATGTGAGGACTTTGTACTGTTGCAATGGCTTGGGAAAGCGATGTCTGGCACTAGTAATTTCCTACGAGAGGGTGTTGAATTTACTTTTCATACGGCATGAGTGTCACTCGCGTACCTTGATAGCCTCGGCATCGGCCAGAAAGTGCGTGCATTTAGGCGTTGGCCAGAAATTGACCTAGGCTCCTGAGTCGATTGGGGAACTCCGGGACAAGGGGGAAAGACGCACAGAAGAGATGATATCGGCGTTATAGGTGTCAAAGTCCTTGTGCTTGTGCGTCCAAAGACTCATCCCGCCCATTGCGAGGTAAGGGATGCGGAACGGAAAGACGAAAGACTCGGGCCCAAAGATGACTCGAAGCCCAGGATAGTTGCTAGAGGGGACATGGTCAGAGGCATCAGAGGATACGTATAATTGCAGGACGTACTACACGGAACTGATAATTCTCCGCCACGCGACATACTGCTTGACTAGCCAGAGGGCGAGAAGCGACAGACCGATGAGGAGGAAGGGCTGCATGGCGTCCCGGCAGTAGCGGAGACAGACGAGAGAGGGAGGCCTGGCAAAGTCGCGTCGGTGTCCAGGCCCCTGGTTACTATATCCTAAGCAAAAGCGGTGTGGTGTGCGATTCGGATGAGAGCAATGTCATGTGCAAGCAATCGACAGAAAGCCGGAGAATCAGCCGCAATCCAGCGTCGGGCCGTTTCACAGTCCGCGCACTTGCACACTCGCTGCAACTGCACGCCATCCGGACTCTGCTAACAACAAAGGCACATTCAATCTGTTCCAGGCGTTGGCCTGCAATACTGCATGCACGCAAATAAGTAGTAGTATCTCTGTAAATATACGCAAAGCCATTTCGCGGACTCGGACTCGGAGTCTCAGCCTAGTCATTGAGATCACATCAGATCTAACCGGTTCCACGTGACCACAATCCAGATTCATCCGATCTCAAGCAAGTCGCACGACCACTGCAGTTCGCAACTATCGCCATCGTGGCTTCAAGACGCGTCAGGTCAATATTTCAATACTCAAGGTTCCCGCTTCATTCAGGAGACTATGCCGCTGAGGTCACCTTCGAGGCGTGCGAGATCGTCAGAACTGTCCTCGCCCTCAGATCGCACGCTCCCGCCCTTTCCATCCGCGAGATTCTCCAAGCATCTCAGGAAATGTACCCAAGAAAGGTCCTACCATATCCCCGTGATCTAACCCTTCACCTCTTCGAGACTTGAATCCTCTGCGATCTATGAGATACGACCGCCGGTTGCCCAGAGTCACCCTTTCGACGTACAGTCGCACAGGTATCTCAAAAAATTCGTGATGGTATACCTGGAAAAGGAGGGCATTGTAAGGAAGGTGCACGTCGATACCTCCTGCAAACAGACGGACGAGCACGGGTAGGAGGTGCATGTTGCCCCCATCAAGGGTTCTCCGCTATTCCTCATTCCCAAGCACGGCCTACGCAGCTCGGAGAATCAAGGGTCTGGCGTTGGCGTTGATTATCCGAAGTGGAAAGAGGAATGTTAGGCACGACCAGGAAGTTTCGGAAAGACGAGGAATGCGGTTCGGGGAAGAAGAGACAAGTATGCAAGGCACAATGGCACATGGCATCGAAGGATTACCAGTGACAGTGGCCGTTTTATTTATCGTCCAGAATCAAGGGGCCTCCAAGATGTGTCCGTGCAATTATTATCCATGCGTAAGTATCAGTATGTTTTATCCCCTCTCCGCATCCAATAAGTTGCGTTTCATACTATTATTTCATCGTCCTGTGCGAGCTGTGTGACATCTGCTTCGTTGCATGATGACTTATACCATGTCTCTGAGGCAGAATGAATATCAGAACTGAAACACTTCCCATATTGCTTTCTGGACCACTGGAACTACTGGGTTATTTTGAGGTATACGATATTGCATGTACACACATTTATAATTAATACAGAATGCCCAGCTCAAACAAATGGCTCTCGAAAGCAAACAAATATGCGTACTATATGCATCTAAGACTCAAATGCAGCAATCCAAGATCTATTGTTCACCATCATCTCCTACTCCCCATACTGCGATAGGATAGCGCTGGCGAATTGCGCCCCATCGGGTCCATGCTGGCGAAGGTGGCATTCTGTTGCGTATTCGCCCTCGTCCCTGGCGACGGTGCGCTCAGCAAATCTTCCGAACTCGCCAGAAACGCCGCGTCCACGTAGCCGTTCGGGTTATAGCGCCCGTAGCCAGACAGCTTGGACGCGTTGCTTGAGACCGAGCCCGTAGAGGGCACCCGCCTGAGCTGTGGCAGGGGCGCACCCGACAGCGGGCGCGTGTAGCTCGCTGCAGGTGTCGCACCAGCGTTCATGCTCAGGCTGTGCTTGTGTCCTGGGAGGCGAGATGTTGACGAGTGAGGGCTCATGATAGGGAGCGGGGCGCTTGGTGTGCCGGGAGTCCCACTCCCCAACGGCTGCCGATTTGCTGCAGATGGGTCTGTGTACCGTTCGGTTGATGGGCTTGGGGCGCGCAAGTAATGAGGCTGGCTGGGTGTGTATGGCCTATCCGGCGGTGGGACGTACTGCGGCTCGCTGGGAGGTTGGAGGTAAAATGGTGGCGCTGGTGGTGGGATGTGGCGAGGCTGGCTCGGCGGACGAATATAGCGGGGCTGACTGGTTGTGCGAGGCCTACTTGAGCCAGAATGTGAGCTCTCCATAGCAGACGGCGGGCGTAGAGGCGTTTCCGGTCGCACATCATTCATCGCGCTATTACTGTTTCTGCTGGCAGACCGCAAGTGGGGATCAGGGGCAAGCCCCGAATACATGCGTCCAGCCGCTCTTGGAGACGCCGCCGCGGGCCCACCCACGGTCATCCCAGGGGAAGCAGGAGCTCCCATGGGCACGAAGCCAGATGGATATTGCGGTACGGACGATAGTGGACCTCTCGAGGGATAATTCCCTAAGTGGGAAGAGTCTGGTACAGCGGGTGCATATGAATGAGACGGACGCAAAGCCCGAGGAATTGAGTTGGGTGTGAGACGTCCTGCCTCCATTGACACAGATGGAGAAGCATTCGATTCAGGTCCTGACTTTGTAAGATGGCAAATTAGGACGATACAGGAAAGCAATAATCAAGAAAACTACTTACAGGAGGTTGAACAGAAATGGCAACAGAGTCGGTTGAAGTGACTCTGCGGTGATGCCCTGCTCCTCTTTCAGAGTTTCTAAATGATCCAGCATCTGAAGGTGGATTCATGGAACGAGATCTTCGATGTCGTGAGACGTCGCCACTCCCGGACGAGAACGGCCTATCAAACGGGGACACTGATCGTTGTGCAGCCTGACACGTTCACAATAAGTGAGCGGACCATAAAATTTGACATCGAGGAGACAGACCTCTCCCGGAGTTGACCTCCCCAACCAATCTTGCACACTAGCATTCGACTGTCTGACCGAGTCACTGATGTCTTGTCGCGGTGTCACTGCGCTAGAGTCATACTCGCGTCTCTCTCCTCTTGACGTCGAGCGGCGCGCCGCATCACTGCCTGCATAACTACCATGTGGTGTGGGAGATGGTGCAGGGAAGATTAATGATTCAGGGATAATACCACTCCTGGAACGACTGTCAGTTTCTGGGCTAAACTCTGTAGCCACTTCAGGAATGGCATCAAGCACAATGCGTCCAGGGCTTCGGGTAGCAGACCGTGGTGGACCAACCAGGTCAAACTGAGATATGTTCGTGGTGGCAGTCGAAGGCAGAGAATCTGCCAAAGACCTCGGCGAAGTATATCTATGATTGTACCCGTAGTCACGCGCAATAGGCTGAGAATCAGGACGAGGAGGTCCAGTCGATGGAATATTATCTGGAAGGATGTCTGGCAGAGGCGATAATGGTGTGCGCGGAGTGATCGGAGGCTGAGCAGCGAGCTCGTGGGGCGGAGGGAGAATAATTTGACTGTCCGCACCGGCCTCGGGTATCCAACCATCAGGAGGTATTGCATAAGTTGGATGGCTGGACACCGGTGAGGTCGAACGCATTGGTACTGGACGAGTGAATCTGGACATATCGGGTGGGGGCGGTTTAGGCCATGAAGAAGGACCTGGCATTGGCAAAGACGCAAGAGTAGAGGCTCCCGGGCTGGTGATATCCTCCCGAAAGCGCGATCCTTGCGCCCCTCCTGGATGAGGCTCCCGAGAAGGGCCTGGCATCGAGGCAGCCTCTTCCAGTACTGATGCAATAGACGGTTGTGCTAAAGGAATTGCACCTTGTGGTGGTGTAGGTAGATTCAACATGTTGGGAGAAAAGTCATCCAAAGGGGGAGTGCGTCCTGCATCGCCATCGGCCTCATCGCCAGCCTGAGGCTCATCAGCATCTTCATCTCTGCCGGAACGATATCTTGTTCTTCGCGCATCCTCGTAACCCCGCTTCACGCCTTCTCGGTAACCTTGCCGTCGCCCTTCGTCGCGAGCCCTGCTAATCAGCTGCTCTTCCTTCAACCGTCTGGCCGTTGTACGAGCTCTCGCTGCGACCGCTTCTGCATCATCTCGCTGCGCTTCGAGGTCCTTCACGAAGCCGTCCTGCTTGGACAACTCTCGGAGCGCGTTCTCGTACTGGAACTTGTAGATCCCCAACTCCTCTCTCAGACGTTGATTCTCCTGCTGAGTAGCAATCCTGGCCTCGTTTGCGTCCCGAAAGCGCTGCGCAATTTCAATAGCGCGGCGTTCGGCCTCTTGGGCACGCAACGACTCTATGTTTAAATGGTTTCGTGTGGCACCTAGAGCATTTCGTGCTTGTTTTATTTCAATCTCTTCACTGATCAGCAGCTTAACAAGCTCGCGCTGCGTACTGCTCCGACGGCGTTCTCGATCTCTCCTGCTAGAACGTCTAGGTCGTTCCGCCAGACCAAGGGTCTCTCGACTGTTCCCCAAAGACGCGAGAGACAGCAAAGCGGTTCTCTCGGAAGGGGACTGCTCCTGACCATCGTCATCGTAATCACCTTCGTCCGGGAGTCCTCTCGCTTGGTTGCTGCAGAACAAAGCACTTGAGTTATACAAAGTAATGCAGGGTACAACTGCCTACTCAGCAACATTGTTCAAGTAATCCAATGAGCCTGACATTTTCTTCAGAGTATATGTTAAGATAGACAGTCACAGAGGGATATCGGTATGCAAGAACAGTTGTATGATTGTGAGGCAATGGAGGTAGTGGACCTAGTAGTACAAGCGTTGGTGCAACTTGACCAGATTTGAAGATAAGAGGAAAGAAATCATCTAGCAAAGTTCATACATATGTCTGCCCATACCCTCAAATCCAGAGTGCATCTAAGCGAGAAAGGGACGAGGACCGGCGCAGCGGAGAGACGCGAATCCAACACGCGCGCCATAAAGATGGACCCAGTCTTCGCGCCGTCCAAAAAGGCAACTCTTGTTCACCATGCTCCCGCTCGTACGCGTCCATCTCGCGCGCCGCTATGTTCAGACTAGAACGACAGCTCAGCGGTCCATTATCTCGCTCCCAGATCTTTCGTCCTTGTCCCCCTTCTCCGGGACAAACGGAAATCACAAACAGGACCCCCAGACATATCATGAACGGAAGATTCTCCCGTGAGTTCGTTTTGATCCTCCGCTCGCACGGTCAATAGCAGTCTCATCGCATACACAGCTACAAGCCCAGTCAGCTATACGCAGTGGTTGCAGATGCAGGATCCTATCCACAGTTTCTACCATTTTGCACATCAGCCAGGGTCTTGAACCACAAGCCGTCCACGGATCACTCTGCCGAAACGATGCAAGCGGAATTGACCGTCGGTTTTCTGTCGTTCCAAGAATCCTACGTCAGTGATGTCGTGTGCCGACCGCATGAATCGGTCGAGGTATGTATCTGCATCTTGTTTGTGTAAATCTAGGTGCGATTTTGCTACGCAGGTCACAGCATCATCGTCCACACCTCTATTCCGAACACTAAATACAATTTGGCGCTTCCAACAAGCGTCCCCTCAATCACCCCATTCTAGTAACAGGTCTCCACTGCCGTCTGCTTCTGAAAGCCAGCGTTACACAGAACCGTCTGCTGGGCGAGACACTGGCCCGACCCTCGTAACACTGGACCTGGCGTTTTCATTTGCGAATCCTGTCCATGCAGCGGTATCAGGGGCATTCTTTGGACAAGTGTCAAAAATGATGGTCAAAGCATTCGAACAGCGATGTCTCGATATTTATGGGCCGGGAAGACAGTAGTACATAATTGATCTGATTTTTAGCGTGTATTTATCCGGTTCACTGCGCATATACCCATCAGACAATCAGACTGAGCTTTCCCACTCATATGCTTTCTCTTGTAATGTCGCACCTGGTATCGGACCACTGTCTGTATATGTATACGCGTCGTCATGCAATCTATACTCTTGCGAATATATTTTCGCGCCGTGTAAAACCTTCGCATGATTTACAAAATAATTTCAGACAAACCACCATCATAAGCATATCTACGAAGATATAAATCATACTGTCGCTGTCACCCGCATCTGAATGCTTAACGAAATTAGGGGAGAAACCCTTGCCCAAGGCATATCCTTAGATTTTCCTAATTTGAAGACGCCGGGGTGGATGTGAAATTGGTCACTCACAAAGGTTTAAAAAATAAGCAATGGGTATGGTCTTGCGTACCTCTGCAACATGGAGATCACCATCGTCCTCGCGCACTTCCACTTCGTGTAAGGCTGAGCAAGGAGCTCGATTAAAGGCCGGATCCCTTGTGGGAATGAACAAAGGACATTTCTTCCATGTTGAGCTAACCACTTACCCAGGCGAGACCGTCGTGCAGCCTTACAAGAAGCTGATGGAATGCACGAGTGGCGGGGGTGACCTTGTACGTGAGGAGGAACAACGGATGGTTTCCTTCGCTAAATCAGACTCGATAGTGAGGTGTGACATATTGAATGAAATACGACGAGTCTCACGGACGGTACTTGAAGGATGTGAAGGGCTGGCGAATCGTTGCTGGGAGAAAACTGGCAATTAATACCCAAGGGTAGCGCCTGTGGTGCCACTGGATTCAAACGCACGAATAGTAGTGTATCGTCTACTTCCTTACCTAGACGACCCCTCACGAAAGACAACGCACCCATTCATCCGTCACATCCGCATACATTTCATATGGACGCAAGAGGCAAGTTCTATTCGAAGCTCATCGCATCACGACAGATCTAGTCATTCGCGGGATCCACGAGGTTTATCCTAAATGACCGCGGCTAGCGGTTGCGGAGCGCACTTAGACCGAGAGGAGCTAGACTCATGCAGTTATGGGAGATACATCAGCGGTTCCTATCGATATGGCGTTTTCGAACTTCGGTGGTGATATTGCTGTTCGAAGCACGCACCAAATATGTACCCAGCACACCTGACAGCGTGAGTCACTGGTGGTAGTTGGGGTCAACACCATGCAATCCGTGCATCGCATCACGATTCAATGGAGAACCACTGTCTTCTGCAATATCAGTCCGATGCTAGACTCCTTCCATTCACTACCACCTTTGCAGACGTAATTTCTTCAGAATAGTAGACATACGCTGCGAACCCGCTGTCTGAACAATCTCACCAGTGCATTGCAAATGCTGCTCCCGCGACTTGAAGACCATCTTCCTAGATTGTAGAGAAATGTCCAATTTGTCATCCGGCTCTTGCTTCCCCTTCACACGACAATCACCGTCAATGATGGACTAGTTGACCAAACAGTCGACTTGGTCAGTTATAGTATCTTCGAATGTGCTCATGAAGAATTCGTAGGGCCCATCTCCTTGTCACCGTGGGCAGAACCGTGATGCGCGCCCGTGTTAGGTTCAAGAACTGTGACCGAATTCCGAATTCCTCGCAACCCTCTTAATCTGTTGCCCCTTAGACGGGAGCGGCCTTCCGTACATTCTGCGAGAAGATGCAGACCAGCCGTCAAAATAGCAGGCGACAAACAGCGGCTCTTCACTGGAGGTACCTTTGTAAAGGATAGGCCGGAAACTGCAATAATGCGGCTAGCACCAAACATATGGATACCGCGCTCCACAGTGGCGAAGCGTTACTTCATTTCATGATCATGATTATGGAGCATTCAAAATTGATGCTCACCGCCAATGTCAGATTGACCGTGGCTGCGGTGCCAGACGTTAAACGGCCAGCGATGCCCCGTCCTGCGGAGTTGCGTGGCCTCCCGTGCACAGCGCAAAATCCTGTGAGTATTAACTCATCCTGTCACTGCAAATTGGACACATTTCAGCATGGTTGACGTGATTCCCTTCGGGGATGATCCAAAACATACAGACAGCAATGCGCGGATGCGCCAAACGGGCAATTGGCATACGCACCGCCAAAACTCAGCAAACCGGAACCACGGCCGGACGTAACACGATCAACGCAAACATGTGCGTCTCATTTTTGAGATCGAACCCTTCACATTGACGAGGAGAGCACAACCAGCACAACAGTCAATAGCGGATAAATAAGCACGTCGTGACATGATCATAAATCATGGGACTGGGATCTTTGTATAGATACAGGGCTTCCTATTCTCGTACAAGGCGATACTGAGGAAGTCGGTATCAGGGTTTCAGGCGACATATTCAGCAGTCTCAGGACAGTCCCGGGCAATCTAATAAGTATATCAATGACTCTTCGTTAAGTCATACAGTAGAGTTGTGCAGCTTACATGTCCCTCTTGCTGACACTTATAGCATGTCTTGTTCTTGTTCGGGTTGCCCACAGCGGCAGGAGTACCATCAGCCACAGTGGTACCAGGTGCAGCCAAGCAGTCTCTGTCAAAGTCTGCATCAACACCTTGGGCTACCAATGTGGAGGAATCTTCGTACCTAGCCATATGGTTAGGGCCTCCGCAGCGGTAACATTTTACGGGAGGGAGAGCAGCCGTGTTGAGAGCTCGACCGGGAGGGGGCGCACGAGACGCAAAACCAGAACCACCGGTCGCACTAGGACAGGCCCGTGCAATATGACCAAAACGGCCACAATTCTAGGTATAAATGTTGATTAACAATATTGTCAAAGGGCTTTCAATACGCACATAGCATTTCTGGCCAGAGCCCTGCACCCTCAAGCTGGGACATTCGGCCTGAATATGGCCAACGCCTCCACAAGAGTAGCATTGCTTAGCTGCAACGCTACGAGGCTGAGGGCACGCAGAAGACTCATGCCCGGGCTGGCGACAATTGTAGCAGAGACGCTGCTCCGACGTACAATTCTCTGCTATGTGACCCACTGCAACAGCATTAACCCCTAAATGAGATGTAGCATAATTGTGAGGCAAGCAAACACATACAGTTTCCACACTTGAAGCAACCCTTCCTGCTGAACTGATACGCCATCCTGGCCGAACTTCTCGAGATATCCTGAAGTCAAAAAAAAATGAACGATGATTAACAGTGTATGAGATTCTCATGTAGATTCGGTGACTCAAGTAAATGAAGCACACCTCGCTTCTTCCCTCTTCCGACTTCTTAGCCCTTCACTTTCCTTCCCTCCTCCTGCGTAGGGGATTGACGGGGAGCAAGATGGGTAATCGTAATCAAGTGAGATCCGGAGGTGGGCTCGAGCTATCAGCCACTGTGACCCGGCCCTAAACTACGGGGGAAGTCACACTGTGTCACGCTTGCCGTCTCGCGAGCCATTTGCGCGCGCGCGAACCTGGTGCGAGCCCTCACAGTAGCTGGATTGTCGCTTATATATTCACATCTTGAAGATAATCCATGATCTCCTACTGAGAACGAAAGTCCGCGAAGGGGATCATGCGATGCGCAGGGAACTGGACTTGGAAGTTTGCCTTGATCGGCACTCGGCCACATGCATCTCGGTCGTATCTGTTGACAGTGTCACCGTCCTCGACCCTGCGCTCGATGATCAAAGATAGTGCAGGAGGAAATGCTTCCAACAGCCACCGACTGCATCGGCAAATCTACGGCCATATCCTACGTAGCTTGGCCAGCCAGGTGTTCTGAGGCGCCATACCGACCACCGCTCCCAGTAGTGCACACTGCACAGCGCAGTAGGACGGAGGGTTGGGACGTTTCATGATCATATTGAGATTTCGTGATCCGAATCTCCGCCTAGCAGGAGTGAGAGCATAAAAGGATCCGCTCAGAACTTCGTTCCGTCGGGCTCGCTTCCACCTCCCCCGACCCAGGGTCTTCAGGCTTGCGAGGTGAGCGTCCTAGCTTCATCATGGTAGGACTCGATAAGTAGATCTGACGCGGTTGCCAGACACGGGTGTGAACAATCCAGTAGATTCATTCTTTCAGGCGTGCAGCCGACCTTCGCCCACCCGCATCCATCGCGCTTCTTGTGGGGGTGCAGGTAAATTTCGCTCAAGGTCTGTCAAAGGAGACTGTGTATATGCAGATTGGGTTCGAGATTGAATCGATCTAGCGTCCAGCGAACCTTCGGCGAAGTTGTCAGACACCCCAGCAATACGCGTAGTAACGCGCGCGCGAAGTACGGCTCAATGTGTGGAAGGATGGCTCTCAATTGTTCAAGCTTTGCTGTCAAGGGTGCGTCTACCATCGGATCTTAATGTTCTGTCGCGGGCTGAGCGCTCCCATTAGCCCTCGCTAGTGCTTGAAATGGTCGTTACATACGTATGCACTATGTCTATGAGAATGATCTATGCTCTTATACTTGTGAATTGTTCGACTGAGGATGGTTCTTCACTGCGGCTCATTTTTTGCTTCATAAGGATCAACAGACAGGTGGCTATTGTTGCCCTTGACCATCATTTTTTTAGAAAGTCTTGTCTTGTAAGATGCTGGGCACTTGAGCCCACCTCATCTTTCATCCATGTGATCTACTGAATAGGTGCACTATTGGTCTTCCATTATGCTTTGGGGTAGGGTTTTTGTCACCATTTTACTGATTGGTTGGATTGTGCAGCAAATGCTTTACATGCTCTGGCTTCACTAATACCTGGATCAAATAGGCAAGCATCTGCAAGGGCATTGCTGGTGAATCTTGGGTATCTTGGATGGTAAGCTTGCTCATTGGTCCGGTAAGCACTTTTGAATAGAGTGGTAAGTGGCCACTGTCCTGGGTATGCCTGGGCATCGGTTTAAATTTTGAAATCATGATTTGAATGATTTCTCCAGATAAGAATGTGTCCGACGCTTTCTTCTGCACTGATGCCATCACCCAGGTCCACAAAATACTTCCAGGCATGCTGGGTGTAACATGCTGCTTATGATAGGTTGGCACGACATCTGCGGTTAGCAATATAGACCCTGTGTAAAGACCTAGAGGTAGGAGGAACTTGAAAGATCAATATCTTTCCCAATTGCCAAATTGATTGTGACACAGCGGCTGTTTGACGGCTTAGAGCTAATTTCCTCGCACGGTAGCACATTCTTCACTGCGTAGGTGCCGCTGTGTGGGCCCATCAGGAATTTACTGTAATTTACTCTTTGGTCTCGTCTCCAGACTCCAGAGTCGACACGACGAAACCGGTGCTCTTATCTTTGAAACGGAATTGAGATAAGTCCGACCACTCCGCTCATGATCAGATCTTGATCTCGCTTAGTGAACCGTAACGACTTATCCGATTATCGGGCTTAGCAGCGGGAGCTGCTCTTAAATAATTGAACTCAAATAATCCCACGGACGAGTTAGTAATGCTTTCCGACGTCTCGTCGACTTCATTTGAGTCGGTACTTTTCAAAACGAAAACTGGTAGTGAGACTTAAGCCAGGTTTAGGCATAAACATTCCATTTCTGCGGTAAGCGGTAGCAATGGACGCGTCTTGACTCGATACTTGCTGGTAGATAATCTTGGCGTGCCGGGATGTGCTGTCCGCGCTAGGCACCGTATGGCCTCGTACCCAAACCAAACGTGTCGAAGAGTACCATATAATAATTCGGGCTGATTCCGGGAAGATTCACGGTCGCTTGCTCACCTCCACGAATAGTCAGCTATCTCTGGTGAGTCATGTGCATGCGCAGCCCTACCCCTTGAAGCTACACAAAAGCGAGCACTTAGTGTGAACCCTCCTCCTCTTTTGCGCGTCCAGAGAACAATGGCTTCAGAGAAACGTCAAAAGGCGATCGACCTCTCGCACCATCTTTCTGACCTCTCGCGTGCTCGAGGCGTCTCACCGCTTAAAGGACTCGCCAAATACTTTGGACGCCCGGGCGTGATAAGCCTTGCAGGAGGTAATGACCATCTCAGTTGGCCTTCGACGCGCTACTGAGCTTCGGGGTCACTGCAGGCCTGCCGAACCCGGCCTATTTCCCCTTCAACAACATCGGAGCGGATGGTAGGCAGTACATCGCATAGTCGATCGTTTCGTCAGACTCTGATGGCGTCCGACGCGTGTACCAGTGCTGGTTCCTGACTCGTTTTCCCTCAATACCACGGGACAAGACGAATCCTCCCTGTCTTGGTTCTGGAAGTTCTTTGGTCGTGCGGGGAAGGAAAGGACAACGTCCATCTCGATCCCCAAGTTTTCAGAGACCACCGAGCAGGTCAGCCTAGCTGTTGCCCTACAGTATGGCGGCATTGGGTTGCGTCAGCTTCAGGCCTTCCTCAACGAATTCGTGGAGAAGGTGTATCAGCCCGCATACAGCGATTTTTCGATCCTCGTTCACACTGGAAACACAGACGGGTATGTTCTGTCGTGCAATGTGAAGCACTCGCTTAGGACGATCGACTACTATTATAGGTGGTCCAGAGTTATGCAAACTCTCATAAATCCCGGGGAGAGCTTTTTAACTGAAGAATGGACTTACACTTCTGCACTTGCAACCACCAATCCGCATGGGATGCACGCCGTCCCAATCCCAATGGACAAGGATGGAATGAGCAGCACTGACTTGCGAAGCATTCTTGCTGGGTGGGATGAGAAGGCTCGCGGTTGCAAGCGGTACGATTTATCCTTGAAGTCGATGTAGGTCGCTGATCAGCTTTTAGTCCACATGTGATGTATACTGTCCCCGTGGGCCAGAATCCGTGCGGATATGTAAGCATATCCACTCAGGCGGAGAATTTTACGCTGAGTGCATGCTGCAGACTATGAGCAGTATTCGCAAGAAAGAGATATACAATATCTGCGTCGAGTATGGTGGGTTGTGTTCTCTAGTTCTCAGAAAGCTAGTCCTCATGTGATGTAGATATCATCATTGTCGAAGACGATCCCTATTACTTCATGCAGCAAGAAGACTACGTGCCCAAGTCGGAGCGTTCATCGCAATCTACTGGTAAATATGTGAATGAGGCGGATTGGCTCGCCAGCTTATCTCCAAGCTATCTAAAGTAAGTGCAGCCTACCCAATAGTAATAACGGCGTGAACACCGTACAGATTTGACTACCAAGGTCGAGTTATAAGGCTCGATACTTTTTCTAAGGTGAAGTAGGAACTTCAGGTCGGTCAGTGTTAGCCACCATCTGATATACATCTGTTAGTATATTGCGCCTGGTTCTCGCCTGGGATGGCACACTTGTAGTCCTCTCTTCGCAGAGCGGCTGGAGAGACAAGGTGAAACTTCTACGCAGACACCGTGTGGGTTTGGACAGGTGAGTTGGTAGATGACAGGTTTGTTGTGGGATGCTGACCATTTGGGTCTCCCGATAGTCCTTGGTTACCCAGCTCCTGACCACATGGAAGTATGATGGATACATTCGGTGGCTGCATGGTGAGTCTCATTCGCAGTAAGCCGTAGAGATCGTTTTGACGGTGTGCAGGCATCGCCGTTCAGTACAAGAATCGACGTGACTTCTTTATCGATACATTCGGGGATGAATTTCACCTTGTGCCCTCAACTTCCAACATCGGTTTCTGGAAGGACCGTCAGGTTTTCGACGCGTATGCAAAATCCAAGAAGTGCGTCATGGCGGAGAAAGGCGAATTAGGCACCAAACTTTTCAGCTTTGTACCCCCGTCCGCGGGCATGTTCATCTGGGTTAGTCATTTCGTTCCTTCCCCTATCGCCGATCGTCGATGAAATTCTGTTTAGTTGAAAGTGCACTTCGAAAACTGCCCAGGAGCAAATGCTTCTGGTGCAGAAAGGCCGGAGATACAGCTGTGGGTTAAGATTGCTGAGGCCGGTGTTGTCATTTCCCCGGGCTGGTTCTTTGCCGCAGACGAAGAGAACCCACCGACGGACGAAACGGAAGGTCATTTCCGGATTAGCTTTAGCTATGCAGATGTACGTCCTTTGAGTGCTTTCAATCAGAGTCATGTTGACCTATCTATGTAGTTTGAGACGCTGAGGAAGGCGGTGAAGATCATTGCGAATGTCATGAAGGAATTCTTCAGAGTGAGCGATTAGATAGACTAAACCAATAGTTAGACAATTCAGACTGTAGATTTCATGGACGCGCTGGGGAAGGTTGAGGGTCTTTTATTTGTGACCATGGGCGACATATCTAAACACTATTACAGTACACTCAACTGGTGCGAAAGGACAATGTAGTGACTAACATGTTAAGTAAAACGTTAGATATCTTCAAGTGTGGGAATATCCGGGATTGGCAATAGATCACAGGACGTCCACTTGCTTGCCCTCATCTACTTCGACCCACCCTAAACATTGGCTATGTCCACCGACGCGTCTCCTTCCCTTTCTGCCGAAACACTGCGCGCGCTCCAACAAGCTGTCGGTGATGCGAATAGTGCTGCTAATGTTCCAAGGAAACCAAAGCCTAAGCGTGCTAGAGAGGAGCAAGCCACTCAAATCAGTGCAGAAGATGAGGCAATAGCCAAAAAGAAGAAGAAAACTAAGGTTCGTCAGGGCGCAGGCGTTGATGCGACCTCAGTCGTTTCAGCGGATGCTTCTGCTGCCGAGGCTGCCGCTGCTACGGATGCTACAATGTCGGAACATGAGTCAAAAGGGAGCGAAAAGAGGGACAAGGGGAAGGAGAGAGAAGAGGAGCCGGAACCGGTGCAGCAGCAAGATTCACAAGTAGCTGCGCCTTCAGAGACAGAAATTCATACTTCGTCAGCAGATTTCCTTTCTGCTGTTGTCGCTGCAGCATCTGCTACTTCTTGCCAGCCCTCGCCTCACGGGCATCTACCATTCGATCAGACAATACCCCAGTATGTAGAGTACTCGCAGGATTTCGCGCACTACTCGTATGCTCCCCCACATCCAGGACCATACGATGCCGCACAGCCTCCTCCGATTTATCCGGACCTTGCCACTCTCATCCCAGGGCTCAACTTCAATTCGAGCGAAGATCTGCTCAGGTCATTGCAGGAATTCGATATTTCGAAGGTAGCATCCGTACTACGGTCATTTGGCTTTGGAGATACCGCAAATACTGCGAACGTTTCTGTCACTGGACAGCCTGTGTTTATGCCCCCTCAAGGTCCGCCTCCAGTTAACCAAACACCCGTGAGGTCAGACGCCATTTTAGGGCGTCCGCCTAAGCAGAAGAAAGTACTACAGGCGTCGTCCTCTCAGCCTCCTATTCATCCACCGCCGCTGCCATCACCACAGCTGCAGCTCCCCTTAGAGGTAGATAATCCAGAGCATGCGCATATACTAGCGAATGTCTGGATGAATGCTTCGAAATTATCTGACATGGTCAAGAAAGAAGGTAAGGCTGTATCGTACGTTGCTAATGGCTCTAAATTTCACTTTTTGTAGGTCTCGTCTATAAGAAAGGCAAATTCTCCGCTATAGAAGATGGGCAGTTGAACGCAGCGATTGAGCACTACCGTCTCGTAAGCAATTTGTTGTCGGATGTTTAGCGTGAACATTTTGTAATCACTGTATTCAATAGTCAAAAGGGCTCACCCCGCAACAATTAAACGACATCATTTTCTCCAAGGAGAGGGGTAGAGAAACGTTCTGGCAGGAAATTAGTATGCTATATTGATGTTGCTCTTTTGAAAGAAGTTGAACCCTACTCTGATACAGCTTCTGCTTTACATTTGCGCCCTATCATCGCTGTATATCATCATGTCCGTCGGACGCGTCATCCACTGAGTCAGCAAGGTAAGTGGATGCCTACAGAGGATGATTTGCTTGTACAGTGAGTAGATTTCATCAGAGCATCATTATCACGAGTTCACGGAGACTGCAGAGCTGTATCTGAGCTAGGTCAGCAATGGGAAAAGGTTAGCGAGAGAGTGGGCCGGATGTCGTCCGATTGTCGAGACAGGTGGCGGAATCATCTTCAAGATCGCGGAACTCGTCAATCAGGTTCATATGAGATTTTTTGGCTCTGCTCACTTGTTTATGTCGTCCATATGGCAGGTCCGTGGTCGAAGGAAGAGGAAGAAGAACTGACGCGCATTGTGACCGAGATGACCGTTGAGAAGGGCAGAGACATCGACAACGATATCTTCTGGGGTGTGGTCAGCCAGCGTATGGGTAACAAGCGTGGTAGACAACAGTGCAGAATTAAATGGTGGATCATGATTTCGTTCAATTACACATTTGACTTATTTTTTTTCTTACAGGACCGATACACTCAGTACTCAAATTAAAAATGCCGGTGAAAGGCCGCGTTGGAGTCAAATGGATGCGTACATTCTCGTGCACAAGTACGTTCTGCCCTCCATGCGCCCTCCATCCGTGCTGATAACTGTTCTAGAGTTGATTCGTTAAGTGTTCGCGACGATAGTGAAATTGACTGGAAGCTGTTACCTGACGAACACTGGAACATCTGGAGCGCTCACTCACTACAAAGACGTTGGTTAACGATGAAGAGAAGCATCAAGGGGCATGAGGAGATGTCCCATGGCGGTGCGCTTGATTACTGTCTAACAAATGGTGCCAACTCAGTCTATTCCAGAGATCATGGAGATCTTGAAGACGAAGAAGGCTCAGGCTTTACCCCCACCGACCACAAGCCGCAAAAAGAAAAACAAGGTCACCAGTGCTGAAGCAGTGGTTGATATCGATGAAGACGTTCAACCGGAGGCAGGATCTAGTACAGTCGTTTGAGTAGCCTAGAATGAATAAATGAAGGAAATCGGCTACCACTTGTCCCATAACGCGAAATTTGAATGTGGTCGTCTATTTGAACGCGTCCACGTGATCGCGTTCGACGCGGTTCTAACCAAACATTAGTAAACGCTTTCGAACACGACGGTTGACTTTCGTTTCCCCGAGTGCGTGAGCTTGCCGTCACGCGGCTATACTGTGATTCGTCTCGGCTGCTGCACTGTCTTCGTATCGTTAGTTGGGTAACTCTTCTGATTCTTCCAAGGCTTGAACACTTTTATTTATCTTCAAGGTATGGCACTGAGCCACTCTCCCCGCAAGGTCGTCCCCTTAGCTACTGGAGACGATATGATTCCGCGGATACGGGCGAAGTCGACTGTTCAATCAAATACGAAACGTGTTTTCTTTTGCGGAGTGGTAGTGGAAGGCTCAGACGGTGGGAGGGAGATTGCTGAAGGTATGTTTCGACCTGATACTTCGGAAGCTTTGTACAAGCTTACATATTTGGGTGGCGATGTCTGTTATTTCACACATCTAGATGTACAAGACCTCATTGCGTCCCTCGGCGAGCCGTTTGATCTTGAACTAGAATCGGAGTCCGTGACATCCTCATCCACACCGGGAGCTAGCTTACACTTACCGACAGTGAGTTTCACTTTGTTCAGTTTGGACCTTACCATCGAGATCGCGATTGTTTAGGGTGCCCGTCGACGGACAACGACGAACTCGTCCGCATTTGGCGATATCCTCAACGAGCTTGTAGCTACCGAACGATCTTATGTCAACCGTCTAAAGACTCTCAAGAATGATTACGCTGATCCATTACGAATGTTTGCCCGGAGCAAAGATACCGCTATACTTCCACCCTATGAGGCGAAGACGCTATTCGGTAACATTGACAACCTACTTCCAGTGAACGAGGCATTTTTAGGAGATCTAGAAAAGATGAGTTTGCCAGGCGGCCCCGGTGTTGGGGATGTGGCCCTCAAACATTTCAAGCAGCTGAGAGGCTTTGAACACTACAAACAGTACTACTCTAAGCGCGAAGAAGCCCAAGCCATATTCGAGCGAGAAATGAAGAAATCTTCTGGTTTCGCTGCCTTTGTCGAGGTCAGTACCTCAATCTTCACACATTCCTTTGCTCACCGTGCTGTAGCGCATCAAATACTCGTCCACTGACACTAAGAATCGTGTCGGTCTTCGAGAACTATTGATGGAGCCCGTCCAACGTATACCGCGCTATACGCTGATGTTTCGTACCATGATCAAGCATATGGCTCCAGGCGATCCCCAGCACGCAGCGCTGGTCGAGGCCGATGAGATTGCTTCTCGCATTGCTCTCGCGGAAACCGACGAACAGACTAAGCGTGCCGCTATCATGTATTGCCTCAGTTCCAGTATAGACGACTTCCCTCCAGCGCTCGTGTCTCACGGCAGACGTTTCGTCGATTGTATTGATGTCGAGGATGTGCTCCTTGACGGTCCTGCATCGTACGCCTCCGCCAACACTTCGAGCCAAATGGGAGGGAACTTATCATGTACATTGTTCTTGTTTGATGATAAACTTATGATTGTGAAGCGGCCTGGGAATGGGGAGAAAAGTGGAAGAGCGCTCGCGGGGCTGGATGACCCTGACAAGATGGCCAAAGCGAGTGGACGGTCGTTTGGAAAGAAGAAGAGCGGACTATCTTGCAAAGGTGTGGTCGATGTGACGGATGTTGTTGCTACCGATATTGGCGGATCAGGTATATGGCCAATGCAGATTTTTTTCTCTCGACACTGACGACAGGCTAGACTTTCATGTGTATTTCGAGACTGCGCCTTCTGATCAGGGTGATCGTTGGTCAGATCGTCCTTTCCGCGCATTCTCGACTGTCCGTTCTGGATCCGCGGTTACTGCAGCTCAAAAAACGGAGGTAGACAAGACCCAATTTCTTGAAAACTTGTGGGACGTACAGGCACGCTTTAAGACGAAGAAGGGACAATCAGTCGTCTTGCGTGCACCAGAGCGAGAAGTGGAGAATAAGGGGGGGAAGACAACAGTAGCCAGAACATACTTCAATGTATACACGCGTATGGCCTTCCTACAGGAAACGAAGAAGGTATGTCTGGTGGTTGTGGCTAGAAAACATGTCTCAGTGTTTGATACATATCCAGTCCAAAATTGTTCTTCATATCGACCCTCTGGGCTCGGCAGATCCTATACCTTTCGGGATACGTGGTCCACCCTTGGTCATCGTAAGGGTACAACCTCTTGCTGGAGAGTTATGCAGGTATAAGGTCACGTCGGCCATTCCGAGTGACGATGATGACGAAGATATCGTACAAACCGCGCGCGTGCCAGAGCGCATCGTGCATACTAGTGCGTTATGTCTGCGGCTTTCCGTGATCAGCGGCTGAAGTCTCGTAGCTCATCAGTATGGTTTATTCAAGTTCCACACTGGGATCAACTCGGTACCGTCGACTCCGACAGCAAGTTCACGTTCGCGAGTCAACATTTTTGGATTGGATGCTATCTCACGCAACCTCTTCAATGCGCGACCGGGATCGGCCATGGGTGACTTGTTCGGAGGCTCCACGAACAGCCATAGACGTTCAAGAACCTACGCAAGTCGTACATCCACCATGACTGGTACCACGAGTAGCGGCGATGGCAGTTTCTCTCGGTTCTCGAGGACAAACTCCACCCTTACTGCGGCAACATCTATCATGGATGACGAGTCGATGAAGATGTCGACAAGCAGTCGAAGGTCTCGGTCTTTATCCCGAGCAAAGAAGCTCATGAAGAGGGGCAAGTCTCCTCGAGGTGAAGGTTCAGTGAGCGAGCCAGACACATCACCACAGAGGCTTGAGTCCAGCTTCTCGCGATCACCGTCTAGAGAGCCTGAAGATGAGGATGGTGATCTGCAACAACACCATATGGTAGGTATGGACCCCTCCGAGCGTGATTTAGCTTTGCGCCTAGAACTGGCGCGCCGCAATAGCCAGAATCAGAACGAGCAGAAGTTCCCTCCGCTATCCTTGGATCCGCCCCTAGAAGACACCATTTATGAAGGTCGGTCAAGCCTCGATAATTATACACTGGCTATTCAATTTATTTCGCAGAGGACCCGAACCCGTCACGACCGTTTTCCAGGTCTTCTCGCCGCGAATTGCCTAATATACCTGCAGATTCGCAGAGCCAGCGATCCACGACACCTAGACTCGAGCCAAACACACCCACTAGAGCATTCACACCAGATATGTCAGTTGGCAGAAGTCGTCCACTTTCTCGTCAATCATCTGATCGACGACCCAGGGGGCCTCGCACGCCCTCACCTTTACCGCCCACAAATTCATATCTTAATCCGGTATTAGATGGCTCATCTGTCGATGTGGATCTTACATTGGAAACGACACTGGTGGATATGGCACAACCTCCCGTAACGCCCATTCGTTCTCCCATTCCCCGTAGTAAACGCCAGCCTTTTGAACCAGCAGAGAATCTTGATTCGACTCCCAAGGCGAATGAAGCATCGAGACCACCCAGTATCGTAGAGCCGTTATCTATCAAGAAGAAGATCTCAGTGCGGAGTAATACCAGCACGATCACCACTTCTCCGACGTTCTCGAAGAAGGCTTCTTACTCCCCGCGTATTTCTCCGAAAGGCAAAGTGATTTCACGCAACGGTTCCCCTCGTAGGGCTGCTGCTCAGACTCGTAGCTCACGCATACCGGTTCCCCAGACCAACGTAATTACTGACACAAGCAAAGACATTCACTTGGTCAGACTCGTGGAGACCACAAAACAAGATGTACGTGAACGGTCCGCTGTAGGTCTAGCGTCAGAGCTCAACCTCTATACTAGCTGGAGTCATGTCGACGCACTATCAAACGGATACGACTGGAAGCTGACAGAATCTCTTCTGCTGTCCCTGCATCTACTGATATGACCGAGCGCCCTGCTTCACCGTTCAAGGGAATGCGGATGCCGCAAACCGCTGCTCAACCATTGGTATTGTCATTACTCTCAAGGACAGTCCGTATATATGTTGATAACATCAATCGCAGACTAGGGAAGCCCAGGCTCGTATGGAGGAATTGCGGCAACTGATTGGTAGGCGAAACGGTGAGAGTACAAGAATCACCCGACCGCAGAGCCTTTACAGCCCATCCGGAAGTTCTTCTTCTTTGTCGTGGCATTCGAATACGCCTCCTAAAATGAATGAGATCTCGCGCTCAATTGAAGATCTCGTTGATCAGGCTGACAGCGATCTGGAAAAGGCGATCGCAAGCCATGAAACCCTTCAAGCAGGTATGCAGACGATTGATACTCAGCTGAAAGACGTAAGTGTCTGCTCAAGAAATGTTGGATACCTACAATTTGAATGAAAACCTACAGACATCGACAGAACTCGAACGCACTAATAACGAGCTACAGAGCGCCAAGCGTCAGTGTACCCTGGTCAAAGACCTCCTCGCCGATTGCACATCCGAGCAAGAAATCCTGTACAAGGTGTGTGACAACATGGTGTCATTTTTGCGGTGAAGCCCTGAGTTGCAAACAGGCCTTTAATGAGGAATTGGATGGGATGTTCAATGACGCCACTCTTCCCGAAGATGAGGCTTGGGCTGCCATGACGAAAGATCTGCGGAAAAGTAAGGAGGCTCGCAATGCATTGTCTCTGGAGAATTCGTGAGTCCTTCATTGTAAATTTGCAGCATGACGACTGAGCATCTCTTTACTGGAAGGCGACTCAAGCGTCGCTTAGTAGAGCTTGAAATGCAAAATAAAGAGTATGTGTCGTTGTTTCGGGACTGCCGAAAGTTAAGTTTAACGCATTCTATAGGTGGGGTGCGCTGCTTCGAGCACATGGACTTATACCTTGACGACCATCGTCTTTCTCGTGATCTCATGCTTCAGATTTGCTCTCACATGCTATGCTTTCACATGTAGTACATATATCCTCATTGGTCTCTTATGTATTGTGAATCTTCCATTGTATCTCGTTGCATATATGTTCGTTATTTTATGTAAGAAGGTTATACAAACCACATCTGCGTCCGACTCGTATCGCGCGCGAGCTCAAGTGCTCAGGGCAATGAGCGTCAGCTACACCATTGCCTGAATGGGCAATTAGCGCTTTGCTTGAACCACCACCTTGTTTCGTTCTGACTGTGTCCTTCGACTCGGCTTTTTCACACTGAAGACACGTTGTATCTTGGTGTATGCAAGTATCTTTCTAATCATGTCAAAACGTGGCGCATCTCCACCGCCTCAGGGCGCCCTCATCAAAAGAGCACGCTCATCTTCCCCACCTACAAACCAAATTGCTATATCGTCTTCAAACGACGAGCGACAACAAGCTCTTATTCGCACTGTGCAACGAACAAGTAGCCTTGAGGCGCCAATTATCAGTCTGACGGGTTCGCATGGGGTAGGTGCCCTCCGCGGAGCATGTATAGGCGCGTTCACGAACGTAGTTAACGCGAGTGTATAGGCAGAAGTTATGAGTTGTAGGTTTGATCCTACTGGACAAAATATTGCTGCTTCTTCAGCAGACCGCAGCGTTTGTATGCTACTCACGTTTCTGAACTTTCTGGGCACCTCGTTAATCTCCGTTTGGCTAGCACTTTGGCGAACGTATTCGCCCAACAACAACTATGGCCTTTTGCCTAATCTCCACAAAGCTCCCATTCTTGATCTTCAGTGGTCCTTATTCTCCCAAGTCTTGTATACAGTCTCTGCGGACCAAACATTAGTCGTTACTGACCTTACCACCGGACAACGCGTGCGCAAATTACGCGCTCACCGTGGTATCATCAACTCGCTTGACAGAACAATGGGAGGAGGTGCTGGTGTTGAACTGGTTGCAACAGGAGCAGACGATGGGACAGTGAAAATCTGGGAGGGCGGAGACGAGGGCACAAAAGCTCCCGTCAGTGTGTTTGAGATAGGTTGTCCAGTCACATCTGTGTGTTGGAGTGCGGATGGCTCTAACATTTATGCTGCCGCGCTTGACAACGAAATCCATGTCAGCACATTTTTCATGCTCGCTAGCTGCGAGTTGTGGTGCTCATCCATCTTTTCTAGGTCCTCGACGTTCGCAAAAATGAACAAGTGTACACGCTGACTGGTCATACTGACACGCCAACATCATTATGCCTTTCCCCAAATGGCTCCTTTCTTCTCTCGCCTTCTTTCTCTTCACAAACCATCATTCATGATGTTCGGCCTTTCTCGCCTTCTCCCGCCCGTATACACCGTGTTCTGATGGGTGCGCCTGCTGGATTTGAGAATACGCTGCTCAGAGGGGCATGGAGTAAGGATGATAATGGCCGTCGTGCGGCGGTGGGTGGTGCGGACCGGACAGTATGTATATGGGACGTCGAGAACGGCAAAGTGCTATACAAGGTTTGTCTTTTTTATTGAGCAAGTCTACGTAGCTAATATATATAACTCTAGCTGCCTGGTCACAAAGGAACAGTAACTGCTGTTGATTTTCATCCAAAAGAGCCTATTAGTTCGTATTAATCTGGTGATACTCTGGTGTATCCACTGAAAGCGTGTTTCTAGTTTTGACAGGAAGCAAAGACGCAACTATGCTTTTGGGTGAAATTGAACCAAGCCTTGGGGTGTAATTACAGACACGGTAGCTTCCTTGGTCGAGATTGGTTGAGTTCGTATCGTGCTAAGTTTATGCAGATAAAATATACAGCGGTTGCTAACGGATGTCAAGTTCCTGCCCGATACTTTCAAATCATCATCGCTATTGCTGCTCTATTTCGACATATACTTCAATCGAGGCCTGTCATTAACGTTACATCCCTGCTCACTGCGCCCTTTCTACGCCGCCCCAGAGCGATCGGAACGATCTTTTTCGTTCAGTATGAGGATCCCGTACGTCGTCTAGCATGAAACCGCATCGCTTGTAGATCTTCATCGCCGCGGGATCGCTCACATTTAGACAAATCTCCTCTTTAATGCCTTCTTTTGGTGCAGTTGAAGAATTCCCTTTGTGAGTCGAAGGCGCAACTCCCAAATAATAGCGCGTCACTGTATGCACCATAGTTTCCGCGATTCCTTTGCGCCGGTGATCCGGCAATACGAATACGTTCCGAATTGCCACTGTGCGTGGTGTAACTCGGCCCACGAGGATATAGCCTGCGACCGCGTCACCCGAACGGTACGCCCATACTTTTCCCTTATCCACGGCCTCGCGTATAACATTTTGCGCAACTTCGAGCGTCTGAGGATGGGTGCCATTCCTGGAGAATTCGACGTACAAAGGTGCAAGTGCCGCTATGTCTTCTTGGCTCGATGCCAACGACACTTGATTATGAGAAGACGGCGTGGACCAAGGAGGTAGCGATGCACGTGTGGCGCATAAAACCCAGCCTTTGACGCTCGGTTCTAATGCTGTGAGATGCACGCCCTTGGACTGCATATGGGCTACCCAAGCCTTGATGAAGGTATCCACTGCCAATTCTGGGCCAATAACCTTATCGACAAGATTGGGGTCAGTGATGCTGGAGAGATAGTTTGCAAGCATCTGTGCTGCTAGGAGTAAGTCGGCACCATCTTGCGCGCATGAAGTATCTACGTGACTGGGGCTTGCCATCATCCACGCGAAAGCCTCTGCATGCTTTGTGAGAGATAGTCTAATATGTGTCATAGAACACGATGACATGAGTGTCTCTAGGTGGTTGACACAGGCTAGGCAACGTACAATAATTCGTTCCCTCTATACACTGCTAGCAGGACCTTAGTTGGCCGGTCCCTGTGCGTTTGTGTTGCCGCTTGGATAGAGTCGGTATAGTCAAGGAGGGAACCGAGGGTAAAATTCATGGAATAAGTGTCGTACTGCGAAGCAGCCTCTATGAAGTCCTGTGGCTCATTAAACTGGACGATTCGAAGAGCGGACATGGTGTAAAGTCTGCTCTGTGCCCTTTCATGATTGTCGTCAATTTATATGGCCGCTCATGTACCAGCAGGCCTCTAGATGATCAGATTGGAAATTACGACAATGAGTCATTCACGCAGCCGCCTATTGTACTAACTATATGAGCGTAATTTTGACTCACGTCCTCAGCCTTAAACCTCGAAATGTCATGTGGCAAGCACTGCACATGCACACTGTACTCTCGGTAATGATCAAAGTGAGCGTTTTCATGAATCGGGCAGCGGTAAGTACGAGAGATGATCTATGGCTCACGCGCCGTAACGGTGAACGACAAAGCTGCATTCAATTGTCAGGTACACACAATATCGAACAGCAAGCCTTCCATGTGCTACTGGCATCTACTTAGAAGCTGTAGACATCTTGACACCTCTCCAGATTGACCGATACCACCCCATCCTTCCGGTATCCGGATCTCGTGCATCATTGTCCAGCATAAACCCACAGCGCTGATACACCCTCATCGCCACAGCGTCACTCACGTTTAAACAGACCTCTTCCTTTATACCCTCGCGTGGAACGATGATAGTATTTGGCTCTTGTTCTGGAAGCGATAGGCCAAGGTAATACCGCGTTACGGTGCGCACCATCGCTTCTGCAACACCCTTGCACCTGTGCTCTGGCGAAACAAACACACTCCGGATCGCAATTGTGCGTGGCGTGATCCGGCCCACCATGATGTACCCCGCGACTGCTTCTCCCGAACAGCAAATCCACGCCCTTCCTGCCTCCACGGCTTTCTGCATAGAATGGCAGGCCTCCTTTGGGGTTACAGGACGAGGTACGTCGCTCAAGAATGCAAGGCATAGAGGAGTAAGCCTCACTACATCCTCTGGCCCTGAAGCCAGCAATACTTGGTGCTGTGATGATGTGGCTAGGGATGGGAGGAGCGTCTTGCGGGTTGCGTAACATACCCGCGACCTGTACAAAGGCTCCAGGATCGTGAGACGTACACCGATTGTTTGCATTTTGGCGACCCAGGCTTCGATGAATGCATTAACCGCATCCTCTGGGCCCTTGACGTCGTCCACGAGACATGGATTGATCATGTTGAAGAGTGACTGCACGAGAAGTCGTGCACCTTGACGTAAATCAGTGGAATCTTTTGGACATGATGCGTCTACATGGCTCGGAGTCGCAACGGCCCATAGACGATCTTTTGCATGCCTTGTGAGAGACATCCTGAGGTATCACGATATATTTGAATGATATGGCACCGTATGTGATACACGAGAAACTTACAACAGTTCATTCTCCCTATAAATTGCCAACAACACCACATCTGGCTTTTCTGAATCAGACTGAGGTCTCGCCCGGATGTTTTCAATGTAATCGAGGAGGAAACCTCGAGTGAAATTCAAGAAGCAGTCGTCATACTGCTGCGTGGCCTCTATGAAGTCTAGGGGATTGTTGAACTGAACGACTCGTAGGATAGACATGGTAGCAATAGATGCTGCGCCGCGAATTCGTAAGGTTGATCACTTCATGTTGTTGGGGGAGTCAGAATGACTCGTCTCATGAGCGCTACACTCATGAGTATTGCCGCGCGAGCGTAACATGCACTCACTACACAATAAACCAACATTCTCAACCGAGGTTGTGTCCGTGCACTATGACAACCTGTATATCTCCGGCTACCCTAGCGACTGCGATTCCAACACCACACGATCAGAGAGACAATTCTCAGAGGTGGTTCACGCACGCTTGAAGATGGATCAGCGAAACGGTCCTATGTATATACTAAAGCCTAAGATCATTTGACATGCTGGTCGTAATATTCAATGTCACGTCGTTTTGCCATAAGTCTTTGCATTCACGGAGTCATCTTCATCGTCGCAGAGAACACCTGTCTCCGCATATGAACTATGTTTGTCTGCCCACGCAACCGCATCCCGTCTCCCGGTAGTAATGTCGACAGCTTTACGAGATAAAAATAACTCAGCTAAGACTCAACACGGGCCGGAAGAGATACTCACCGAACCAAATAACGAGGCTCGCCGCGGTGCACAACGCGAATAGGAACGGAAAGCCTTTCCAATTGTTATTCGTGTCGTTGATGATAGCCTGGATGACGTTCGGTCCAATCATCGACGAGGCGCGATTCGAAAGGCCAAAGAGGCCAAAAAACTGTCAACGAAATGAGGTAACAATCATACATGCCAGATCGCTAGTAGACGTACCATATTGTCGAAACCTGGAGGTGTCAATTCTGCCATCATGGTTTGGGAGAATGCGTAATATGGCGCTTGGAAGAGGCCGAAAACAACATTGTAAGCCCTGTGATGTCTCCATTGATGAGCGACTACCCCAGTCGAGAGAACGGGATGTCATTTACCAGAACTCCCATACATTGTGAAACCTTAGGCTATGTCAGCAACGATGTGGCACTATATATATAAAAGCAACTTGCCCAAACTTCTGCGTCCAAATTCCAATCATGCCCCAGAGCGGAATCAATATCGTGACGACGTTTGTGACCACGAACTGGATGTCCGCGTGAATAGTTTCTGGATGGCGCTGATTTTAAAAATCTTACCATTTTCTTCGTGCTGATCTTCCAGTACTTCTGGATGTACCAGAAGCCAAGCGTGCTATCGATCAGACAGCCTACGTCAGGAAGCGGTTCCCGGCTACACTCACCGGTACGATTACATACCTGACCGTGGAGGTTATGGCCTGTGCCAGCCCGAGATACGTATTCTGCAAGAAAGAAAAGGAGAATTTATCATTTTGGCAAATAGAAATAAGCGTCCCGGTTGTATTCAAGCCCTGTAAATGATGTATTGAGAGGTAGTGTCATTGAGTCCAACATAGGACATACATCGGCGAGTAAAAAGAATGCTACAAGGTAAATAAAGGTGTATGGGAGCTTCTGATATTGCTTTAGCGCGATCCATATCTATTGCCGAGCACCAATTAGGTAAATATAGCTGAACTAAACGCATGAGATGTCATACCTGCTTCCAGCCAATTGTGAGGTAATGCTCGCTTCTAGGTAGAGTGGGACCAGGCCGAGGCTCCTGGAAGATGACTTGACAAAGATTATGAGTAAGCCCAAACTTCACAACTGTGGAGACACTTACACCACCAGATTCCCGTTATGACCCAATATGCGTTGGTCCTTCAAGAAGATCAATATGAATAAGGAACAACAGAATTGGTCTTCATACAGTACAATGGTATAATTGTCGACCAATGAGTTGTTCGCGAGCGGGAGCAGAATTGATAGATTCAGACAGAGCGTGAATATATACCCAACGTTACTGTGCATCTAGAGTAGCTTGCATGAATGCGTGTTAGTTTAGAAAAATTCCGTATTCTGCTCACAGTGCTGATGTTGCTGATCCTATTCTTCTCGAGACTTTCCTCGAGCTCATACTCTTCTACAGAAACCTCGCCGCATTCATACTTCTCCCGCAAGCCGCGCGCATGCGGAGTGTTACGGGCGAGTCTAGGAAAAATAGCGGCGTAGAAGACAAGTGTTGCCCCATACGTCACGAATCCGATCATGTACAGCGCCATAGCTGCCCCCCAACGAGACGGAGCTGCCACATGGTGAGCAACAAACAGTCAACTTTATGAACCAATGCATCTTGAGAAGTTCAAAAATGGAGAAACGCACATGTCAAAGCCATACTGGCGAATTGGGCTCCCCAGCAAATAATTGTGATTACAAGCAAAAGCCAGCGTCCAAATGTTCCATAATCTGCCGCCGAGCCAATCGTAGTAAATATCAATGTCATAATCTGCGTGGTCATTGATTGCACGTAAGAGACGAGGTGAAAGATGCGATCGCGACGGATACACACAGCAAAGCTAACACCGTTGGAAACAAGCACCACAGAGCTTACTGCTTTTGTTCCACTGCCCCAAGGAAGAACACATTGTCCAGAAGCATCAGAAGCTGTACAGGATGAACCTGGCCCGTATACAGGATCATATCCTGCAGAGGTCGCAAGAGACTGGAATAGTGTCAGGGAGTAACCTGTTGATACACGTCGTGATAGTGCGGAGAAGCTCAACAACCTCGCCCCGAAGTATTCTCTGTGATCAGCATACCGTTGGGCCCGACACCCTGAGCACGAACGTCAGCTAGGGGTGTTGAAATCCAAGTGTTGCGTGTACATACATTATCTCCATTATAGTACACTGCACGGGCCATGCAAGTCAACCGATATCCAAATGCATAGCAATTAAGTACACACAATAGTAGCTCCAGAGCTCCTATAAAATATGCGTTAGCATTGCAGGGGGCGAAATTTGGAGATAAATGACATACCTTTCGAGTGACAAGTGGTTCGTCTCTTTTAAGCGGGGCAACTACTGCCACTTCGACCTCTATCTCCGGGGACTTGCTGATAGAGCCTACGACGATATCTTCTGTAGACAAGACTTGTTCTCCAGTGGGATCCATTGTGCGTCGAGTGCCTTCTTAACAGCTTGACGGGAGGATCAAGGTGAGTGGGCAGGAAACATCGACGGCAAATCTGGGGATCTGAGGCCATTGATATTTGAGGGGCTGATTCCCAGGGATATGCTTATCATGTGGAGTAGAGTGAGGTCTTTGAACTACCCCGTATCGATGTGATAGTGAGATAGATTGCAGGTCCAATGTCCATGCTGGCGCAAGCTTGTGGATTCCGAAGTTGATAGTGGATATCACCAGCTGACTCGCAGCGCTTCGCTACAGGGCATTGGCAGGGCTAAGACTGATGCCTTCAGGGCCAGAGACGATTGTGGGAGTAGAAACGCTTCTCAGGCTAGTCAAGTGCGCAACGAGGGATGAATCGACGACTCGACGGGATGAACCCAAGTGAAGCAATAATTTTGATTCCGTGCAACTTCAAACGAGGAGTCGGGACAAAAACGCGTTCGATCGCATTGTGACCGTCGTGACATTTGTGTGACGCAACGCGTCGAGAGCGCGTCCTTTGTTCCCACGGGCATAAATCAGTCTACATGCGCGTGTCGGCTGCACCGCACTGACTGGGCCCACCCCTCCCCTCTCCATCGCGAACACACACACACGTTGCTTTATCGCTCCTTTGTCTTTTTCGCCCCCGCCATGGTTTTCAGCTTTTTCTCTGGAAAGAAACAACAGCCTCTGGCACCGCCAGAATTTGTCCCTCTTCCTCCATCCCCGTCGCATCCAGCGACGCAATTGCCACAGTCGCAACTTGTATTCGAAGCGCAGACGCAGACTCAGCTGAGGACACCATCGCCTTCGGTTGCTTCCGTATCTCTGGTACATTGCGCTCCTCAGTCACCCTCGCCCGCCACCAAGATGGCACGCCTATCCGTCGATGAGCACGCGAGACAGGTCTCGCCCACCAGACAATCGACGTCGAGGATGACTGCTCCAGTATTTCCGACACAGTTTATTCCCCCAGAAGCAACGGCAGAATCACTCACTACCCATATATCCTCAATACCAGCAAAAGTCGTGCATAGTTACATCATATCCCAAGTCCCACGCGCATCTGAAGACATCCTCTCCGCTCTCGCGAATTTCTTCTCGGAGCTCTCTCCTCCGCCTCGATTGCACTGCGTCCGCTGTCATAAGGATTACACAGAAGTAGACAACGACGACCGCAGCTGCTTGGTGCCACACGACGACGAGAGTGCCGAAGTCGAGCGCGTCGGAAGGAACGCGAACAGGGGCGGCAGGTCCGCTGGCGATCCTGGAACGACATACGAGACAATCTGGGGGTGTTGCGGGAAAGTCACAGAGGGAAATGGAGATCAAGGCCCGCCGGACGGGTGGTGTTACGAGGGGAAGCATACGGTCGGTCTCCATATATCTATCCAATATACTAGACTGAACATCTCGGTATCATATTGTACAGACCGATACTAAACGTGCACGCTTCCGTGCAGACTCCACCCCTCAAAACGACAAACTGATTTCTTGCCTCCGCCTCAACTGCCATGGCATTCGTGACCAACTTCCGCGCGCATCGCTTCGCAAGCGGCGCCGGAGCGTGAATCTGAAGGAACCCGACACCGATGAGGACGCAAGTAAAGGGGATCCAGATAGCGGCGTGGACGAGATTGTTGGTAGGATACCTAAGAACAAAGGCAAGGGCAAAGAGAAGGCCAAGTCTGTGGATGACGAGCAGATGGACGTCGATCAGGACATGGAGAGCGCTAGCAGAGCAGGAAGCCCGCGCGGACGCCCTCGCGCTCGAGCGAAATCAACGACTACTCCTAGTGCTAATGCGCCCAAACGCCGGGGCAGGCCACCAAAGGCGAAGGCAACGGTAGAAACCGACGGCGAGGATGCGGATGCAGATGACACCACGTCGGTCAGGTCTGCACCGACTGCGCCAAAGCGTCGCGGGCGCAAGCCAAAGAGTAAGGCATACATCTCAGATTCTGACGCCGAGGGTGAGGAAAGACGGGGTCCACGAACGCGTTCACAGAGCCGAACACGTGCAGCAACGTCTTCCGCGACCCAGAAGCCGTTGAGTATGGCAGCTAGTGCAAGTGCAAAACCTAAGTCTCGCGTCAGGAAGGCAAAGGCCACAGATGACAATGATATAGACGTTTCAAGGCGGGGTGATGGTGATACAGAGGACCAACCGAAGAAGAAACGTAGGGTTGCTGCCTGAATTGGGCCGGCCAACCCTCGCTGCAGGCTGTCGCATGTAGACGAAATACCTGCTTTGGATGCTACATGGAAGCGGATAAGATCTGCGTGTACACCTGGTACGTCACACGACAGAAATGGGAGACTGGAAGCTCACATCAAATACCTGCAGATATGTTGTGATTGGGATCAAGAACCGCATGTTTCGACTCAAACTTGCCACTATGTATAACTTCCTCATCCTCTGCGAGCGCAAGATGGGCTAATTTAACGCACACTGCATTTATTACTATCTACGAGCTCGTTATGCCACTCACACTCCTTCTTACATACCATCTACTTTTATCTCCTCTTGTTGACTGCCTATTGGTTTTGGTGCTCGATTTTCACAGTTGTTGACGCCTAACAAATATATATATATCAATCTTGATCTCGCTGCGCGACTAAAACAATGACAAGAGATCTGGATGGGCGTCAGCTCTTATCACTCGTCCTTCATGTTGTGTTCGCGGCAGCTTGAGCCTGCTTTCGGGCTCTTTGCTTTATGCTTTGACCGCAGGCAAAGAAGGCCTTGCCGCAGTAGCCCAGAAGAACGAAATAGGACACGAGGATAATCGCATCCCGTGTGTCGGTAAATTCCTCTCCCAGCCCCCGAATACATAAAGGACTCCGCAGGTCTACCGTTTCTTCATCTTCATTCCCCTCTCTTCCTTGACCTCTGTGGCCATGTCGACCCCAATTGATGTCACTATCACCAACAGCAGATGCCCTCTGCCTCCTGAGCCCACTGCGCTGCCCGTCGATGCGCCGTTCATCAGGTTCCCGCCCTTCCCTACGCCACCTATTGGTGCCACCGTCGCACCTTTCAAGTCATTCAAGCCTTGCGGGATACGCATCGTTGATAACCTACCTGAGAACTACGTCGAGATCGACGGGCAGGGCATCCCTACCGCCGAGCTGCGCGTCAAGCACGATCTGACCGAGTCCGAGCTCAAGCGGAAGCGGAAGTCCAAGACAGTGACCACGTCTGATGGCAGTGTCCGCCGTGCAATGTGGTACGAAGAGTGGGACGCAACTGAGAGTACGCGGCGTACCATCACCCCCATCGACCCGTGCGTACATCCCTGCCGCGACGTAGAGTGACACCCGCGAACTCACCTTCACCGATGCACTGCAGGTCTCAAACGCGCGCCGATCGCCTTCATCAAGCGTCCCAAGACTTCAAGGCTACTCGTACGTGGCCTCCTCCCACCGCGGGCCTCTCCCAGCTCTGGGATGCGGTGTGTGGACTTTCACTCTTGTGGCGTGCAGTGCTGAACGATGACCATGCATACAGTTCCGTCTCTATGTCGGCATCATCAGCAGCATCCAGCCGCCCGCGAGCCGCAAACGCCTCCAGCAGATGCAGGCGGCGCAGGCGGCCGCCGATGCTGATGAAGATGACGACGATGACGACGATTTCGCCACTGTTGAGCCACAGGAGAGGCAGGTTGCCATGGTTGACGAACAGCAAGCGCGCGCAATAGTGGACGAACGGCTCGCGCAGACGAAAATGCCTCAGATGGACGAGGAGCGACAGCTGAGGCGCGAGAACTTTCGTGAAGCGAAGGAGTCGCGCATGGATGCGTTTTTTAATGATACCGAAACGAACATCAAGATCTTCCTCTCTTCTCACTTTCGTGATAAGGGTTTGATCTGGTATGCAAACGATTGAGATAATTTGATATCTATTGATTTGTTGTCTGTTTGTCACAGGTCAGAGCAACGTTGTCGTGATGCGCCAATCCTCTTGCGGTTCTTTCTCGAGTTCTTGCTCCGGAATCGCGTCCTTCCGGAACCTGAACACGAGAAAGGTCTGCGCCGAGCAGTTCTGGTCACCGAGCTAGCGCGAAAGGAGCTCCCCACCACTTTTGTGATTGGTAAAGCACTCCCAGATGAGTTCAGCTCTGGCTGCGAAGCATTGTGGGGCAATATGACCAACGATTCACTTTGGTCTGTTCTTAATCAGTCTGAAAATTCCAAGGAGGAGCCTGAAGCCAAGCGACGTAAAGTGGAAGATGTAGAAAAGAAGGAAGTGGATGTTATGAAGGAGGTTCTTGGTGAAGCTAACATAGAAGTCCTCACTCCTGAAGTCGTCAAAGGCTTCGAGCAAGAAGTGCTTAAGGACCACGCAACAGCGGAGGTGAATGTTGACGGTGCTCAAAACGCTGACTGGGGCGATGCTGGGTGGGGCAAAGCCTCTGGGTGGGATAATGCTGATGCACCAGCGAACGAGGGTTGGACTGAGCCTGCCACAGACACATGGAACGACTCAGGTAGTTCCTGGGACATCGCACCTACTCCCAATCCATTGATGTCCTTCCTCGGGCCCGCCATCCTCCCACTCACGCACACGACCGGCGTGATCGAGCGATCGACCCGACGTATCGTCGCGATCACGCCTGCGCCAGTGAGTGCAAAGGGCCCGCCCGCGAAGAAGAAAAAGGGCAAGAGTGGCACCGAGCTCGTTGAGGACGAATTGCAGACGCGCTTTGCGAAGCTGACGCTGGCGCCGTGGGCAGGTTGGGATTTGTACGAACGGTCGGAGATCAGTCTCCCAATGATTCTGCGGGATTCGCGGGGCGCGGTGGTCACGGAACAAGGCCAGGACACGATGGACACGAGCACCGATACAAACCCCAACCCCGCGCTGCATGACCCGTATAAGGACGAGATTGCCATTCTCATAACCCCGTCGGCCGCAGAGAAGGTAGTTGTGGGCATGGGCATTAGTGCGACGTGGATCCAGATCGCGCGGCAGGACCTCAAGGGTGTAGATTGGACTGATGAACAGACAGTACCTACGAAGAAAGGCAAGGGTGGTCTGGGTGAAGCTGGCGAGCCTACAAGGTTCTGGTACATGGAGCAGCTGATTTCCATCCTGCCTAGCTATCATACTGAAGCTTGAAGCGTCTCATTAATGCCGCTATAAATGTGTCTTCGCCGTGAGCTCGACAGTCCATTTTTTGGTCTCGCAATTCCTGCCTAACGGTCGTCTATTTCGAGCCTGCATAGTGTCATGTAGTATGAACAAGTCAAGGGAAAAATCGATTGCTTGGTTTGGGCATTATCGGTTAACTTCACACGAATGAGACTGGTATAACTTGACAATGATAAGGGGTGGTATGTGAATACAAGAGTTGTGTTACTGTCGCCGTGCGCGGAGTGTAGACCTGCGAGTGGAAAGCCAAATACGCATGCGGTAGCAAATTGATACTGCACGCTCACAAGTCTCAGAATACATACGACAACAGAAATGAGTATTCACGATGAGTCAGTGAGTAATACAGCATTTTTAGAGGCTTCGGACCGCATCCTCAGATTGGAGCAAACCCTAAACGGCATCCACTCTCACCTCGGCTCCGCATCTTCGGTAATATGAATAACATGGGGCTCACTTTCCGGGGTAGTTTTACGTCTTTCCTTGGTTGGATACTATGCCTGAATGTCAGGGTTGTACCAATCGTACCCTGACCGAACCACTTACACCACGCAGACGCAGCTCATTCGTTTTGTCATTCCGGATTACGAGGTTCAGGCCACTGTGGACGAAGCACGATTGGGATCAGTTACTCTAGAGCCACAGGACGCAAAATGCGCCACTCACTCTCTAAGACTGCTCATGTCTACATCAACCTCGGTATCGCCAAACATTGCGGAGCGCATGACGGACTTGGGATTCGAGTTCATGTACCTCAACGTGCACTCCGGCAGGACGTACGCGATCGACACCTGGCCGTCCTTCCCCGTCGCGTCCTCCTCCGTGACGAAGTAGTATGCGACGACGGGAGCGTCTTTCGCGGTCGGCATGCCGTCCGCATCGCGGCGCTCCTTTGCGAGCTTCTCTTTCGCGCTCTTGTGCGCGCTGCGCACGCGTTCAGGCACCTCGTTTAGCGGAACGCGCGTGAACTGGAGATAGTTGAGCGAGATTTGCGCGTTGTCGTCGCGTTCATGGCCGTCCATGAGCCGGCGCATGTACGCCATCACGTCCACGGGCTCATGCCCGCACTGCGCCTGGATCGCGAACCGGTCCGCGTGCTTGATATCTTTGAGCAGATCGAGCGTGACGATCGAGAGCATCCAGAGGTGCTCGACGATTTTAGGCACCGCGAGTGCGCGTTCGGCAAGCTTGAGCAGCAGGTCGTTAGGCGTACCTTCGCCGCATTCGACCTTGTGGCCAGCGCGCCTAGGACGCGAGACGTGTCGGGTACGGGAGATCTTACGCCACATGTGTGCTTATCAGTCAGATTTTCGACAAGCTTGCGAACAGTACCGGGCCTGCATGCACGGAGCGGAATGAATCAGTCCCTAGCGTGTCGTGACGCGTCAAACAAATGGGAGGTCGCGCACCCGTTTGCTTCGCGAGCAGACTTTTATATCGCGACGCAACAAGACCTTTTGGCACGCATCGCACGCGACCTCAAGATTGTCCAAATTCTCCTTGCGGACTTGGCGCGAGGGTCGCGTGCGGCCTCCTCGCGAATGGACGGGTTGACGACCTGAATGGACGGGATCCTGCGTGTTGGGAGAACATCGAGTTCTGCTGAATTTTTTTGTTCGCTCATTGTAGACTCGGTCAAAGCTGTGGGAGGGTCGAAAGCTGTGGCGAGTCGCGGACGGTTTCAGGGCGAACGCCCTCGCATCTACGGGACTTTCCATATTTAGCGGTGCTTCTCACGTCGTCGATCTGGATCTACGCGGGCGCCTGCGATAGGACTCGCCGCTGACAGCATGCACGCAATATGAGGTAAATAATAATAATAATATAGCATCTACAGGCTAGAGCAGTCTGTATCGCTCATCTCATAATCGAGAAAATAATAGGATTCGAGCTAGTCGAAATATCCATATCCTTCAAGCTCCTGTAATACTTACTATGACTCGAAACCTCTCAGGCTCGAAGCCACCTGGATTGGTATCCCAAGTTTTTGTCAATTCGCTATCCTTCAAGTCGCCATTTGAAGCCCGCTTTGAAGTGCCACATTTCGCTGTCCTCGAGTCCATGATATGGTACTCACCCTAGCAATTGTACTACAGACGTAATTGCGCATACCCGAGACTATTTTAGAGAGGAACTGACGTATGATTGACAACAGCGAAGTACAAATACATTAAAGCTTCTCGTGGAAGCATACACGTCCATGATTCATTTGCTAGATTCTATGCCCCGTGAGTGATCATGCGAATAACTTAGGCAGAGGCCAAAGAAGACGTCTGCGCAGGGAGTCAGATGATGATCCTGTGACTCAGGCGTGAGACCGTACCTCAGCGTTGGTAACGATAGGCACGTCCCTGTTGGGAGGAGAGACCGAGACCGCTGCGGAAGTGCGAGCGATGGACGCCAGGTCAATATCTACAGTGTCCGGGATCAGCAATAGACTCGGCGACGCCCACGACCAGATGGCCCAAAGCACATACTCTCGCGCTTCAGGGCCCTCTTCCTGAACTCCCTAGCCTGCTGGAGTTCCTCCTCGCTCAAGGAGCTCGTCCTCCTCTGGACAGGGCGCTCGGGGGCAGGCTCTCGGGAGCGGACAACTAGGCATATAGACGCCACGGTCAGTATCTTGTGGCGCACGGAAGGACATGCTCTACCTTCGGTATCTCGAGGCTCGGCCTCTTCGTCGAGCATGCCGGCCTCCTCAAAATCACGCTCGTGCTGGAGGTCACCCCAGTTATGGCCGCCCGCACCGCTCTTAGGCGTGCGCTTGTTCATGGCGTTCTTAGCTTCGGAGCGGTCTTTGATGATGGCACGAGGGTACGCAGCGCGCTCAGTGCGAGTCATGTTGGCGGCGGTATATGGGGAGGCGGGTACGAGGGCGAGAGGGAGCTGATGCACTGTGTGACTGTTGAATACTTTGCGTACGGTAGCGAGGTGATGGTGATAGTGATAGTGGTGGTTGCGGCGATGGTGAGGAGGGATTCAGACAAGGTTTTATATCAAGAGGGTGCGCCCCATGGCGCCACGGGCGCTGGGTTCGGGATACGTGCTCGCGTGACTTGTTGGCGACAGACCCGCTGAATTGCTCCTCGATGCGGCTCGAGGCATTCCAGTCGCTTCGAGCCGCTTCTCCCCTCGGCCTGTCTGGGCGGCCGTCGCGTAGCCTACCGTCGCCAGCGCATGTTTTGTGTTTCCTCTCTTCCAGCATAAATGCACTACGTTCCTAATGCTTAGCTGCTGCGCTGTGGCGTGCAAACGGCCGACAGAGCCGCGGCGGCTTTGGTGGAAAGAGAGTGGCGCCGAGCCAAGATGACCTATGCGGGGAAGCGTGGGACTTTGTCTCGCTCTCTGCCGGAGAAGTAGAATGTCGCAAGCTTAGGCTCATCACCGGACCACTGAACTGCCCCTTGTAAGAAAATGGCACGCACACGACAAAAGACGGTCTTCAAGCAAGCGTGCTAGGTGGATCCGGTCATGGTATAGCAGAGACAGCAACGACAGCAATACGACAAAGTCACAGTCCACACTCACAATGATACTTCCTCTTCTACCCAATTCAATGTCCACGCAATTGCCTTTCTGCAAACTCGCGTCCCCGGGGCAATAATTTACCAAGCTCTCAATGGGTGAGATCCAATCTCCCTGCTGCGCATGACCTACCCAAGTCCCCAAATCCCTGCCGACCGCATGCCCTCCACAAGCGTGTCCACATTACCCAGCATCGACCGCAGGATTTCCTTCTTTTCTTCCGTAGTACGCGGACCGTTCTTCGAAGTCTCAGCCGACGGCACCAGTTTCAGGCCGATGTCTGAGCCTACCCTCGTAGAGGGACCACGCGGATCCAACACCTTCATGACGTCCGCGCTGCTCTGCGCACGACGATGCCTGTCGCGATGGGGAGCAACGGGCGTCTTGAATCCTGCCGATTCGCTTGCAGTCGCGCGTAAGGTTGAAGAACTAGACCCTTGGGACGAGATAGAGTGTCCGCGCGTATGAGACAAGCCGCTTGGTCGTGGTGTCTGAGGTGCGTCCCCAATTTCCGAGGTGATGTCTTCGGACGACAGTTCGTCTGTGGTGGTGCGCCATTTGTCCTTTGCTCTAGATGATGAACTCGTTCTACCTCCGCCGACGCCCAACCGCGATACCTGCGCTTTCTTAGGGCTAAGTGGAACATAATCGACTTCTTTCCTGAGCATGAGTAAAGACCGGGACTGTGCTCGATGCGTTGGGGGTGTCACGATGCGTGGCGAGGGTGCAAGTGCCGGAATGGGCGGTATCCCAGTCTTGCCCGAGGGTAACCTGGATGTGTTGGAGGATAGGGAGGAGTAGTCACCAGAGTACTTGGACACGCTTTGTACAGAGCCTATCGAGCTCGTCGACGTGGAGGCCGCAGAAGTGAGTGAGAAGATGGATGAACTTGAAGAATCCCGAGATCCGGTAGTCGACGTTGACAGTTTGGATCGATGCGAAGGTTTAAATCTGTCACTAGGAGAGGTTGGTGGTGAGTTTGCTGGGCTGGTGTTAGTAGAAGATGGCTGTGTCGAAGGACCATCCCCTGAAGGGGCAACCGTGGTTGTTTCATCCAGGAGGTAAAAATACAGAAACTCAAGGCATTTCATCCTGATAAAGTATGAGATAGATACGACCTGCTCAATAGAACTGGACATACTTGTCTTCCCGTGGGGCTTGGTATCTCTTCAAGAACTTTGCTACTAACTGCACCCCGTTGAGTTCCTCAAAGACACGCAAGGCTGGAGATGAATCGACCAAAATGCAAAGAAAGGTATCAAGGACCGTAGAAACGAGAGGCATAGATGGCGCGTTGGGGTTTGTGATGTAAGCATTTTCCTTTTCGGCCTTAGGAGAGGTTGGAGGTGAAGTCTGGCTACTTGTGGCGGTGGTGATCATTGACATGGCAGCGATATGACGAGAGGTTTGAAGGAGCTCTAAAAGTATCTATATGGCCTACCACTTAGACCTCACATAATACAGGACGGACAACGGACTTGCTCACATCAAGGGCATATCTACGGCCAAGATATTGTTTGCTTGGCTTATGTACCAATGTCACACCTTGGATGATGAATAGTGCTTGTATCAGCTGAGAAGTCAAGGTATAGATCTCGGTCATTTTTTGAGCTTGATAATTAAGACGCCATAAGCACGAAGTCGAGCCCTACGGGCGATCATGAGGAACCACTACTCACGATCTGGAGACGCTTTACTTGCACTGGTGACTTGCTCCAAGCGGGAAGTGGTAGTAATCATCCACGAGAGTACGCGGGATGGGACTGGGCTCCCAGTGCGGGAAAGTAATTAGCATGACGTAGACGACGCGTTGAACCAACATGCACACCATTGCATTCGAAGGCATCTTGCAATTTGAGAAAGAGCTGCAACTTCTTGGCGCTCTCATCATCATCTTTGCGTGCGAGCGTCTCTGCCAGCAGACGTTCTATGGCGGAGAGGACCTCGCTGGTCCTCGTAGGAGATGTGCGCGCCGAGACTAGCTATCGATAAATACAACCGTTTAGCAGTCGTGACCATCAAGCCAGCAGGCACTCACCTCGTCGAGAGCGTCTTGCAGAGTGTCCTTCATGGCGGACATGACCACCATGTTCAACGAATCATGGGCGACTTCAGCCTTGCCTCTGCCTCGTTGCCACCACACCACAGACAGTCACGAAGGATTGCAGTTCGAGAAAGAAGTGGCTTACGTAACGCGCGCGTCGCGCGTCGAGACCCGAGCCTGCCGCACACGTGACGGACGCGTCCGTGAGTGTGTGGTGCCCCGCAACCGTGCGGAGCTCCGCCGTATTTGCGGCCGAACTCATGCAACTCATGCGTACGATTTCATTCACATCGGACTTTGGGTCTACCCGGCCTCTGCTTGTCTCTCACCACCATGGCTCCCATTAGAACTGTGCGTATGCGTTTGCTTTATACGCCGTGTCCAGCAGAGACTGACGTGACGGGCTAGCAATGGACTCGTCTCATCCGTTTTGTCGCTGCTGAGACCAACCAGATTCACCTCGGCGAGCCGGTTGACTCCGGGCTCGATGGTATGCCCGTTTTGTAGCTGAATTTTCCATTTTATCGAGCGGCTGACACTTTATAGTTGGTCTCGCATTCTCCCAGCGTAAGCCTGTGAAGGCGTACGAAATTCTGGGTTCCGCCATCGACCCTGCAGCACAGGTCACCAAGAACGTCTTGACCGTCAAGGAGCTCCTCGCACCCCTTGCAAGGCATGAGGTTGGCGGCGTCGTGCGTTGCTTGGGCTTGAATTATGCCGATCATGCGGTCAGCCTATTCAGAAGTGCCCTCAAATGCGTCACTAATGTCTGTTCTACTATGAACACAGGCGGAGGCAGGCCTCAAATTACCTGAGTAAGCTCGTGCTCTATGATCAGGAAGAAAGTTATTGATACAGAGAAGAGTTCCAGTCATTTTCTACAAGCCCCCCACTTCCCTTATTGGCCCCGGTGCTCTTGTCACCATTCCCACAGTCGCCCAGCCTCCCCACGAGCACCTTCCCGACTATGAGGTCGAACTCGTCATTGTGATTGGAAAGGCTGCGAAGGACGTTTCAGAGGCCGAAGCACTCGACTATGTCCTTGGCTATACCGGTGCTAACGACGTGAGTTCGCAAGCCTGCGCTCATAATTTTCTGTGTTGAAGGGTTCACACATGCGCACTTCAGGTATCCTTCAGGAAACTGCAGATGTCCGCTGGTGGTGGACAATGGAGCTTCTCCAAGAGTTTCGGTATGTTGCTTTCACTTTATGGCTATGATCGAATCACCGTTTAACGTCGCACTCAGATAACACCAATCCGCTTGGTCCATGCATCGTCGCTGCTAGTGCTATCCCTGACCCACAACGCATTCCGCTGAAGTGCATTGTAAACGGTCAGACCTTGCAAGATGGTTCTACAGCGTACGCCGCCATTTTCTGACCGAGTATCCTTTCGTTGACTATGACCCGTGAAATCTACAGGAGCCAAATCTTCAACGTCCGTCAGACAGTCGCATACCTCTCCAAGGGCACGACGCTTCCGCCGGGCTCGCTCATCCTGACCGGTACTCCGAAGGGTGTCGGATTTGTGAAGAAGCCCGCGCTCTTTCTCAAGGGCGGTGACTATATGAGTGTCTGGTTGGGCAATGGCATTGGGACACTCGCAAACCTCGTTGTGGAGGAGGAGGCGCCCCTGAAGGCGAAGCTCTGAGTACGTATGTTGTATTGATACTGTATGCGCAGTAGTGGTGGAAAATCGCAGATGCTTTGTGTATCGCGTTTTTGCGTGTTGGTCTTTGTGTAAGGCGTGTTAGTGCCCCCCGAGTCGATATTAAAGTCAGCTGAGCAGACCGTATGCCTTGGCTCTGTTTTGTCGTAGGGCCACAACTGCCTCCGCTCTCTGAGATCTTGCTTGAAGTTTGAACGGTTTGAATGAACCACAACTTGAAATTCGCGAATCCGCGATATTGAGCGCGATCACGAGAGAAAGAAGTGTGGTCACCTGAGGTGATGCCTCGGCCATCGGCGATCGCGGCGACCCAGCGACATTGCAGCGCCCAGCCACCACGATTCACAAGTTACCGGCACCGGGCTTTATAGCCACACAGCCTGGCAAGCTCACTACGAAGCATAACGAAACAAGGATGGCGACCTCCTCTAGGAAGGTGGCTTCCGATACTCCAGGAACCAGAGACTACAAATACACCCAAGAAATTTCGCAGATGATGTTCGTATTCGGTGAGGTTCAGGATCCCAACCCGGAGACGGTCAACTTGGTGGAGGATATTGTTCGCAGTCAGCTAATTGAACTTGTGAGTGAGCCTTACGGTGAGGTGAATGCAAGTTGATAGTAGTCTCTAGATTGTACAGGCCCGTATGCTCGCCAGTCGTCGTGGGGCACGCTACCTCTCAGCGGAAGACCTCATCTTCCTCATTCGGCATGATCGTGCTAAAGTGAATCGATTGCGCACATATCTTTCCTGGAAAGATGTCCGTAAACACGCAAAGGACTCTGGTGGGGATGGTGGTGGGGGTGTAGAAGTGGAAACGTTAGAGGATGGTGCTGACGGTATGTAACTCCATCCCAGTGGCACCAAGTGTATGAACGGACAGTGTTATTTTATTAGACAAATTGACCGCAAAGGCCCAAAAGATTACCATTAAACTCCCTTGGGAGATTATGACGATATACTCGGATGTGCTGCAGACAGACGATGAGGAGGACGAAGATGATATTGAAGCTCATGAAGCTTCCATTCAGCGACTGAAGGCAAGCATGATATTTGGCATGCATGTGTATGTGTGCTGATCCTCTTGCAGGAAGCCGATGATGCTACGCGGCAAATGACTCGTGAAGAATATCAACATTACTCTGATTGTCGACAAGCCTCATTCACATACCGTAAAGGTATGCTTATGAATTGGCTCCGGACGTTGCTCTCACTTACGGTTCTGTCAGCTAAGCGATTTCGCGAGTTTCTTAACCTGCCGCCTGCTCTTGACCTCAAGGCAAATGACGATACAGTCGATATCGTCGGCTTCCTCGCATTCGAGATGGTTCGCTCTCTCACTATCGCCGGCCTCGAGGTCAAGAAGTCACTAGAAGAGTCTTATCTGCGCGAAGACCTCCATGCTTCCTCAGCGATTTTGGGGAAGCGCAAGGCGGGGTCGAGCCTAGGTTCAGACGCAAAACGTATGCGACGCGAAGAAACCCCAGATCGCGATGTCGATTCACCCCTACCGACATGCTCATTGTTCCTTCCGCCACCGGAGGCGCGTACATCACTGCGTCCTGAACACATACAAGATGCATTCGCAAGAATGCAGGGCGATTGGTCACAGCGCCGATCAGCGGGCATGCGCAATTGGCGTGGGGGACTGGTTCGGACTACTGTTAGCCTCATCTAGATCTTACTTACTGTGTATGCTCTTCACCTACGATGTTCACTCTTATATCCACTTGTATCGATGCCTTCATTTGTATATCTACTATATGTCATACATTGGTTTTGTCTTCTCCGGAGATTGTCCTACAATCGTCCATAAGTCGCACGCTATTCGGCCTTGTACACTACTAGTTAGAACATTAATGAAGCAGCCACGTCCAGGTTTCCGCCAGCCGCATCTAGAGTTTGGATCGCCACTTCTCTTGATGCACCGAGATTCATCAAAGCCTGGATCGCCTCCTCCGAATACTGTGGCGATATTGAAGCACTTCTAGCTGGTGCGGGAGTTGCTCCAAGTGTGTGACCTGCCCCAGGGAAGGACTGACTCGGGCCTAGACCGGAAGTCGAGCCGCTGGATCCCGACGCTGAGGCGGCCTCCGCCAGTTCATTTTGACGGCCGTAATTCATGTCGCGTGCTTTTTGAGGGAGCTCGTGCTCTGCGAGGAAACGGACTTCACGTCCTTGAATACGAAGACAGTCCCTCTCAAGATCGATGCATGCTTGGTGAGCCTTCAGCATATCCAGACCGAAGAGGAGGTCGACCTCACGGCCCTGATTTACGTGATTAGAACGCAGGGGGTATGAGTCAGGAGAAGTCATAAAGATACCTCTATAACAGTAAAAGAACAAGGCAGGAATAGATCAGCGAGCTTCAGTTGGGCACTGTGTACCCTCCCGAGGATCTTCGCGGTGCCTACTCCGACTGCGAGTCCGCTGTACCGATTGTCCAATAGCCGCATCAGTCTTGAAAACATCCGTAAGACTGGTATTCAAAAGGAGAGAGCATGATCAATCATACCCGCAGCGTTCTGCACATTCCGGACTCACTAAGAAGAGAAGATCTGGTCAGCGTTTTCAAGGAAGGTTTGGGTGACTTACTGATTGTCTGCTGTGCCCCACTATCAACGAACGCTTTCACGGCATGTCCGTTTACTTCCACGTCAATGCTGTTTGAGTTAGTTTGCCTCCTCATACAAATTTGTACGATTACTCACTAGAGCATGGTCACCCGACCAAACACCTCAGGCGAATACTCCATCGCATGCTCAAAGTTGTTCATCACAGCTTGCTGGCGAATAGCGTCTTCAATCCGACGCTGTGCCTCAATATTGAATGGATCCCCTTCCAGTTCAGTAATCTCGCGCTGCGTTTCCAGATTGCGAGCGTGTGTCTCCCGCAACAAGTCAGCAAACCGGGCTGGATTGTTCTGAGCAGCATCAACCAAGTCCGGATACACCTGCATTGTCGCATATTGTGCTAATGAGGGATTGTCAAGGGGGAGTGCGATGTCAGTACACACCGTTCGCAATTGGCTCATCATGTTTGGGTCACCGAGGATCTGTAGCCGTATCATTTCGGCGTCCTGTTCGGCGGCCCTGCTCATCCCAAGAAGTTTGTCGTTAACTGAGAAGAGGGGGGCATTATGAGGACAAACCTTCCCGCAATAGTCACCTTTCTTCTGAGTAGCAACATAGCGTGGTCACCTACGCTGCATTCCTCCATAGTCGCCTTCGGGTTGCTGAGGTCGCGTCCTTCGTGTGATATACTTTGCTCTGGGACTGGTATGCCTGACTAGCAGAACATTACAACAAAATGTCGCCCGATAGATCAAAACACGGTGGTTCAGAGTGTCAGCAGAGGAGCATTTGGGTCCCGACGGAGGAAAGGTGGCGACTTACCTCTGCCTCAAGGAGGGCCATCACGTTCTCGAGTTCCATCTGCGGGTCAATCTCGATGACGAACGACTGTCCGAGTTCAGTGACAAAAGTGAGCTCCATGCTCGTTATTGTCGTACTTGGAGTGGTGCTCGTGCGGATGTGTCAGGGAGTCGTTGTGGCCGTCGAATGAGTACTTTTGGTGGGTTACACCAAGTGGCGTCAGTTTACACAGCCTGTTTGTTCGGCTGACAGATCCTCGAAGCAGTCAAATTCACCAAATTGGAAGTCGGATGTACAAGCGACAAGTGTGAGCAAGAAGAGAAGAGGAGGAAGAGAAGGGGTCAACTGGCGTCTACAATTCACAGGCGGGACGGCGTAACACTAACAGAGCCAGCTTTTATCCATGCTCACACGGGCTTGCGTATGCTCAGGATAAGAACGACGCGTAAGGCCAAAGCGTTACATATCTGACAAAGGCAGGAGATGCAGAAGATACTAGAACATGCTCGCATACAGACAGGAGCGATGCTGCGCATCAAGGACGCGTCTCTTAAACGCGTACATCATCGTCGGACAGGTAACATGATCGCGTCGACGGGAGTTACGACCGTCTATCTCATTCCCCGCCTCCCCGTAAAGTTGCTTTTCAAAGAGGAGCTGGACAGTGCATTTTGCATCAGTGAGGTTTAGAATTGAACAATGCAAAGATACTGACAATCGTGATCCCCCGTTCCGAATATTAGACATCATGGCACTCTCCAGCGCCGACATACTTGCATCTGCACTCGCTGATCAGAAGATCTACGAGAAGTTATACAAACAAATTTGTAAATCCTCACCGCTTCCACTGATCTCAATATCACTAAAGCTCGATGTCGTACTCCCATGCTCGCTCACCCTCCCACCCACGGTTGTCCCAATCCCATCGTCCGTGTGCCGGCTCCGACGGCCTGCTTTACCGCCAGACGTACTCTCTAAACCTCGCGTATGCGTCTGCCCTAACGCTCTCCCCGGCGAAATCACGGGCGGACTACTCGACTTTCCTGATGGGCTGAGATGCCTCGGAATTGGCGATGCCATGCGGGGAGATGATGCCGGAGGTGACTGCGAGGCATAGTATCCATACGATTGATTTATACGTGTGTCTGGGTGTGAGCGCCAGTGCATGTGCTGTGGCGTATGCGGTGGGGGAGACGGTATTGATGGTATGGATCCGGGTGGTGATCGCGAGCTAAGGCTGGAGAGACTTTGCTGGCTTCTCGATGAACTGGGGCGATTACTCGAGAGAGAAGCGGTGGACATCGAGAGAGGACGGGTCCGCCCTCGATCTTGTATTTCGATCTTTCCCTTCGCCTTCTTGGGTGACGAGACCAGCCCGAGTGCATCCTTCGTAATCATCTTCTGTAGATCGAGAAGCTTAGTCTCAAGGACTCGCTCCTCCTCCGCGCGGCGATCTTCCTCCTCTTCCTTCCTTGTGTCCTCGTCTTCGTCGCTTTCCTCACTTTCGGTACTATAGCCTGCCTGGTCTCCGAATGCACTCTCTGTAAGTACATGCGAAGACGTGAATGGTATTACGCGCTGGGCCGTTTTGCTCCTGCGAGGGCCCTGCAGCGTAAGAGTAGATGCAGTCACACTTCCGCCCATATTGGTTGCCGAACGTTGACTCGCATTTCGCGTCGTTGAAGTTCTTCTGATGCGTGGGCTTTGCTGTCCGAGGGAACTCAGACGCGCGCGCACTCCGAGCGGCCGTGTCGCGGTGGCAGATGATGTCGAAAGACGGTGAGATGCTACCTCCGGAAGTCGCGGGAAATATTCATTGCCATTGGGCTGTTGGGGAGAGACAGGGCTCAGTACGGGAAATCCGGCTGAATTTGGAGCGGCCGATGTGGGACTGAGAACGCCACTAATGCCCTGCAGCCCTCGAAGATCCTCTTCGTAGCGCGTCTGGGCGCGATGAAGAAGATAGGGGAGGGGTACCTGGAGATGAGTTGCAAGACCCTTCCCTGAGGGATAAAACTTAATTTGTACGCGTTGTAGAATCACCGCAGGTCAGAGGAATCCGTGCACTCACAGTCCGTCCCTGCTCCCTCTATAGCGCGTGACTTTGCGATGACCTCCCAGAGGATATGTTCCTTTTCCTGGCTCCATTCTACCTGGACTTTCCGGTATATGCTGTCAGTCTGTTGGTATATCGGGCTGCATGCGAATAACGCACTCGAGGAGGATCCTGGAGGGGATCCTCTGGTCGGTTGTAAGGCAGGCGCACAATTACTCGAACGGGCGGAGGTGTTGGTGCCATAGGTTTATAGAGCTGAGCCCTGCAAGCGTAAGCTATGGAACCATGTAACTGAGAGGATACCAGATCACGTCTGCTAGAAGACCGTTATCAAGACGGGCCCAATAAGGATGATCGTATAGTTGTCCAATAGCGGTAATATACAGCTTCATAAATAATTAAAAACAGAAATTATTCTCTTCCTGACTTCAGATCACCCGACATGGCGGCAACTCAAAGTGAGGGTTGGACGGTGTTTCCTGGGTGTTTCTACCAAACCCATCAACTCAATCGCCGCCATTTCGACCTTGTCCCGGTTGCATGGCTAGCAGCCTCATAAACCTCCACTTTCAGAGCCGGGTCTATCAATATGCTTGCACGCACGCCGTCTCCGCATTTCGATACACTCGAGTCGCTGATTACATATCTTTCCGATAACCCAGAGCGCGAGCCCATTGCGGCCGAACTAGGCGGTGCGCGCAGCCTTGGTTCCCTTCCTCGCACACATACAGTGCGCCTCATTCGGTGCACCCCTTCCAGCTCTGCAATCAATTTACGGCGACGATGCCGTCCGACTATGGCATCCGCCATCACCCCCCGGTGCCGATCACGCCCAGCATGCGCAAATGAATGGCGGAGAGAAGGGAACGATCAGGTATGAAGTAAGCGTCAGGTATGTATTTTTTGTAATTCGCCCTTGACTGCTCTACAGGGTCGGATATTATCTATATTAGTATTGCTGCACCAGCGGACCCGGACTCGGAGTATCCGCTTACGGTTCTCGTGTCATTACCACCTGCATATCCTGTCGAGGCTCCACCTCAGCTGCAACTGCTCTCTCGATACCTCGGTCCCTTTGGCGTCGATGCGGCGTTATTTGGTGCTGTGCTCCGGACGTATATTTCGCGTGACGCCGTAGAATGGACGGCGGGCGGCGTCTGTGTCTTTGATGGCGTGGAGTGGGTACGAGAGAGATGCGCGATATGGGCGGGTGAGCGATTGAGTGCGGCAAGGATTGGTGAGTTGATTCGGGAGGACGAGCGACCGGTTGTGAGCATCGAGAGACCAAGTGATGCGGGTAGGGAAGAAGAGACAGTGGAAGATCGTCAACAAGATATTCAGATGCCAAACGATATTGAACTCGTAGTTTCCGATCCCATTGTGGATCGAAAGAGTGTGTTCATTGGAAGAGCATGTAGGATATCAGATCCTGCGCAGGTATGCATGTCCCTTTTTTCAGTGACTTCGTGTGCTAAATAGAAGGTAGGTTCCCACCATTCTTGCACATTTGATGTCGGATCGCAAGATTGCCCGCGCCGCACATCCCATAATCAACGCCTGGCGTTGTCGGCTCGGTAACACTCTCCATCAAGGTATCGTTGGCTCATCCTGGCGTCGAGGATTTGCAACTTATGCGCCCTCATCTATCCAGACAATGACGATGATGGGGAGACCGCCGCTGGTGGACGCCTAGCGCATTTACTTCAGATTCTTGTGCGTTGAATGACACCGTTTTTGCCAAGATGTAGCTAATATCTATTTAAAGGAAGTTGAGAATGTCCTTGTCGTGGTAACGCGCTACTTTGGCGGAATTCACCTCGGCCCGGATCGCTTCAAGCACATTAATCAGGCCGCACGTAATGCTCTTGAACTTGGAAGATTCCTTGATATACCTGAACCGGAATCACATGGGGCTGGCAGGAGAAAAGGAAAGGCGGGATCTAAGAGATGATATGTTTTTAATTGGGACGTCTACTTATGTAGTAGAAGTAGACATAGTGCTTCGAGCGCTTGGAGTCAGAATCTAGGGTTAGGAGTTACATGATAGGTTCGCCGTCATGAGCAAGTCATGAGAGACGTGTTTCTCGTCCGTCTCCGCACGGCGCACCACCGCCCGACCACAATTACCATCCTACCCGGCGTCGCGCTCCTTGCGATCTTCCGTCATGACCTTCACCCGTGTTACATTCAGACTCGCCGCGAGTGCCGGGCGTATTCACGTTAAAAGGAAGTTCCCACCAAGACAGACTTTCGCATTGTTCAGGATGGCAAGCACATCGACGGTAAGCTGCCCTAGTTTGAAAGCTGGAGTGATTCTCACATGCCGCCGCCATGCAGTTCGGTCTGAAGGATGTATCCCTCGTACACATGCAAGGATTAATTGGCGGAAACTGGGTCGACGCCCATGATGGTGGCAAAATTACAGTTATAAGTGGATGCATTCTGTTTGTTGTAACTGATATGTAATGCTTACGAATGTGCAATGTCAGACCCAGCAACAGATGAAGAGCTTGGTACTATTCCAGAGATGGGGCTGGTGGAGACCAAAGAGGCTATTGATGCTGCAGGGCGTGCGTTCAAGTCTTGGAGCAAAACTACTGCCAAGGTCCGTATATCGTCTCCTTTCTGCGCATTGACTTGACATTTCCTGCAGCACCGCCACGATATTTTAATGAAATTTTACGCTCTGATGCAGGAGAATCAAGATGATCTCGCAAGACTAGTCGTACGTTCGGTGCAATAGCTTCTAATACATGCCCTAATTTTGTCGCAGACGTTGGAGAACGGAAAACCTATCGCGGAAGCAAGGGTGCATATCTACAACATTTTAGCATAAACTTCTGACGAATAATCTCGCATGTTGGGCGTATATACAGGGGGAACACGCTTATGCGGCCTCATTCATTGAGGTATGTCTACTTGCTTTCTTTGCCCTCCCCCACGACTTACTTTCGCACACTGCGCTAGTGGTTTGGTATGAACTTGCAATGCTGCGGTAGCATCACTTAACTAACAACCTCTTTCAAAAGCGGAGGAAGCTGTTCGAACGTATGGAGGCATGTCTTTCCAAGCCTCAAGATAAAGTACGATACTGATGATACTTTTCACTCACAGAGGTAATCCCTTCACCTTTTCCACATCTTCGCAATGTTGTCGTGAAGCAGCCAATCGGTATGTTTTCTATTGATGGGCCCCATATTTCTGATACATTGATGCCTCGGTAACTTGAAAAGGTGTTGTGTATGTGCTTACAATTACGTTCTCGCGCGATTGTCTTTGAATGGCCACCATTTTCTAGCTCAATCCTTACGCCATGGAACTTTCCATTAGCGATGATCACTCGCAAACTTGGTGCTGCTCTTGCCGCGGGATGTACTGTGGTGGTCAAGCCCCCGCCTGAAACCCCGTTCTCCGCGCTAGCACTCGCGGAGGTGCGTTCCATATATTCCTCACAGTCATCACTATATTCATCGAGATTGTGCCGCCCTAACAGCTGGCTTCTCGCGCGGGCGTTCCACCTGGAGTATTTAATGTTGTGACCACGCAAGCGAACATCTCTGAAGTCGCCCGCGAGATGTGCGAGAACGATACGGTTAGAAAGGTTACCTTTACTGGCAGTACGCCTGTCGCAAAGCTCCTATATGGATATGCCTCGAAGGGTATGAAGAAGTGTGTACTTTTCCTTAGTAATGATGGTGGTGACGCAGGATCAAGGGCTGAGCATACTCATAGGGTGTCAATCGAGGCGGGCGGCAACGCCGCGTTTATTGTATTTGATGATGCAGACGTTGAGGCGGCTGTGGAAGGTACGCGTGTTTACCCTGAGAATATTGGCGACGCTTGGTGCGGTCTGAAATCTAATCTTCCCTTTGCACTCTACTCGCATAATCAATCAGGTGCCATTTTGTCCAAGTTCCGTAGCAGTGGGCAAACATGCGTGTGCGCTAACCGGATCTATGTTCAATCATCGGTGTATGCGGAGTTTGCGTCCCGACTTGCGGAGAAAATTGCCACATTCCAAGTTGGCAACGGACTGGACAGCGATACGTGCGTGTTTTAATTTGTGACATCCCTTTTCATAAATGAGTAAATGCAGCGTGACTTACCTATTCTTCAGGACACACGGCCCGCTAATCCATGACAAGGCAATCAAGAAGGTCCAGCGTCACGTTGATGATGCACTCGCGCGGGGCGCGCAGCTCGTTATGGGCGGTACGCGTCTCGCGGGCAAGGGCTCGTTCTTCCAGCCAACGGTGCTCTCCGAGGTGCCGCCTGATGCGCTCGTGAATCAAGAGGAAACATTTGGCCCACTTGCCGCGCTGACACGTTTCGAGACGGAGGAGCAGGTATTGGCATGGGCAAACAGCACCCCTTTTGGCCTGGCGAGCTACTGCTACACCCAAAACATCGGGCGCGCCTGGCGCGTTGCGGAGGCTCTGGAGACAGGGATGGTGGGCACGAACACGGGCATGATCAGTCAAGCGGTGATTCCGTTCGGAGGCGTGAAAGAGAGTGGGCTGGGTGAGTGCCTTTATCTAGTTTTTTCTTGGTTTTTTCTACTTCTTCCGAGGAGCCGGGTATGCGCAGACGATAGCCGCTGGCGGCTGCATATCTGCATTCGGGCTACTCCTTATGGCTACGAATTCCGCATATCTCAACTCAGCACATGCACATTATGCCTTCAAAATGCCTCATGAGAACAAGTTTCCCTAGTTGCTGGCGCATCTGGTCGCTGCCTTTGAGAAAGGGCAGGGTAGTTGCGCCGGTATCTAGCGGCAGTGGCGATTATGCGGAGACCACACGACTCTCCGTCCTGTGGTCAAAGCATTGATTCTGTGGTTTTTCTCCGTATCAAACAAGCTTGGGGCAGGCAACAGAAGATTGATCACAAACAGACACTTCGTAGCCTCTGAGGACATGATAGCCTGCTCTGGTGTTGTTCACGTTCGGCCTTGTCCACGCGTGAGGCAAAATCAGCAGTCTAGCTCAATACTATGCTCCTACTCTGCACCCTGCCACGGAGCTACACATGATTCCGAATCGTGTATGTCATGTCTCTTTCAAGCATTTACTGCGGCTTGTCGAGACAAAATAGAGACACTCATTCTCAATTCATGAGGCTGTTACTAAATGGAAACTGACCGTGTGTGTATCATACAGGCCGCGAAGGAGGTCATGGAATTGAAGAATACCTGAATACCAAGTTTATCGCGTTCGGCGGTATCTAAAGGATGGATGACTTATCCACTATGCCATTGGGCTGCGGGCGCATGCAATCGCGCTTGATGATATTGCGCATATGTTCCAAACCCGGACTATGTCTATGTTCTATTGCGACGGACTGTGTATACCAGATCTCGGATCCAAATGTAAAGTACTTGCCCAATCCACATGTGTTTGATTATCTACTAGATCAAAACCCTGTCCCTGCGGAACCTGCGACGCGATGCTAAACTTTTATTCGGATCTGTCGGTTAAATCTGGTAACACTTATATGGCTTTGAGCAATCAACCACAACGCGTAGGCGCGAACAGTATCAAGATGAGTCTCGCTGCGGCCGCAGGAAACAAGAAGATGAGAGCTCCGCAAGATGCCTGCTGCTCCGGAAAGTTCAGACTGCGGACTCGACGAGCTCAGCGCGCACGAGTCATAGCAGACGCGTGGTTTATTTGCCGGATGCCAAACCGCACCCGGATCTGAGTAGGTCGGAGTGCGCGCGCTCTGAGGGGACAGCCTCTGAACCAGTCTGGGGCTCGAAAAGGGCCAGTCAGTTGCGGGACGCAGTGAGGGCGGGATGGCTGTGGACTGGCAGCTGTGCCGGGCGGTGTACGATCCGCCAGCTGCAAATGTCACGTGCGAGCATAATGGCTCCGTCTAGACTCCCGAGTGAGAGTCGCATCGGCTAGCGGGCGACGAGTGGCACTTCCACCTTGAAGATACGGAGGTCGTCATGCAGATACGAGCCTCCTAAAGAAGGCGAATTTTGCGGTCACCGAAGACATAACACGGCAGATTGATGGTCTCCCGTCAGGGCCCTGGAGATGTCTTTCGTTTGGTGCCAGCCATTCTATGCGTCGTTGACTTGCCATCGCCAAGGTTCAGGTTCGGGTCGCACGCTGATGGCTCCTGGAACCGAGCCGTTGCGATCAACGAGCGAGGTACGTGTGTGCTCAGCATATTTTTCTGAACATTGCCCTTGACGAAGATGCCGTTGCAAAGCTTGGCAAGTCCTAGTTCAGACTTCAGACAGCGCTGGCCACGTGGGCAAAACCACACCGCCAACATCGCGGGACTCGCAGCATCGCCGACTCTCACTTTGGCGGTTTCATTCTGGCGTGAGTCAATGCGCACCAGTGTCTGCTGTCTGTGTGAGTGTAGCCGCATTAGTGCTCCCTGCACTTCCTGTCAGTCGGTGCTACTGGTTGCGTGGCTGTTGCTGTCCATCGCTGCGCCTCTGGCAACTATGATCAACGCGTTCTTTCTGGGGAGCGGGGTGACTCTCTCAAGGCTCTGATCTAGATTGACGCTAGGCGCGATTGAGCTGATTGTTGTCGCTTAGAATCGTGCATTACGCTGTTCACAGCGCCCAGCGCTGACAAACAGGCCTCAAAAGCCTACTTTCATACGAATGCTGTCCGCTATTCCGCCCTTCCAAAACTTATTCTCCCGCCTCTGAAGCAGTGCCTCAGGCTTTTACCGCTCGGTCGACGACATTGCCGAAGAAATACGTTTCTGTCCAGAGGAAGTCATCTACCCAACTTCGGTCCCGACGGCCCAGATCTTGACATATAAAAGGTGTGTATTCGACCGCATTCGTCCCACTCCCCCACTTTAAACCCCTTGTTTTCGCAGCATACCAGCGAGTTGCGAGATGAACCCTCAGTACTACTTCCCCCAGTATCACTATGCGACCCCTTATCTCCACCCCTACTACCAGCAGCCGCATGTTTCTCCCTTCATCCCAGCCATGTCGCTGCCTCCCTCACCAGACCCTCCCCGCCGCCGCGTGCATTTTGACGATGAAGACCCAGTCATACCCCATCGCAACCGGAGGCCCTCATGGCATGGAGACATGGCCTCTATTCCCAATCCTGCTCCCTTCCCCTCGCCGCCCATGATGTATTCGCCTCTGCCTGCCATGGTCCCGGTCGGGGCTCCACCGCATTTTACTCATCATCGACGACGTTCCGACAGCAATCTGCCGCAGCCAGCGTGGTATGCAGTCCCGGCCTACCCACCGTTCATATCCCCATACGCCTACCAGCAGCCACTCCCTTCAAACCAACTGCATCCACTACTGGACGGCGAGTCTCGTGACGGCCCCATGCTCGTTTTCGACCTTTCCCTAAATCAGTTCAACGCTATGCATATCACTGAGCGAGGGAGGACATCCGGGAAGCAGCTGTCACGCGACGAGCTCGAGCAGCAGGCGACGTACCCAGCCATCCGAAAGATGAGGATCACTTGTGACCTCATCCCACAATGGCCTATCGTGCTCGAGCCGGGCAAGGCAAAGTCCAATTTCCTGCTCGTCCCGTCTTCATCCCGCGACGTGCCCATCACGGTCGGTGACGTGCTCATTGCCATCCACAAGAGTTTACAGCAACAGATCACGCACGTCGACTGGGTACGCCTCTCACAGAGCGAGGAAACCGCCGTTGCGCGTGCGTACACGCGCAGGTGCAAGACATTCCCTAGTGTCGAGGCTTTCGAGAAGAGCCAGGGCGTGCGCCGAGTCGATTTCCTGCTGGAAAGGTTCATGTTCCGCGGCCTGAAGCGCAGCAAAGCTGACCAGGATGGGTTTGAGAACGTAAGGCTTATCGTTGAGGCGAGGAAGTGATAGTGATACGAAGCTGTCAAGTCTTCGCAATCTTCGTGCTGTCAATGAACATGTTTTAGATTTTCATTCCGGTACGTTATGGATGGTTTGGTGTTTGTGTTGGTGGACATTTGCTTTGGCTATCTAACGACATAACGAAAGATGATACCTCTTCTTAGTCTCTAGGCGCTGTTTATTATTTCCCTTCGTTCTAATCTTCATTTATACGCTATCCCCCTAGTAATACTCTTTACACCTTCTGTGTTGTAACTTCCATTTATTACTGTACCACCTTCGTAGGATTACTCACAAGTGACAAAAACAGAAAAATACCTGTATGACCTGTACTACTTGTACTTCATGGCCGCGAGGCCAATCAAATGTGATGATAAATATGCCAGATGATTATGTGACGCTTGTGGCCTGAGTTCTCAATGAGAAGTAAACATATCTGAGCGTCATATCCAGGAGAAGTAATCGGTGTAACAGTACATCCCGACGGCCGCCGAGCGACTCATGATATCATATCGCACGATGTTCGGATATCACCTGTACAAAAGGCACATGTAAGCCCTGTCATATCGAGGATTGGAACTGTGGTCAGTGGTCGCGGACCGTGCTGCACCCCTGATACTGCGTTCATTCGTGAGTACCAAATAATGAAAATCTAGAAACCACACTGGTCATACGTGACATTCCCTTGGCCGGACCGTGAACCACTCCGGTGCCAACCCATACACCGTGACATAGGTATTCACGATTGACCGAGCTCATTGCGCTCCGGCGCAGCTAATAGTCCCGCCATTCCATCGGTTCGGCGTTCCGAGGGAACTCGTATGCCACCTTCAGATGCCTGAACATGCCGTAGGAAGAAAGATTTCAGGGGACGCTTCGGGCGGTGTGGTCGCAACAAGTCGTAGAGTACGGAACATGCAATGCTGTGGGAACTGGGTGCATCTGGACCAAGAGATATGCGCAGCGCTGTCCGAAAGGCATCACGGCGTACTAGTAATGATGTTCGAGTCTTTTGTACATCATTCAGAGCTCGGAGGAACTTATATATTACTGCGCTGGATAAGGCCCATGAATTTGCCAAGCTGGTATTCAAAAGAATACTCACTCACTTTGTCTCAGTCTCTCATCCTCGTGTTCCGTTTTGTTGTTCTCCCTCAAGCTCTTCAAGTTCTTCCGAACAGATTCAAGCTCATGCTGTGGCGCCGGGCAAACGCCGTGGGTCACCAGGCGCTCAGCGGCGCCTCTCGAGCCCTTGAAGCTTAAACATTGGACTTGAATCGTCTTGATTCACATGTTGCTCTTTCTTTTGAGCCCAACGCGCAAAGAAATTCTGCGTCATGGGCTTTGTGGAACCAGAAAATTTCCATATCCCTGTCAATCGCATGTCTCGCTTTTACCTGTGCGCTGCTGGGGGCTCAGGAGGGAGATTTTGGATGCACATGGTGAGTGTTCCGTAAGGTTCGTACTACAGTCTGACCTTGTCATGCGTGCAAAGACGAAGTAAAGCAATGTACCATACAACCGCCTCTACATTTTCTTCTGTGCTGCGTTTCTATTTTGTATGGAATAGCAACCGCCAGGGGCGGAGGATTCAATAGTTGGATGACGGTCGTAATTTGCAATCGGAGCGCGCTTTCTCGTCATGTTTATGATCGTTACTGACCCTTTTCAAACCAGGGCCAGTGTATTTCTGACCAGAGGGCATCAATGCTATGCAAATTCTCGAGGAGCGGGGTATCGTTCAACTGATAGTCTAAATAAGTGATATATATACTGTGTGTGATTTTAGGCGTCTCTTAAGGTTCAGAATATATCTCAACGGCAACCTCGTCAGCCAGTATTGCAGTGGACAACGTTTCAAGGACAGAAACCGCCAACGTTCTTGGTGCGCAGCCCTTGCTCTGGGCCGCCTCTTATCCTCTCCACATCTTGTATTCGCAAATTTCAGTTCATTCTAACTCCAATCATTCAGGAGCCCATTTGGGGAGTATCATCGTTCCACAAACTCGTACATGATGTACGTTTCAATCGCTTATTCTGCCTTCGCAAACTGTTTTCGCCTCTTCTCCACCGTGGCTATGCATCAAATGCATACTAGTACGCACTCTCCAGACTCATGATCCCGCCGACCAGACTCGAGTATCCAAGGTTATAGCAGAAAAGACGATACTCTGGGGATCGGGGTAGGTAGGACTTGGTGTCAGCTGCAGTTTTGCTACACAGCCATAGGCTCCGGTGTGCTCGCAGCTGCAGGAATAATCTACAATTGTATCACCCTTTTGATTGTAATTATGTGCAGATATAAGAAGCACGGTGTACAAGTACTATTTTCTTGACAACATGCCATAAGGTTGTGCAATTTAGGAGTCTGCGCTGCCGTGACCGCTGAATCATGCAAGCGCTGGAGGTCGATGGTGTCAACATTTCGCAAGGCGATGGTGATACTTTCTGCCCCATTCATCTCATCTCCTGAGCCTTATCTAGGGTGCGCTGCACCTTCTATCATGTGAAGGACTACACCACCACGACTACATTATTGTCACCGAGCCACTTTCCATACCATGACCGAGGCATCTTCGTCGGCGCCAACCTTCTCCAAGCCGCTACAGCTCCCTTTAGCTCAGGAAGAGATTGACCGCATCAATGCCCACCTCCAAAATCTCACCCCCGAAGGCATTCTAAACTGGGCTGTCGAGCATGTCCCGGGGCTGTATCAGACGACCGCATTCGGATTAACAGGACTCGTCGCGATCGACATGCTCTCGAAGATTACGCCCTCGCCCCCACCCTTGATATTCATCGACACGCTATATCACTTTCCCGAAACGCTAGAGCTCGTGGATGAGGTCCGGCAAAAGTATAGCGTGCCGATACACGTCTACAAGCCTGGGGGCTGCGAAACCGTGCAGCAATTCGAGGCGAAGTATGGGGAGGCGCTGTGGGAGAAGGATGAGACATTATACGACTACGTCGTAAAGGTCCGTTATATCGCTATATTGTACATCGGCTGCTTATTCCACGCCGAATGTCTCTGCAGGTAGAGCCTGCGCGCCGGGCTTACGATGAGCTTAGCGTAGCTGCAGTCATTACAGGGCGGAGAGCTTCTCAAGGCGCGGATCGGGCAAGCCTGCAGCCGCTGGAAGTCGACAGCACTGGGCTCATTAAGTTGAATCCTCTCTTCGAGTGGACGTTCCCGTTCGTGGAGTGGTACGTGAAAGAGAACAACGTCCCGCGCAATAAACTGCTCGATCAGGGCTACCGAAGTGTTGGGGACTGGCATAGCACTGCGAAGAGCGGGGAAGGTGACGCGGGAGAACGCGCTGGGCGCTGGGCTGGGAAGACGGAGAAGACAGAGTGCGGGCTGCACGTGGACTACTTCGCGATGAAGGCCGCCGCACAGGAAAAGGTGGGCAGTTCCTTTTATCGGCTCTGCGAGCATGTTTGATGATCGTCCAAACAGCTCGAGGAGGCGCAGATAAGCGAGCAAGCGCGTGTCGCTGTCGCTGTGATAGAGGCCAAATAAGCCTGGCATGCCGGTGAGGTTTTGATAAAGACGAAGGTAGTAGTGCAGACAGCGAAGGAAAAGGACATCACTTATAAGGAGCAGAATGAGCTAGCCTGGAGGTACTGACCTAAGGATATCCGCAGCCGTCCCATCCTCTGCAAGAACGGGTAGATCGTCCATGTTATGTAGAATGGTATCAAGGTATACTGCAACTCTGGATGGATGAACAAGTCTATAACACATGCTCCATAGTCTAAGAGTAGTTCGGATTCGGGGGAACCGTTTGTCCTAAATATTACCTGTCTCACTTCTTCATCCAGAGGCTCAGATTGTCCATGAAGCCACGTAAATGCAACCTCTTCGTTACCAGGCCGATTCAGGACATCCCATGACTACAAAAATACTTCTAAACGAACGTATTGTTAGATGTGCAAGTGAGATATCCACAGAGAACAGCTTACCCCGTAGTGGACGTCCTTGACAGTTTGACCTGGTGTTCGATCACCGTCTAACTGAGGCGCCCCCGTGGGAGTTTGTTTACACTCCTCAAGTCGAATTGGCGGTTACTACACAACAATGACCGTCCCTAGAGAAAGAGAAGTTGGATTGCATGATGTGTGTGAGCAGTTCTATTAGGATGCATACTTGAGTTTAGGCCACCGTGTGATTTTGACCCTCGTAGACCGTGATAGTCTTCCCTGATGGATCATCGTTTGGTGATTGAAGGGGCTATGTCGCCACGGCGGCATGAGTCCGCTAGCCGTTGAATGAAAGAAACGACGAAATGAACAGAGGGCATACGAACTATAAGATGTGCGATGTACCGCTCTAGCTTGAAACACAATTTTATATAGGTTCGGCACAACCTTGCAAAGTATTGTGATCATTTAATGAGTCTGTTCAGGTTCCCAGCGGACATCAACTTTGAGGATCAGCGGTCCCACATACGCTAGGCCCAAAACAGCTGTGGGAGTCGAAGGCAGCTCAGCGCGCGTCTGCGCATTCATCTGCACCTCTCTTCCAGTTGTTTTGCAGTCCTGTCTACTCAAGATACCGCTCAGACTTTACGATGTCCGCCTCAGGCATCGCGGCCTTGAACTTGTCGCAAGTGTCCGCCTATTTACACATGGCCCTTCTATGCACGTCCTGACATCCACAAAGTTTGAACAGGCCGGTCGTACATGTACCAAACGGACGTCCGGCTCTCAAGTATTAACACCTCATTTACATGATAAACCACGTCTGTTGACTGTGCAATAGGCCCGACCTAGGCCCCGACGGGCTCCCTCCTCTACCGGAGGTCAAGTCGGAGCAGATACGCCTCCAGGTATACACCCATCGTAGTTACTATGCAAGGCCAACACATTTATTCGAGGATCTGCCGGACGACCCTAGTCCCGACAATGAGATGTCAGCTCTGGCTCTCTGTTGAAGACTGGTATGGACATTGCTCACAATGTTATTGCAGGCTTGAACATCTCGGCGACGCCGTCCTGAGCCTGGTCGTGACCGGGCTCATCAGAGAAATTTACCCATACCTGCGAGTCGGATCGTCGACGGTAGGCTTCTCCCTGCTTCCAATGCGATGCGCCGTCTGACAGCTCCATGTGCAGAAAATACGCGCCCTCGTCGTGGGCAACCCCACTCTCGCCTCAATGTATGTTCCGACACCGCAAGTCAGCTAGTGGGCTGATCACCATCTGACTTTAGTTCTGTTATGTACCGGCTGCCCGACAATCTGAGGATGCACCCCGCCCAGGCTATCACCTTGCGTGCTTCCACCAACATCCAAGGTAGGCATACATTTCGAATTTCTCTGACGCTGTGCCTGACACCTGAGCCCAACCGACAGCGGATCTGTTCGAGGTGTGTTCCATCAGATTCTAGCGCCATGGTCACGAAAAGTTCTCAGTATCTGGCGCTCATTGTCTCCCTTTGACAGGCCTTCGTCGGCGGGCTGTACCTCGACCGCGGCCTGGACGTCATCAAGTCGTGGCTCTGCCCGCTCTTTCGCCCATACCTCGTCGAGGCGTACCGCCACGTCCGCATGCAGTACGGTCTCTCGCCGGATCCTGACCCAGCACCTCCTCCTATTACAATTGGATCGTCTCTCTCCTCCAGCTCCGCTCTGCGCCCCCCGCCATCGCATATGCCCGCGAGTATCGGGCACCTCTCGCTCTTCAATCAGCACTTGCAGCAGCAGAACATGTGCATCGAATGGGTCTGGGCCGGCAGCGAAGGCCAGGGCTCGCGCACGACACCGATCTGGGTCGTCCAGGCGATGGTCGGAGATGAATGCTTCGGGCAGGGGCGCGGAAGCACCAAGAAGGCTGCGAAGAACGAGGCCGCGAAGGAAGGCTTGCAAAAGATGGGCATCTATGTCTCGTGAGTACTCTACTTGTATCATGCTGTATTTACAATGATAGCTGAACCAGTGGTCTGAGAACAGGCCTCCCGATATCCAGAATCTGGCTCCAGCATCTTCTCTCTAGACTGGGGCCGGATGTTCTCAGCAAGAGAACCTGGTCATCCCGCCCCAGTGTGAAGAGGTTGTGCATGGGTCTGATTACCTGGCCATTCTTTGGCTCCAGAAGACTTCCCAGATGATTGTTTGATGTTGATGTGAAATTGCTGCTTTCTCGTTCCCTTGCTTTCATGAACCACTCTTGATTGCAATCGCTTCCTATGCCTTGTTTAAATCTTGATGCATGTGCTATGGATACATGTGTTGAAATCAGAATATCAATAAATGGTGTATACTTTTGCAGCAACGTAAGGGAAGAAATATAGGATGTGCTATCTCCGGCTATGACTACCGGCGTGACCCGTCCCGTAGCGTGCCTATGTTGTCCACAGAAGGCGCACCCCACACCAGTGTCTTTGTAGATGGATCCAGCAACCGAGGGAACCACTGCTCGAGCAACGCAGGTAATACACCCCTTCCTCCTGGCGCCGATGCAGATGGTGTCGCGCGTTCCATCACAATCGCTGCCGGCGCTGCTGCATTCGAACTCATAGCCACCTCCTCCGCGAGCTTTCTCTCCCTCTCTGCGTCCTGCTGCACCAAGCTCTGCTCCCGAGCCCGCGCGAGAGAACGCGCCTCCTCGTCCACATCGTCAAACACGTCCTGCTTCACTGCGCTGATAGAGTACGCCCACACACCGACGGCGAAGGAGAGCAGCAGCGTCCCAGTGACGGCGTTGCGGATGCGGAACGGCTCGCGCGCGCGTTGCAAGCCGGGAGACATCAGCTGTGTGTGCGGCGTTAGCGGTGAGCTGGAAGTGGGGTCGGAAACAAACGTTGTTGTAGGGTCTGTACGATGTGTTTGCTTCCTTCCTGGAGATGTACGGGTCGGCCATTGTGGCTCTAACCGCGAAAGCTACAGCAAGAATGTGCGGAACCACAGATGTTTGGTAGAGAGAGCGAAAGTGCAGTAACACGTGAACGTTATGAACGCGTGAACTTTTGATCTCACTGCTTTTTACCGCCACCTTTTACGTTTACTGTGCTCCGCCGGCAGCTCAGTCCAGTCTTCTACAGTGCTGCTAATGGAACTTGATATAGTAAATCAAACACACTGGAAGCTTCCCAAGTTGGTACGGTTTACATTGGCGCAAATAAACCACATAGAAGATACACACAGAGCGTGCTTAGCTGGAGGGAGTCGGAAGCAGAGTACCAATTTGGCTTCAAAACATCACATCAGAATGGCTAGCAAGAGGGATTGGATTGTCTATGCTCTACTAGAAAGTGCATACTCTACTCAGTTGCGGGTTTGCCCTGCAAATAATGATGACATTAAGCACTGTCCAGACAGACTTATTACTAAAAACTCACTTTGATGAGCGACCAGATCCCATAAGCTGTACCAGCCATACCAAGCGCAAAGCCGGCGTAGTATGTCCCTGGAAGCACTGGTCGGCGACAGTCTTCCGGACGAGTACGGAGTGGAATGTACATACTGACGTAGAGCTTGCCGCGCGCAAGACGGTAGTAGATGGGTTCATGTGAGCTCTGCAATCAATGAGTCTGAACGAGAGAATGCGAAAGCCAAATCAATGTCTGCAAACCTGGACGAGCCTCTGGACGTCTGGGACCCGGTTGGGCTCTGCATATTTTGTGAGCGTGTAAAACAATATGAGTCTATAAAATGAGCCGTACTGTTTACAAGCGCACCCAGCATACTGCGGATGTATGAGTAGAATGGAACGAGAGATTTGCAGGTGACGGTGACGGAAGGAAGGTCGCCGGGGCAAGGATGAATTCGGTGGCGGAGTCTCAACTAGTCGGGCGCGCGGTCGGCTCGAGTTGCCTCGACTTTCATGGCCTCAAACGAGCGCGTTCGTGTCCGCGTACGTCTTCCTCAGTCGACTCTTCAGAAATAACATGATTTTAAAACCCGAGCCCCCTAGGGACTGAGCATACATCGGCCGATCATCTATGGGAACACTGCCGTTGTCTTAACGCAGAAGGAGCGGGAGTCTCTGGCCTCGCCGGACCACACCCACCGGTGGGTGGTCGCGGTGCGCAGTGCGGCCTCTGCTCCTGACTCGCAAATCGTGGGAGGGGCAGATGACTTGAGCTACTTCATAAAACGTGTCACGTTCAAATTGCACGACACCTATACCAATCCAACACGAAGTGAGATTCTTTCCATGTCGTTTTACATATTTGAACCAACATAATGAATTATAGACGTCGATAAACCCCCGTTTGAAGTGTCGGAAACAGGGTGAGAATATGCTTTGTATTCACTCCCAGCGATTCTTAGACGTCATGACATAGCTGGGGAGAGTTCGAGATTCAAATCCGTATAACGTTCGTCCCAGAGTCGGGGGAGAAGGCTATTCTCATCTATCATCACTTGAAGCTGCACCCATGGACTGCTATCGGTAGTGGTGAACCCGAAATACCTCCCCTCGAAGCTGCTATGAAGCTGGGGCCGGTCCACTCCTGGCAGTATGACGAGGTCGTTTTCAACGATCCTTTCCAGTCCTTCTTATCCATCCTCACTGCGCATCCGCCTACACCGCTCCCAAAACACAAACGTCGTCCCGTTCCCTTTCATACCGCTAATCCGGGATCTCTGGAGGAGTCAAAAGGAGGCGTGCCAGAATTTACGCTGCAAATGGAGAAAGAGGAGGCAGAGCGTCTCGATGCGGCGAGGAAGAAGATTATTGCGGAAACTGACAAGTGGAGAGAGCGTTTGATTGAGAAGGAGAAGGAGCTTGAGCGGTTGCAACGGCAGCTTGAGGTTGCTGGAAGCTAGTTATGGCCGGCAGGAAGGCGGATTCAATACTTCGCTTTCGCATTTTTACTTGTAATCATTACAAATGTAGCACTTACTCGAGTATCGATACACTGAAACGATATTACTACAACAATCCGACAATACACTGCATGGTGTGGACAGGAATACATTTGAAGCTACTAGTGCCATGGTGTCCAACCAGGATACATCCTGCCCTGTAAATAAAGTTCAGCAAAGCGTCACATTCATGACGAGTAACCACACGCACTAGATTCGCAGTGTCTGTAGCCTCTTGAATCAGCATCTGGACGAGACTGCTCGTGGAAGTTTCCTTCTCGGGTCTTTCCCGGCTGGTAGTGTAGATTCCTTTCAGCTTCTTCTCTATAGGTTTCAACGCGTCCTTCGCAAGCCTTCTGAGATCCACAGTAGCTCTATTGCGCTCCTGGTGTACACTCGTAAGTCTTGAACCTTGTCAACACGACAAGAACTAACCTTCTTGCGTTTTTCGTCTTCCCACTCAACGAGAGGGTCGTGAACAAAAGCATCGAGTACGCTCATCAATGTATCCTTATTGTCTCTCAGCAGCTTCATGCTCACTTCACAAGCAACACGGAAGACCCCTAACATAACCATAGGTGATGACAGGGATAAAATCGTCAGGCATTGCTCACCTTCTACTCCCATGACTCCTAGCCCATCTACCAGGTTCTGAGTGAGCCGGAACGGAACCAGCTCCGGAGTTTCGAGAGTTTTACCCTAGAGGAATATATGAGTAGGATGCTAGAGCTATGGGCGATATCAGTACCTTCTCGAACAGACAGTTGAAATCAACGTGGACCACGTCGCCGTTCATCGTGTCGAGCAGGATGTTCTCGCAGTGTCGATCACCGAGGCTACGAAGCCTTAGGGTGCGCCGGTTGTAAATGGAGACTAGCTCACCCTAAAATGAATCCCACCATCGACATGACGGCAGCTGTTCTACTGTAAGCCATCCTGCTGGCGAGCCAGGCAGTGGGTTCGGGGAATGTCTCAAGGAACCATTCATGGAAGACAGGTGGGAAACTGAAGGAGCCGTCAATATGCTTTGCTGAAAAATGACCATAGCGTGCATTTGACGTCACATACCTGCACAAAATATTCTGAGAGAATAGCTGTGCAACCTCCTTGTCGTTGGGCATCTTCTTGATCTTCTCAAATATCTCTTGCATCTCGGGTGACTGTCGAGGTCGTGAGTGAAGCAACATACACATCGGCTTATGTGCTCACCCAGCTTCTGATCCCGCGTCTCTCATATGCCTTCAGGAGCACAGGCCTGACGGGAATGGTGTTAGGAACCCATTGAATGAACCCGCACTCCTCATTCAAGGTGACCACGCCATATGTACGGATGTCTGAAGTAATTGAAAACTAGTGGCAATGCAGGCATTTTAAACACATACGGAGCTGGCGACGACGGGATTCCGAGTTAGACTTCAAGAGTTTGTTAATGATAGCGTTGAAATCCATCAGTCGAGCATCCTTCCGAAGATCATCTTTCGGCTTTCCCAAGAACATGTAGATTTGACCATCGCTCCCATTGATCGTTATCTTCCGCGGCTTTGCAAGGGATCGCATGATCTCGATCTCATCCTGAAAACCTGTTATGTCAAAGAAGGCCGAACAGTTGGTTAGGATACTAATGGAATTTGCTGTCTGTTACGCACTCGCAAATGTGGGTGCATCAACGGGAAACGGCCGATGTGTAGCCTCGTTCGAGGAGGTTGGCGGGAGACTAGCGGTTAAAGACTCTTGCAGAGGGATGATCAATTGTGATGGGGCGAGGCTGAATAGTCGAGAAAAATCTTTGCGCATGCTCAATGACTTAGCTTCTCGCACTGGTGCGTCGCACAATCCCAAAAGTTCGTCAGTCATTCGTTGGCATTCATTGATCAATTGAGGGACAGTGGTTGGGTTTTCGCTGTTCTGCTACGAGAACATCATGACACATTGAAAAATGCCTGGAGCAAGAGATGCACTAACCCTGAGTTTGTTTAGAATTGCTATTCCTCTTGAATTTCGATTTTTCTTGGTTGACTTAACTACTGATGCAAAGAGCCATAAGGCCTGTTTGGGATATTCCTGGATCACCATTGATATGAGCTTCGACAAAATTTCATGAACATCCTCATTGTCGTGGCCCACGCGAGACACGATTTGAGGGAAAGCGGTGAACCACTAAGTAGAAATGATGAGTATGCATACTATGTGAAACATAAATATTGGCACCTTATATACAGGCACCATCTTTATTGCGCGCGCAACTTCCATATTGATCCTAGGGAAAATGTCGCCTCTACAAATTTGCTGGTTCTCTCCCATGTCGAGCCATAGGGTAAGCAGACGCGGTACGGTCTGATAGATGTATTTTGACCCGTATCTCATAGCTTTGGCATAAGATCGAATAGTGACGAGATTCATTCTCGTTCCCCTAGGATCAAAGTTAGTATTATTCTGAGTGGTAGCTGAAGGACCGTACCGAGTCATCTGCTCGTCAAGGGGGAGAGACTTGAAGCACTGATCATGGTATTGTCCATAGTGGAATTGTCCGCTCTCCCACCTACACATTCACGATACATGCAGTTAAAGAAAGGGGAGCCGACTCACTTCTGCCCCGCTTCTGCTCCAGTAGACAATGCCTTCACTATTTGTGACACATCATAACGGTCAGATTCATTCATCCATCTTGCTCGTAATATTTGTGCCTAGCAACTCAAATGTTCAGCGGCACACTTGTCTGAAGAAATGGGCTGACTTTTGCTTTGAGCATCAAATCGTCACTGTCTCGATTTGCAACCCTCGCTTCACCGGGGTCAACAGTGAGATCGATGACGGATGGGTTCTCCAATATCCCTGCCAGTCGCATACTACTCTCCAATTCTTGTAATGCGCGAATAGGCTCGCCGCTCGCCTTGACCAATCTTGCATTTTCCATAAAGGAGAAAGACGCTCTGCACTGCTGAGCTTGCAGCATAGCACTATATGCCGTTTGCCAGTGACCAGCCTTCCGGGCAATCTTTGCGCTGGCTAGCCATGATCTTCCAATTATATCATTGACTGTCGGATCATTTCCGAGGCTTCAGATGGTGGATTCAGTTAATGCGTGTTATTGGAATAAGCCAAAGCGCACCTCAACCCAAAGGCTATTCTCCGCATGCTGAGAATGGGTTCCCGAATGCGAAAAACAGGGAGCGTTGATTCAAATCTAGAAGAAAGGCACCTCGACAAACGAGCAACAACTTGTTGGTGATCTACATCTGGTCGCGATAGTTGCTGCACGGAGGCATGGATGGTTTCCAGTTCGTGGAGCACATGCAGGTCAAGAACGGCATCATACGAACGACGATAACCGTTGGCACCGGCCGCTATGATGGGGGCGCCGAGTAACCCGCGAGCGACTGACGAAGCTTGGGAGATAGTTAAAGCATCGCCGGCACGCAAGGCCAAGAGAACTTGGGCCAGCAAAACTGGAGAAGCTAGAGAGTCCGTTCGCTCAACCAAGACGCGCACCTCTTCCCAATTACCAACCATCCACTCGCTCTCAACTTGGAACCCGACTAGTTGAGATTCCCATCCAGGATTTCTGGTGAGCACGCCCTTGACATGAGTGCGTAGAGTATCTGGACATCTATCAGTCACAATGTCTTAGAGTTAGAGGTTGGCGAGACATACCGTAATGGCCTAGATTCCTCAGACAACGAAGTAGACCTAGGTGGAAGTCCAAGTTATCGGGCGATTGCTGTAATCTGACTTCCCAACAACTTTGGGCTGATGTCCACCTGCCCGTACTCTCATGCTGACGTATCTGGTGTTCTAACGAGGGCGACAAGATTAGCGTCGAAACACCTTCCATTCCGTCCGGTTCGTCTAAGTGGGCATATATCTCGTGGAGATGTTCGTAATATTCCTGTAAAACCTGATAGGTTTCGCCATGCCCTTCCCCCTGCAGGGCCAGGATTCGCCGTTCGAAGTTCATGAGGGCGCGAGCATATGCTCTGCATTGTAAGGCGGCTCGAGCCATTAGTCCTTGATCGATGCTTGTCACAATCGAGTCGATCTTGAGCACTTGTTCCTCTGCATCGCTATTCAACTGATTAACACGCGCTCTTCTGCTTTCTACCTTCTTTCTACCGATTTGTTGGCGAACAACGCGAACCCACTGGCTGAGATGGTCCAAGAGCGTGAAAACCGTCTGCAAAACATAATGTGAGTATGTTATTCCGTACATGATTGTCATCGTGACCCGCCTGTGCACTGAGAAGTTTTTTGTCTGCAGCAGAAGGTGTATCCGACTGCACTTGGTCATCTAGGACCGCGAGGATTTCCATACGAATATTGTGCGCATCTTCCTCTTCGCCGGAAATTAAAATGTTCAGTACAAGATGGGGAAGAAGATGATGTGCAACTCCAACGTCCTTATTTTGGACAATAGACGGAAACACGTGGAATATCGCCCTTGCCCGCACCCCAGACGCCTTAGTGAGTAGATGTCCTGTCCAAACTTGGATCCACTCTCTATACGTGGGTGCAGAGGGATAGATCGGATGTGGTGGTTCTGCCGGCGGGCGATAGTCTAGCAAATACTTGGAGGAGAGAAGGGGAGTGATTGTTTCCAACACATGTTTCGGGAGGCTGTTCCACCGATTTCGTACCTTGAGAGCGATGGAGGTATTGGATTCCGGGTTTACCAGGGCAGGAGTAAACTTGCAGTATTGGAGAAGCTCTTGAATGGCATAAGCCAGATGTCTTTGATACTTGATATCGCTCGTAGACCGGAATGCTCCAACTAGTACATCTTGAACGAGATGAAGAGCGAACGATACAGACTCGGTTTCGTCCGCAAAATTGCTCAACATTATCATCCTGGTGTCGGTGACGTCGATCTCGCATCGGTCTGGATCGATCGCTCCTAGAACCCCAATACACTCGATGGCGAGCACGCGCAACATCTCGGCCGCTTCACCGCTACGGCAGGCTGCTGTAGTCAATATCGATAAAATGTGGCCAATCATGGGGTCGAATACATCTCCAGAGGCAAGTGTTCTAATAAAATCCTCGTGGTCCGCGAGCATGAAGGATTTTAGTTCCCGTATAGATTGCATGGCTACTGTCAAATTCTCGCTTTCGGCACGTTCCAGGATTATACGCAGCCGCTTCAGTGGACTCCACCCGTCTCGTAATAGTGTTAACTTCCTGTTGATCGTGTGCAATTGAGGTATCGACGCAATATCTGCAACGTCGTCAAGATAGTGATCGAGCTGCTCTCCTTTCTCAGAAACTATGAGGCGTAGACATTTCTTGGCTATGTCTTGACCAATTGCGGAAAATGAGGACCAGGAGGTGAGAAGAGATGCACTCGTTGGCCCGACGTGAGGTCCCAGGTCCCTAGTATCCAGCGTGAGCAGGAAAGTGTACCAGCTTTCCAACGTCACGTCAGCTAATTGCGGGATCACCAGCATTGTCTGTAAAGTGGCCATGATCTATGATGATGGCTGAGTAGTCTGACCCACCATGACGACTATAGCACACTACCTGCGGTGCTACGTTGTTGATCGTCGGCCCGACTTCGGCGACAAACATTCCTAAGCTTCGCACAATCATCTTCTTCATTTCAAGCGAACGTTTACCGTAGAAATCCTGCAAATGATCATTCAAATGCGATATAATACCAAGCATGTGCGTTTTCAAAAGTGAGCCACTTGTAGTAGGTGTTCGCGCTGTAGCCCGTGAAGACAATGATCGTTCCACCTTCCGTAATGCTTCTCTGGCCTGCAACGCAGCGATTTCCATGAGCTCATCACAGAAAAAGCAAATTTCACTAACCGACTCAGCCTGATCAGGATCTTCATGACCCATCACAATGACGATCTCGACTAAGAGAGGAACCAAACAAGTGCGGAGCACGCTCGCGAGATCAATATCACTTTGAGCAGTATCCTTGAGCATTTTAAGAATGAAACTTAAAACCTTGTTTGTTTGACCGGGACCTTGCAAGCGGAACACATGGGCGAGGATCTGGTGGGTAAAACTTAAAAATAGCTGGTATGGCTTCTCGTTTAATTCCTTGGATATAGCATCGAGGACTCTGACATCACAACTCGAGAACAACTGAGGAAGAGTATCACCGAGTGTGACAGAGATGAAATCATGTGGAGTGAAGCCGAAAAAGTGACTTGATTCAATGAGCAAGCTGGGTTGGGTGCACATGCGAGAGATGATGAAGATGGCAATTCGATCCATATATGGCGATACCAGGTTATATGGTTTCTTTCGATGGTGTTTGCACAGTGCATGTAGCTGGAACAAGTATCAGTATCAATACTATAACGTTTTATGGCCGACCACAATCACGAACTTGTAAATGAGCCGTTCCCTTGATGATTGGATTTGGTTGTCCCAGTTGAGCTAACAAACAGCAGATGTCTTGAGCAAACACTTCTCCTTGTGCAATCCTGAAATGAAATCAGCGAATCGACTTACCAGAAGGTGCTCAATGCTACTCACTGTCCGATACGACCGAGGGTTATGAGCGTGGTCTCCTTGATATAATTCTCTGTCATGTCGAAAAGTCGCCCGATCATAGCAAAAACTGGTTCAATGCGTTTCCACGCGCCACTACCAACCGTTTGCTCGAAGCGGATATACTCTAATAGCGAATTTCTTCAACGAACATCTGTGAGCAGTGGCACATAAGCTAGTCCTATTATCCTTACCCCGCGCTCAGACGGATACTTCGATCCTTGTTCTTCATGTGCCGCCCTATAGAATCCCGGATATAATCGAGTCTTGTGACATCATGTTTGAGATGTCGCAGGGTACGCGATAGCGCACGGAAGACAGCTTTGTATACCTTTGCAGTGACCTCGTTATCAGGGCCTTCGAGTAACAATCTTGTGACCAGTACGAAGACGGGAAGAGTATCGACTGGCAGCCTATGAAGTGCAAGGGAGCAGTCATCGTCACCAGGATGAGCTAGTACGCAAGATAATCTCCCCACTTCCTGGGCTAATGATTCACGGGCATGCGCAGCAGGGTTATACAGAGGTCTGTAAGGTATAAAGAGTTCGCTATAACCCGCAAGGACGAGGTAAATGACTCACGCAGTAAATCTGTCGTTCATTTCATGAAAAGCACGAGTAATAAATTGCTCATCCGAAAGAGAATCATCATCGTCCATCCAGGCCAGTTGGGTGGGTTCAATTATTGCCTGGACATTTGATTTGAAAAGTTCCCGCCAGCCTGGTCCTGGTACGCCTTCAATAGGAGCTGAAACGTCTGTACCATCTGCGGCCTTCTTTAAAGATGCTTGGCGATCATCGAGTTTCGCCAGAAGGGCCGCATATGTTCCCTTTTTATTGTCTGCACCAAGTGCGCCTATGATGAAATCGACACTTTGTTTATCGAGGATAGACACGATCTGGATCAGATATTGTTGACTGAGAGCCTAAATATGCGCTGAGTCTACAGAACCCCTCAACGAGGGATACCACTCACCCGCAGAGTCTCTCCTGCGTCACCCCATTTCTCTGCGCGTAGTAGCAATCCGATTTGTGTCACGTCAGGTTGTGAAGTCGAGATTGCAAAAGGTACCTCCACCACGTCCTTGAACGCTGCATCAAACGCTTCCCAAGCTTCACTTGGACCCGCTTGGAGTCGAACTGTGAAAAGTCGTGATCGAATAGACTCGATAGGAAGACCGCGGATGGGCAATAGTGGAAGAGCAGACAAAATAGCAACTCCCAATCTCGCCAGAGCCCGAGCCCGTATAGTAGCAGAAGTAGCACACGAAGGTGATAGCAAGTGATCCAAGCTGCGCTCAGCTACCATAAAGATAGAACGGATTAAATCTTCAAGGTACCATTGTGCAAGTAGCGGAGGATGGAAAGTACGGAGGCATAGTTCTAACATCAATGTTAGAAGGGACGGGACTTCAGGCAGATTCCCCACTTTGATAAAAGGGATGTCTTCAGGACACTACCGTAATGTACGCCATCAACTCATACACCGGACCAGACCATACAGGGTACATACGTCGGTCCGACTAGCATCCCATATCCTAGGATTGCCTGCCAAACTTATGCGGAGTGGGAATGCTACTACAGGGGAGAGCGCTAGTAGATCTTTCCAAATCGCATAAACGTGAATGTAACCGGGGATCGAAGAGAAGAACGCACCATTGGAAATCGCCAGACAGCCCGAGAGTATCCGGCGGAGAATCTCGTGAGGCAATGTAATTTTATTAGTAGGTTCTATGACAACGATACCACCCAATGATCGTAGAATGGCCACGGCCGTGGTGACCGTCTTGCTCTGCAATTCTGTCGGGCTTAGGTATCGCTCCTCCTTCACAACTGTGATACCCCTCCAAGAATCAAGAACCAAGCATAGTTGAATTAATCGATTCAAAACGCTAGGAGCGAAATCTTCCGGGCGCATGAACAATTGCTCAGTGCGTGTTGTTGCTACCTCTAGGATCTCCAAAGACGTCTGGGTAATGCTCAACTTCTCGTGCATGGCATTCCAAGGTATTTCATCTAGAGGCGAAAAAGATGACAGAAAGTTTCCAATAAGCCCAGAGACCATGGAACACCATTGTTTGTCCAAACTCTCTCTGGTGAGGGGCGGGTCATTTGATGTTAACCTCTCCAGCAGTGTTTGAAGGAAGGTGTGGAATTCGCGAGGAGTGGCATTACCCGATTCATCATGAAAAGTGGGAAGTGGTGCTTGTATCGAGTCCTCTATGCTCATGCTCGCATTTGGTGGGGTGAGTTCCACAGGTTGCAAGGTAATAATAGTAAACGAGTAGTAAACGCGTCGCTTTTACGCGCACACGTGATCATTGCAATTACATTAATGTCCTGACACGTCCAGGTGCATTTAATTTTAACGCGTCATCGTACTGCTCCTGCGGTGACCATTCAATTTGCGCATAATCCAGTGGACAATGAAGAGAAAACAGCTCCAAATTAAGTCGACTGCAATCATAAGGGACTGACATTACTTCCGTCCGGACCGTTTTTTTTCCTTCGTCTTCTCTCTTTCCATGGCTTTCTCCTCCGCCCGTTCTGATTCCAACGAACCGATCACCCTCTTCATACGCTGATTATATGCCCTGTCCTTCTCCTTCTGCTGGTTTTGCTGCTCTGAAGCAAGGAAGCGCGCATCCTTACGGAGTTCACGAATAGCACCCTTCTTCTCCTGCTTGTATTGCCGACGTAGTTTTGCAGCCTCGTTCCGTTCGTGATCAGGGTCGCGATTGCGCAAGTAGTTGGACGACGATTGCTCGAACTTAGGCACGTAGGTAGGTATGGGTATAGGCTTGTGTGCTTGGAGCATGAGTGGGCGGCGCGCTTGACGAGAGAACTTGAGCAATCGCCTGATAGTATCTTTTATAGAAGTGAGGCGTTCCTAAGAAACTCTGAATATACAGACATTAGAAAGAAAGTTGCAAAATATGACATACCAGTAAACCTTCAGGGAAGCTTTGCGAGCGAACACCGTCAAGGAGCCTTAAGATGGGATCGTACAGTTCGATAAAACCATCTAAACTCTTGTACATATCCGCGAAACGATCCAGTAGCTCAAGGGATAAGCCTAATAAATTTAGCTTCCCTTGTTCGCTGGTGTCAGTATCACTAAGTAGCTGTGGGAGATTCGGCTTTCCCAAAGTTGTCTTTTTCATTTTGCTAAAATCAATCGCCAAAGACGCACACTGCTTTGACCCGAAATCTTGACATGGGAAGAAGCCAGGTAAAGATGACTTATCCGCGAATGTATGCGGCGCCAGATGTAGCACGGAGTTCGCCAAGAAGTTGACCGTCTCCGGCACGATTCGCTTGGATAACGACTCGTATTGGAGGAACAGCGAGCAAAGGAACGCGCCGCTCGCTAGATCTTGTATTGACCTAACGCGTCCAAGCCCGATGTAAGCCCCCATCAGCATACGAGCCACAGACACAACATGATGATTCTTGTCACTAGTCGGCCATATCTCTCCTATTACTCGTAGGAGAGACAGTTCTGGCAAACCCGGCCATGTTTTCGCGTCCAGTTGGGTCGCTCCTCGCGACAAACCCCGCTTGAGATTCTTATGCATCAGGGTGAGCTTCGAGACGAAATGCTCTGCTGACTGAATGGGGTATGATTTTGTCAGCGCATAGAGATGAGGGATCAGAGAAGCCAAAAGGGAAAAGCGTGGAGTTGAAGGCGAAGTGATGTATAGGACGTGGTCGATGAGCACGCTGGTCAAACCCTAGGATGCAGAGTTTAATGTCGGTGCCAGCACGAGGTGAACAAACGTAACGAACCTGCAACTTTAACTTGTTGTCTTCTGCAAGACTGGGGTGATGCAAAGTCCGCATTCGCTGAACAACAGTGGGCACATCCGCATCATCGATCCCATCAATGATTTCCAGGAATTCGTCGTGGTTAGACGGACACGGAAACGTAAATGGTAACTCTTTGGTCCGGTAGGTTTTCGATCTCGTTCGGTGCGTCATGCCTACAAGAGCCTCAGAGTCTCCCTCTTCAGCTTCTGGATCTTCAGAGTTCTCAGAGTCAATCGACGCGCTGTCAGCTTCGTCTTCGCTGCTCTCCTCTCGCTCTCGCTCATCTGCATCTTCCTCCTCGTCAGCTTTGGTATCGTCTCCCAATCCCATACCCAACCCATTCCATTCTCCTTCCTCATGAAAATCATCATCTAGATCGTCCCCACCGTGTCCTTTTGTCAGGTTCTTCTTGCCTGACCCCTCCTCGTCACTCTCTTCAGGCTCTCCATTCATCCGTCGTATCCGTCTACGCTCCGCCTTCTCCAAAGATTCTTTCTCTTCCGCCGCTATTTCCTCCTCTGTCTTCGTCCGGTCTTTTGGTTTTGCGCGCTTGTCGAACGCTAACTCCCTTACAATTTGATCATACTCCTGGTCCTGTGCAGAAAGCTTGGTGGGCGTAGCAGCGATTTGTGCGCTATGTTCCCCTGGAGTCCCTGAAGGGTCAGGAGCATAAAGTAGAGAGCGTAAGGAATCAAGTTCCTGGTCGAGCTCGCGACGAAGAGTTTCGTCCTCTTCCTGTTGCGCTTGCCGTTGCATCTGTGAGGGGCAGAATGTATGTCTGAAGGGGGATGGAAGGAGAGATTATACACACCTTATATATTTTGCTCTTTGCGATGACCTCGTCCATTACCTCTGCTTTAGACTTCTTCCGAGCAGGCTACATACACAACGTCACTTAGGCATCAAGAACCTGAGAGGTAACATGACCAACCTCTTCGTCCTCATCCTCTGCATCATCTCCAAAACCTCCAAAATGACTCCTCCGTACCGTGTCGCGATCAAGCTGGCCTCTGTCTTCGTCATCTTCGTCATCTAGTCCGAGCCCGACGTTGTCGAAATCATCCAGTTTAGATAGACTTTGTCCATAATGCGTGAGCTCATCTTCATCCTCTAGATTGAATATTTCCCCCTTAGAAACACGCTGTTGTTCTCGCGTAAATCGCTCCAGCATGCGTTCCTCGGGTGTCATAGTCGGATCGTTTTCACCAAACCGACGGTCGAGAACACCACCTGCATGATTTTTCCCTTCAAGCTCCTTCAGTAGCGTCTTTTTTCGCTGTTCCATTGATTATAAAGTGCATTAGAAAGTAGACATGGAATCCATATATCTCAGAGCGCACCTGCTCTATCCCAGCTTGCTTGCTCTGGGCGGGCCTACCCGTGACACCAGCAATCTTTCTTCCACCTACATCATGCTTTAACTTTGTGACTTTTACGTCGAATGGATTCAACTTTTGGTGTATCTCCTTTAGTTTCGCTGCTTGCTTCTCCTTGTCCTTTTCATCTGGTGCCGTGCGCTTCCTTTTTTTGCTGTTCTGCGGAGGTCGCGAGAGTCCTGCTTGGTTGAGAGCTGCTTTAAGCTGAGATAGTTGGGACCCCTTAGCCATGGAGGAGAAAGATATGTAACAAGCACAGTATCACAGGCAGAACTGAAAGCGTTCACCGAATGTCGCAATTTGTCAATAGATCTGAATCTCGATCACCGACTGAGCGTCCGTTATGGAAACGCGGAGTCCTTACTCGCTCCAACTCAGTCTTTTGTTTTATACTCCTGATTTATATTCCGTACCTAGAGATACATGCAGAGTGTGTAGACTTGAGCTACTTAAATATCATTGGAGCGGTATGCACTCCTCACCGTTAGACCCTAAATTTTCTCCGTTACTGAGCAAGTAAGATTGGCGCCTGGTCGTTGGCAGTGTCACCCCCCGCATATCTATTCGGAATAGATAGGGAAGCTTGAGGGAATCCACAAAACTACACTACTAGCCCACGACATGATTGTATTGCCCTCGACATGCTGATTGAAGTAGTAGCCCTAGGAGACAACAGTAGAAGACTTGGTGACAGGCCTTATTTAAGGACAATGCGGTCGTCCAATAGGTTCAACCACTTATAATTACGTAGTATTTTGTATCAAATTCAAGCTCTTGGGCCAACACTATCTGCGAGTTCGAGTGGCGGCCGGTTGAGAGCTTACTAATTGACACAATAAATTCACTTCTCAACTATACAATATGAATAACTCTATGCTTATGCTTAAATTCGGTAAACAATCTTCTCTCCGCTATGTTTGCTCTCTCTCATGAACTGCAATCCGTCCGGGATCGCATAAAGGCCGCCCTCCCAGAGCTTCACTTTATTGGGCTTGATTGCGCCAGAACTCACAAGCTGTGGGACCTTCTGAAGGAACTGGGCCATGTGACTGCGGTCCTCAGGCGAGGGCGGATAATGTCCGCCCAATTTAAATTCTCGTCCAAGGGAGGTATATATCAAGGTAACTGCGCACGCAAATGAGGTGAGGTAAACATAATGAAGACCATAAAACACTTACACTGAACCTTGACATCCTCACGCAACTTTTGGGCGTCACTCGAGGGGCCCAGGATGACAATTACTTCGCCGCCGCTAGACCCGAGAGTTTGCACCGTCAACTTCTGAGTGTCTACCTGAGAAATCGTGTCGAAAGCGTAGCGGAGCGAGTTCTTCGTCGTATCTTTTATTATCCTAGTAACGGCATCGGGATCCCGGTACTGGAAAATATACCCGACCGGTCAGTTCTATTCAAGAAGAGGGTGTCGTTACATACGTCAAAGACTACGTCTGCACCATATGACTCGCAGATCTCATGGTTTTTAGGTGAGGCAGCGGTCGCAACTTTGTAGCCTGCATGATGGGCAAGTTGAATGGCGTACATGCCAACAGAAGCTATAAACGCTAAGTAAACTCTTGAAGGATAACACGAATGAAGGAACCTTACAGCTCCCTCCATAGACGAAGACCCATTCCTCCTTGGATACTTTGCTTGGTGGTTCGACAAGGCCAAGGCGAGTGGGATGGAACAGGCCTTGTACAGCAGTCCAGAACCTGACATCGTGGAGGATAAGTAACGGAGGTGCGTGAGCGTAGTTTCCACTTACGCGCATCCCATGGTAGCTGCCTCCTCATGTGAAAGTGTGCCGCTTGGAACCTTCCAAGCAAGATCCGCGTCTGTCTTCACGTATTCTGCGAACGCCCCTCTATCCTTGTATGTCCCTCCCTGGACAAATCCAGCGACATGGTCGCCAACAGAGGGCGTAGTGACATATTTGCCGATAGCAACCACGTACCCTGACCAGTCACAGCCGGAGATGGTACCAGCGTTAGTAACGCGGTCAACATCTAGTTAGATGGCAAGATGAGCCATGAGCAAATAGCCATATGCGAGGGAATGCGTACATTGCCAGTCAGTTGGATTCTGCGCAACGGCAACAGTCTTGACGAGGATCTCGCTATCGCTGATGGTGGGCACCGGTATTTCTTGGACCGCGACAGTCTTATCAGGCTGCGTAATCAAAGCTTTCATAGTCTTTGGTATGCTTGTTGTAGACATGGTCGAGCAACACGCTGCCTTGGCTAAGATAAAGGTTCGAGAGGGATTGGTAAGGTGAGGGGGTGGTGGGCAGAGGTTTTTATATTGCTTACGGCGATGAACGGCAAGCGAGGGACTGTCACATACTATGATGTCAGACATGGTTTGCTTATGAACGCAGCGGCCTCATATGGGTGAGTTGCACGAAACACAAGACAACCCCTGTCTTATTCAGCAATCGATATGTATACTGGATGTGAGTAGGGAAAGCCTATATGTCTGGCTGCGACTCGTCATGGGAGTCAGTGTTGTGTCAGTCGGCGACTGTGACCTTCATACGACCGCGGCGGCTGAGCGCTGTCTTTGCCCATCATCTAAGTGCGACCCTCGGTACAATCGGACCGCCCGGTGGCGGAATACCTGAGGTGTTAGTCCTGTGACTTACGTTCAACATTATGTTTGAATAGGATTAATATTGGAACGAGAACGCTCCTCGACGGCTGGTTTGGGGGGTGTGAACTGTCGTGCGGTCATGAAGGGAGCGCCGGGAAATGCCGAGGCTGCACACGACCTGGATAATGCACGCCTGACTTGATTCAGACTATAATGTGCTTTTTGCTTTTTCCGAATCTCAGAGCTTTTATTTTAGACCCTGACGCTCGTCAAACTCCACCTCTTTCGTTCTTCTCCTTGCACAATGGTCAAATGTGCTAAAACTGAGGTGTTGGACAAGTCAGCGGTATGTACTTGTGTTGCGAAGGTCACAACTCCTGAACACTTACTCCCGAAGGCCACGGATGCAAGCCGCTCATCAAGCAACAGCCCCCGCAAAGCTCACTGCTGTCAACATTGCCGTCGACCACGTCTCAATCATCCTCGTTCTGGGTGCCCTTTTGTAGATCCGCCTATTCCTGCCTTCGACCACCGGTCTTCTTGCGATCCTGAACTTGCGGGTGTATTTGAAGGGCTGAAGCTGGAATCACCTGCGGACGGAAAGAAGCGCAGGGGTCGGCGCCCGGTGCCCAGCAAGCCTCAGGCTCAAGACGAAATCCGGACCACACACACTCCCGCAGCCATGTCTTCAAGGGAGCCAACGCCAGAGACGACGACAGCTGCCACATCGGCTTCTGCGTCCCCGGACGATGGTTCCACAACAAGACCAGCTACGCCGTCACCAGAAAGGCCTCGTCGGGCACTGCGGTCCCGACGGCTTGTTCCTAGCCTGAGTCAGCAGGAGCAGCAGATATTTCTGGACCATGTTAAGCAGACAGCTGCGGGATACGTCACCATTATCAAGTACAGCGTCGATGGCGTCTCTGACATCCTTGAGGGTGCCAGGAAGGTGGGCCTCCGGTGTGAAACTATACCTATTATTGGAGAATTGGCCCACGGAGATACTGCGTTGGTAGTCCTGGGTAGAGATGAGGGTGTTGTGAAGGCAATCGGAACTCTCGGCAAAGACGAGAAAGAGGCTATGGGCACGGCGATGGAGAAGGAGGTTGAACGGGGAAAGTATCCCGCATTAGTCACTGCATATGGTGCCGGTGCACTCTCGGGTGCCCTTGCCGCCTGGACTGGCCTGGCGTTTGCGCCGCTGTGAGATTCGATCCACGGTGTAGTGTAGTGATTAGTGGTGGAATTGTCTGTGGCACCTGCAGTCAGCCACCCGAATCATGAGTGGTGGTGGTGTTGGACAGTTTCTTGGTATTCTGTAGCTTCACTGTAGTCTAATATATGCCAGACGAGATTACTATCTTTACTATACTTGAGCGGCCGGCCATACTGCTTGACGTTGAGTTGATCGCCTTGAAATGCCGCATAGGACTGCCACCAAGATGATGGATCTGGCACACATCAGGTTGCCCATTTTGCACTTCGATTCCATGCATTACAATTTGTCCAGTCTGGTGGGCATTGTTGCCAGAGCTACTGCGCCATACCTTGTTCCCTCCCATGTCCTACGACCAGCCACAACAGTTCGACCTCCCGTTGTCCCCAGAGAGAGACGAGACTGGAGGCGACGACCTCCCCACCTACGATGATCTCGCGACCCAACATGGCCCAAATTCCAGGTAAGTCTCTGCGCGAAGCGAGCCCAATCACCACTTCGTGGCTGATCTTCTCTCAGATTCGGTCGATGGAGACAGTGGATAGAGAAAAGGTAGTGTGCGATTGCTAAAGCTCAATGTTCATTTGATGTACCACTTTCTGCAGAGCTGCCGAACGATATGCGGATGTGACTCCCGATGAATTAGAAAGACGACGGGCTCGTGGATGGGGTATTCAGGTGAGTGTTACGTCTTTGTGGAACGCTCCTCAATAAGACAACGTTACCCACCTAGGCGGGCGATGCAGAGCCAGATTCAAAGTATTCCTCTGAAGCGTCGTCACAAACGCGAACTTTCCAACCAGAACAGCTCCATGTGCAAACCCACCTTTCTGCATCTCAGATACCTGCATCTCCTGCACTACCATCAGAGCCCTCGCCACCCGCAGCACTTATACCAGAAGTCATCTCCCCGTCGCGTCTCCAGCTATGCCAATTTGGATCTCGTTTCCTTCCTCATACGACCTCGCCGATACGGTGCCTGCTGCCGATACTCAACGACCAATTCTTACTCATTGGACACGACAATGGTCTTTCCGTTCTTGATATGTTTCCCAGGGAGTGGACCGACCAGGGAATCATGGAAAAGGGTCCTGCCGACGCGGAGATAAGACACATCTGGGAAGGCGAAGCGTAAGCGTATTTTAGCTCTTTGAACCACCCAGACTTAGAGCCAGTGCCTATTAGAGTGTACCAGATGTCCATTCTCGAGAACGAAAGCACCGGCCAGGGCACACCGCAAGGTGTCGTCCTCGCACTGGTAGGCCCTGACTTTGATCCGACAAAAGAGCAGGAGGGCATCCGGACGCTGCGGATGTACAACCTCGCCAGCCTCGTCAGCTTGGCAAAGTGGGCGGTTACAAGAAAGGTGGGCCTCTTCGGTCCCACCGTGTACGATGTGCAATCTCATGGAACTCTGATCGTATTAGATACAACAACCGCTGAATCTTCGCCGTTTGCATGGCTCAAACAGACTTGGCCACACCAAGCGGCAGAACCGCCAGCAGCCTAGCTTGACAAGGGGGCTCAGGAATCTCGTTATAGATTCGCCTATTGTGCAACCGCAGTCATCATCGGATGCGTCCACAGAACCACAGGCATCTTATTCAGATGTGGCCGACTCGCCCATGTACTCGAAGCGCCTTCCACCACGGCCGTCTGAACGTTCGGACTCGATCGACTCACAGCGCTCTTGGGAGTTTGTGGATGACATGCCGTTGCTCTGGGCTGCCCACTATACGCCTCTCGCTTCCGCCGGATCGCGGCTGCTCAATACGTCCGTACTCTTCTACGACCTGTGGCGAAACGAAAATCAACGCAGTCGGGGAGGTGCACTTCTGGCGGTAGCAACAAAGTCTAATATTTTTTTGTACGAGGCCCCGAAGGGTGAGCGGGCGTTCCGACTCATTAAGGTATGTCTTCCGAGTCAAACCGCACAATGTCATTCTGAATGGACGATGTCAAACCACAGGAATTCTATACCCCTCTGACCGCCCGCAGCATTACTTTTGTTCAACAGTCTGTTATGGATACCATTTCTCGGAGTTCGTCTGACAGCTTGCCCCGTGCGGGCGGTCACTCCCAGCGACATTCGCGCGTCGTCTCGCTAGGTATAACTGGCACCCGCTATCCCAACCAGCTCAGTCTATTTGTCATATTCGAGAAAAAGGCGGGCATCATTCGCATCGCGGACTCTGCAGTCGGGGAGGTTGACCTGTACGAAGAGAGCGGTGGACTGCAACAGTTCCTCTCAGCAGCCAACACGAATCCGTCCACGTCGCGAAAGTCACGAGCTTCGTGGGACGGTGGTCGTGCATTCACTAAAGAGCACCGGGGCTCTTGGGTACCACCAGCCAAGTTCACCATTCCCGATACCGCAAATGATTCGCTATCCAAGAGCATGTACGTTCTCACACGAGGTAAACAATCGCATATCGTCCCGCACCCCCTGCCTCCATGTATCTCAGTGCTGCCTCCCTACCGCATTTTGGTATGGTCGTCGCCGCCCACGCGCGTCAACTGCAGAGTCTGCATGCCATCACGCGGACCGCCACCCTTCTTGCAGATTGTAGCGTTTGGCGAAGAGGGCCTCGAAGTAATCGAAATTCCCCTTCAATCGCTCTCGGAACCAGAGCGGAAGGGCAAGAGACGCGAAGACGATCCCGTCTGGCGTGCAATCTCGGTGATCGGTGGCGACACAGGCTTCCTATGTGCGGGCGGGCACTGGAGTCGGCCATTTCACCAACTACTCGCTCGGTCCTCGTCTGCGACAAGTACTGACTCAGTCGATTCCAGCACGAGCTGGTCATCCCATGCGCTTGCGGAGAAAATGCGTGTGCACGAGGGCATCTACGGCTGGGTGTGGAAGGGCCTAGAGGACTGGCGAGTGTTCTGGGTCGGAGGTACAGGTGCTGAACCTAAGGATGAAGACAACGAAAGTAATGTATGAGTACATCTGAGGACTAAACTTCCTATAGCTGACCGCTCCATTATGTACAACCGCATGTAAATATTATAGTCTCTGTCCACAAAAAGCATATGAAGCGATAGATACAGTAGGAGAGGTACGACAGCTACGACGTTGCATGAGAATCCGATTGATTTCCGCGCAAAACGGTAAATGATTTTCGTTCTTGTTCTGCAGCAGCACTCGATGAGCCCGAAGGAGGCACACCAGGCCGCTGTTTCCTGACGACGACGAAGGAACGGCCAGTATCCTGGGCAGGGGCGTCCGCCATGGCCATGAGGTCCCCCTCGCTCATACGGCGACTCTTGCGCCTGTTGTACCACCGCTTCTTCGGTGCTGGTGCGTCCTCCAGGCTATCCGCAACCTGAGCAGATCCACTCGCAGCAGGACGAGCGTTCAAGAGAGCTGAAGCATCCTCGATGATGGCTGTCTGCGACTTTGTGCGAATATGCAATGAAGGTGCAGCACCGGGCGGGAGGACATCTGCTTTCCTCCCTACATCAGCGATAGACGGTGTGGGAGGTGGCGAGTATTCCGTTGGTGCAGAAGTCTGCGCCAGGCTACTTGGAGCATGTCCCTTGCGTGCTAACGACGGAAGCGCATGTGTCGAGCCCGACGCGATAGCATATGGTGATTCGAAATGAGCACGCCCACCTCCAACACGAGCAAAACCGGACTTCGGCGGCTCTGGCATACGCGGCGAGTCGTCCACAGGTCCGTACCCAGGGCCAGGGAACGGCTGCCATGCACCCATGATGAATCCTGTCTCATCATCGCTCTCCTCTTTGTATGGCTGTAAAGCGTGCTCTGGTCGTAAGAATGACGGGGGCCCTGATCCCGGCGGCGTGGGCCTTGCCAATGGAACTGTAGACGGTTGCTTAGCGAGATGTGCCAGATTGTTCCTCGGACGACTAGCACGGCGAGGCCTGCGAGACCCACAGCACCCTAACAGCCCGAGAGTCCCGAGCAAACCACTGTCTATTACGTGTTTGCTTCGCTGGAAGCCAACACCCCAACAAATTCTGATGAATGCCTCAATGAGCTTCACGAAAAGCATCAAATAGAAGGCCAGGTAGATGAGCCCCAACAAACACAGGATCGCATATGCGATCCACTGAGCAGGTCCGGAAGCAACGGATACCTGCGGGTGCCAGATGAGTACGTGTGGATAGTGAAGGATAGATATGCACTGACTATAGGCGTTAAGATGACAAGCAGCACAGCAATAACGATTCTTGCAACACAGAACAAGAAGCTGATGAGTCCCATACTGGCGCCTTGACCCCAGGGCAACCAGACGCTAGTACCGAGGGCAGAGATCACCTCGACCACAAGAATGATGATAGCTTGTGCTGTACCGCTCTTCTGGCCACAGCCTATCGTGATCCCGAACACAAGATTTGTGGCGAAAAGCAAACACGCGAATAGCTGTGAACCGTGTCGATAGTGATTGTAGAGTGGCCCGAGGGACAGAAGAGTCCATGTCTCGTCGTAAAGCTTGGTAGTGTTAGTGAGAGATAATCGGACAACCAGGAAGATAGGGATAAGGATAGAAAGCACCGCAAACGAGATTGCAGCAAGGATGATGGAGCTGAGTGACGCTTGTTGTCGACCGGAGGTCATCTGGTAGCACGAGAAGATGGTGACCGGAAGATGGAAAAGAATCAAGATCCTGACCAGATTGCCTTGTAGAACACTGCCGTGGTACGATACAAAGTTCGTACGCACCCGCCACCACGGCCTACCTGAGTGAAAGAATGTTGAGCGGAACAGAAAATGGCTATTCGTAGATCTATTCTCGTCCGACGGGATTTGTCCGACGCCGTCCAGTATGTCTTTGCTCGCTGATGAATATCGAGGACTTCGGCTGCCTCCGATCCCCGACCCTGAGCTTTCACCACCATGGATGAACAGCGAGACGAGAGCATCAGATCCCCACACGATAGCGCTGAGCAAAATCGTGCCTCCAATTATAGCGAGGAAGAGACTGAGGCATATCCCGAATAGATCTTGCGGGCGAACTCCAACAGCCCAGGCGAACGACTCGAGCCCAGATGAAGCATCGTCTGGGAGTTGAAAAATCAGATTCGGCGCATTCGCAACGATATAGACGGGCGACGATGCATTGTTAAGCTGAGACGCAAAGTTTGAAGGAGGGTCAAAATTTGGCACATTGAGGGGATCCCAGCGAGCGTGTGCGCCTGTAGAGCCCTGCGAAATTGTGATGTCTGACAACTGTCGATTAACGAAGGCTCAAAAAAATTAAGAAATGACCTCACTGTACGACAGGGTGGACCATGCGGTTTGTGCCAGTATAGGATCTGTGCAGATATTAAGATGCAGTCAAACCCACAATATAACATAGCAAACATACAAATGAAGGTCGGCCACTGAACAGCGACCATTCCAATCGCTGCGCACCACTGCGTATGGAAGATAATATCTCTTAACGATGGCGTGCCTACACAGAAAAATCAGCGCGCCGACCGCCGCTTAACGAATCATACTTACAGAACCTCATTAGCGCAGGAGAACTGGCGAGACGTTCACCGCTTATAGCGCTTGCAAGTATGAATCCAGCACTCTCTATTCTTCCCCAGAGTCCAGGACCGATCCGAGTTGAACCCCTCCCCCAGGCAGAAGCCAAGCGCGCTATACCCACTACCAGCCAATACGCGATCGCTAGCACAACCGTGACCCAAAAGATTATGTATCCGTGCCCATACACAGAGCCCAGCGGACCAGGGTCTAGAATTGTCGTATTCAAGTTCATACAGAATAATTCATGCTGTAAAGGGTCCAAAGCGTAGAGGTGCGTGTCAAACGTCGCCAGTTCATAATTGCTAGGGAGATCCGCTGTCGTAGAAAACGTGAAAGGCCCCGGTAGGAATGGGCAATACATTCCTTGAGAATCATTGGAAGGCGGAGATAGTGAAGAGGGCGGTCGTAGTGAGTCGCAGAACTTTGAGTTGTTGTTCCAAACCTGGAAAGTCAACATCTGCACGGTGGTGAACAGTGTCGCTGCAGATTTTCATAAAAACGCGGCTGGGAAACATCGCCTATACACTCACTTGCATACTCCTCTGAAGAGTTGGTGCTCTCCGCCGCAGCTAGAATCTCCTGAGGTGTCTCACCAAGAATTGTAAAGTTGATGTACTTGTCCCCCGTATCCCGTTGTAGAACCTGCGCGTAAACATTGGAGATGTTGAACTTGTATGAGGTGTTGCTACCGGAAAAACAGTCCTGATACTGTAGCTGGGCTGGTTGAGCATGAGTGGGATAAGTTAGATGTAATAGGGAAAGACACAGGAAGGGAAGGAGGTGGTGAAGAGCCATCCGATAGCAGAAAAGAAAGTGACCAGACATGATGGATATGAACGCCCCTCAATGGTCGTCGTTGTCGTGGTGTACGTCGGCGCCAGGCGTAGACATGCCTCAAGGCGGGCGGTCGAGTGAGGGAGCGGCGACCCTCGCCGCTCCCATTTGGCACGTGACAGCTATGCAATCGGTGGCTCTCCGCTACGTCGACTTGCGACTCGAGACCAGCGGGACTCGAGACCAGCTCCAGAGCTCGGTCCGACTTATCGAGAGCCAACCTCCTCCTAGCTTGTAACATTCAAAGTGGCGGGCGCTGTGGTTTCTGACTCTTAGCTAGGAAGTTCGACACTTCCCAAGTTCGTCTTCCATGCTGCTCTGTGACAGAATTCATCCCGGGCCGGCGGGTGTTGGTTGTGACAACCCTGATCCTTGACGAATTGTCAGAAACTTGAACCACGACTTGGGACTTCGTCGCCATTCTCTGCACTATTGGTTCCTTCGTCAGGCCACGGGCGCGTTGTGGCGTGCTCCTGAGAGCCTTAGGTGAATATGACAACTCAACTCTTTAAAGACGTTGCGAAATCCTAAAAGTTAACATACTACGGGTCAGGTTTATACCGGGATCTCATTGACGCAACGCCGCCCTCCCGCCGCGGTGAGATGGTAGTTATGCAATGACCCTGCATTCCAATGCCACACAGGTGGCATATGGCAGCTAGGTCTCCTTTACACCGTTGTGTCTATGCTGACCTTTAGAGGTTGTGTCCGTGTGGTAGATCGATGTGCGGCGCAAAATCGACATGGGTCTGGCAGGCACACTTCCCATGCCCTCACAACCCCATCGAATGCTGGCAGTAAGTTCCTTGCTCTCAAGCAGCCGATACTGGTTCCGCTCGTTCCGTCCGCAGACTCTTCCTGTTTCCAGACGGGAACCGTGCATGCCTGCAAGGCAATGCCGTTAGAGACGACTGTTCTAATATTATCCCTAAAATTACTTCTCATGATAGAGAGTCCAGAGACATCCGCCTCCTTCGATCATTCAGATATTTGATGTCCATGAGCAGTTGTGGGATCATGATATCAATGGATTTCATGCAACTGCCTGAAGAAGACAATCCGCACGTAAGCTTCTTTAGCATACCGTTCGTTGACTCTTGATCAACAATATGCAGTACCTTTTGGGGTACGCTTGGCCATCATATGTCGCAACTGCAGGTTTGGCTGTAAAGCTGGAGTCACTATTTACTGTGTACTTGACAGGAATTACAGTGCTACGCTGTGCGTGAAATGGCATGCCGATTTCCCGGTTTCCCCGCTCTACCGCCGTTATCTTATCCGTGGATTCTTTTCGCAACACTCATAGGTCATCGTCTCGTCTCAAGGGACAAGTCTCCATTGATCTGGGTATCAATTCACCTTCAACTCTCGCGTATTTTCTTCACTCACGACGGTTATCGGCGGAGTCGGGAATTAGAGCGTTCGGAAGCCGGTCACACTCATTTCCCTGCGGGCCCGCTGAAATCGCTTACCTGGCCTGCCATGTCCAATATTTTCCCTATGCTATTGGTTCGCACGACCCCATTATGTCGACCTCTGCTTGATGACCGTACTGGCTAGCTGACGTCCAACCAGCGGCAACCCTCCGATTGCCCAGCATTTTGCATTCCCATCTATCCAGCATTTCATCACAAGTTCAGACAGACAGTCCCATCCGAGCCTCCATCACAGATGATGCCCTGCCTCTTCGGTTTATGGCAGGTCTGGTCCAGCCCCTCGTCCCCTCGTGCGAAGCGGTGTTGACCTCCGTATGTGTATCTTCGCGGGCCTGTCCGCATGTATGAAAGGACCTCGTTCACACGTTCCGAAATGATCCCGCTTCGCGGCTGTCGGCGGCACGAGCCCTATTGAGCATGTATACGTTCCTGTCTCTAATGCGAATCTCGTGGTCCGGTCAGACCCATGCGACAGCTTGTTGCTATATATCCGGATAGAATCATACATCGGCGCGACGGACAGTGTCACATTGCACGGTGCCTCATATGCGCCACAACGGCGTGCGCCCATCCAAAAATCTCACTGACTAAAATAATGGTGCGGCGGGCGACAGTTTGGCTGCCGGCCGCTCAAGATTCAAGATGACGCGGAGTGGAAAGATTCTGCATGTGACAACCGCCACAGGCAGTCTGCGACATGAATATTGAGTTCTCGATTGAGGGGTAAGAAGCACGACGGAAAGAAGCAAGGAACACGACGGAGACACTAACTCGGAACGGTATGGCCTGAGCAAAACGGCTAAACTGGTGGAACTGCTCGCGCACGGTTCGCAGACTAATGAGGTGTTGGCAACTCAGCTTGCGGAGACGATAGGCAGACCCATCGCTTGCCGGCACCAACGTCCGTAGCCTGTGCACGACGGATCTTTGCTGGCTATAGGTTGCTCGTTTTGCCGAACGATGTGCTCATAGCCTCCTCCATTCATGAGCACTGGTAGGGCGCTGACCGGAGCTCGAGATCACATCTTCTCAAGTTCTCAAGTTCTACGGCACAACGTTAACGGGATACACGTGGGCCTCGTGCAGGGCGTATCTCGGGCCCGTGCACTCGCTAGTAACGTCGCATGTTCGTGCAGGGCGGTCAGAGGGTACCACGGTCTGTCACAGTTGCAGGTCTAGAAGAGGGCGAAAGGGCGCGGGGTTTGACAGACAATCGAAGCATATTGCCGTGGGAGGGAGGAATGCGCCCGTTCGCATGGAATACAAACGCCATGCGGGGAAGCGTTGAATCAGTCCCCAGTTTCTTGAAGGCTTGAGGAACTCTACCAAGCAGCCTTGCTGGATGAGCGACGATCGAGGCCAGCCACCAAGCATGTCCGCTCGCCACTTCGCGTTCATTCGTCTTCTGAGGCGACACCGCCGCTTCCAAAACACCGTAAAACAGCACAAGCTGGAAAATAATGATAGGCTGCAGTAGGTGAGTAACAAATTTTCAATGTAACAGGGGCACCGACCAGTCTGCCGTAAAGGGCGTCTCGCCGAGTCGATAGGGCGTGATTATATCAGCCTCCCCCCGGTTTGCTTCCGTGCGCGCAGGCTCCCCGATCCACCGTGTTGCGAGTGTTGTTGGAAAGGCACAATAGTATTACAGGCGTTCGCGCGCAAATGCAATCATCCCGAAGATATCGTGATACTCCGTCGCTGGGCCAACGTCTGTCCATGTCTAGAAGGCTCCTAGTTCCGTGCCGCGCCCGTGTGCAATATCCATTCGGGCTCCCGCTGGGGGCGTGCGCATGATCAAACATTGACCAACACAATTTGGAGTAGAATCGCGGCGCGGACCAAAGAAGGTCCTGTAGATTCTGTTGAACCTGGCGGCCTGTGTCAGTTTGACCTCCAGGAACATACCAGAGAAGCTAGCTAGCCTAGAGCTGCGACCACACGCGCGGAAGAGGTACCACGTTCATCGAACATGTGGGAGTGGTCCCCAGGACCGTCGTGAATCCAAGCCACAGGTACGCGTTCATTCACTGATCAAGACATCCCGCCGGGTGCCCACACACCTGCCCTACACGTTCTCCAGGAAGTGTCGTTGCGAGCCTGAGTTCCTCGGGAAGGAGTTTCAATCACATTAGCATCAAGATTCAGTATCGAGCAGAGTCGCTACCAAGGCGGGACTGCACATGCGCCTGAGTCTCAAGGAGCATGCAGTAATTGAAGAGAAGAGGCCTCTCGTTCTGCGCGAGTGCGCTGCTAATTGCCAAGCTGAGGGCGGAACGAACTGGGGCCGAGGTCTGGGGCGGCCGAGGCAATTTACGCAGAACTTCGATAGCCTTTCTTTGTTCCTTGTCTTGGGCTCATTAACACTAGAGGCGCGATAGCTTATTATAGCGTTAGGCTAACAAGCTATACGCTTTCTATAATAGATATATTCCACGTGCACGGGTTTCGCAGATAAGGTAATTTTAGTTTCGCACACGCGCGGCTCTGTCATCGGGCGCTTCGTGGAGCAACTTGGTCGCTGCCGCCACCGACCTCCAGGACGACACTCGCACTTGGCTGCCTCACACTGGCTCTACGTTTGCCTAAACGACCTTCCACGACAAATGAACAACAATCTCGAAGAGGCTGCGACGGTTGCTGCTGAATACATCGCTAGTGAGTGCCTATTCTGATCCTGTCTTCTTCCGACGTGCACTTCCGTGGGCTGCACATGGCGGTATCAGGGAGGGTCTGTTTCACCCCGACGCCTGATGAGTTCCGGCGCGACTTGCCAGTCAGCTTGGGCGTGCGTACCCTGCAGAGCGCGCCCTATGCTCGTTTTCGTGCCCGCCGCGCCCCTCCCATCGCAGGCTGGCCCAATCGCTTCGATGGCCCCGCCCACGTTGGTGGATTGGGACAGCCTGCGATGGGAGGGGCGCGGTGGCCGAGGACAAGGTACCAGCCGCAGCTGACTTGCACGTTCACCCGTGTTCAAAAACCATTTTTGCGCGCATATACGGACAGCCTACTGACTGCGCCCCCGACTCGCAGGTCTCGATAACCTCCCCAGTGAGACCCAACACATCCTCGCCGAGATAAGACACCGCGACGTGCGCACGCACGGTGCGTCTGCTCGTCATTTGCTCAGATTGGGTGGGGCTAACATCTGGGTTTTGCTGATGCAATCTCGGCCGTTCACCCCCTCCGTGCTTGACTGGCTGCCCGTCCCGCCCGATCGGTTATCCGTACTCGACCCGCCGCCGGGTGGCATCATCGGTATATCCTCATACGGCACTCTCGAACGTTCTCGTGCGCATTCGCACATTCGTCATTTGTCTAAATTTATGTCTACGTACAAACCTTCCCGCGTGCGCCAGAGCTACAGCAGGAGGTGCAGAAGGAGACGTCGCGGTACATACGCCACTCGACGAAGCTGGGCGCTGGGACGACGACGCCCACGCCGCTGTCCGCGAAAGACAGCGCGCTGCCGCAGACGATCAGTGCGCACTACGCTGAGATCGACCAGCTCGCGGGGGAGAAGGAGGCGCTTGCGAGGAGGCTGGTCCAGCTCATTGAGCGGGCGCGGGCGCGGCTGGACCACGACCTGAATAAGGTGCTCGTGCTGCAGGGCGATCTGGATCCCGCGGCGCAGGTGGTGCTGAGCGGGGTGGCGGCGGTTGGGGGAGGCACGCGGAACGCGGCAGAGAAGATAAACGAGAGCCTTCGGAATGCGATTGCGATCCCGGAGGCGCCAATTGTGTCGGTTGTGAGCCCGGCACCTCCGCCTACGAAAAGTGCGTGTTGGTCGGTCTTTGTGCTGATTGAGGATGTGCTGACGGCTGGTGGCAAAACGATCATGTGGGACGCGTACCGGTGATGGGGATCGGGTTGTGTGTGCAGAGCGGAAGGTGGGCACGGCGGGGTCGGCGGGGAGCATTAAGCTGCCGAGTCCCGCACCGATGGGGGGGAGTGGTTACGGCAGTGGGCAGAAGTCGAGGCTGTCGCAGCAGGTGCATCCGCGACAGTCGCCGCTGCGGTCGCGGCGAGTTACGGCATCTGCGGGGCTGGATGCAGACGAAGACGCGGAGGGGGAGGACGATGTGGAGGATGGGATGGAGGAGGGCGGGGATGCGGAGGACAAGGAGCTGTACTGTTTCTGCCAGAAGCTGTCGTACGGAGAGGTACGTCGAGACCGGGGCGCGTGGGTGCTTCGAGCCGGAGAGGGGGATGGGATGGGGATTGCTGTTTGCTGTTTGCTGACGAGGCGCTGCAGATGATTGCGTGCGACAACCCGAACTGCCGATACCAATGGGTGAGTGTGCCACATTGAGTGAGAGTGGGGGCGGACGGGGCTGACGAGGAGACGCAGTTCCATTTGCCGTGTGTGAATTTGAAACCGCCGCTGCCCGAGAATTGGTATTGCGAGGAGTGCACGGGGAACATGAAGAAGGGGCTGGGTGGCGGGGTGGGCGCTGGGCGGAAGGGGCGGAAGAAGTGAAGAGACGGGGGAGTGGGGCGCTGGGAGGCAGCCTGGTGGGGGCAGTGGGTGGGTGTGCCTAGGAGAGACTGGCGCGGGAGCCGGGAGAAGAAGGAGCTGAGACAGGACAGGCTGGCGCGGGGAGCCGAGATTGTGGTGACTGTCGCCATGGAGTCATGAGACGCGGCAGCGGCCGAGCACCCCCCCCAGTCCAGGGATCTTCGGCGGGCCACCCAGATCCACTTTGACTCGAGCTGAGCACACACCGCACATGCCAATATATCTGTCTGTCACACGGTCACCCGTGACCCCTGCCTCGTCTTGTCCTGCCTGTCACGCACGCCCATGGGTGGGGGGG